ACCTATTATTATAAATAATAAACTAGAATATGTTATAGAAGACATTAAATAAATCTAGTTTAATAAAAAGAAACATATCTATAAATACTTTATAAAATAGACTAAATACAACAAACTGTTATAGGAACCTGTAAAAGCCTTATAAGAGAACTCTACAGTAACTTAATTCTACACTTAATACTTATCTAAACTAAACCTGTACTTTAATAAAGACAACCTAATGCTAGAACTACTAATGTAAAGGATTCTCTTCCTAATAAGGGGGGGGGTACTGTTACAGTATCCTTCTTAGATCCTAGACATAACTGTATTAGACGCGTACTAGAGTATTATTAGTGCATGTCTAACATAAACACAACATAACATAGACATAAACTTAAGTATAAACTGCCTTAACACTAACTAAACTTAAAATAGGCTTAATTTATACCTAAAGCGCTTAGACTTTTAAGCTAAGTATTTAATTGCTAATTTCCTCCTAAACTTTCCTGTTCCTTACACAACGTCTTGTACCTACTATAATACCTCACGTAGTAATTGAACTAGACCTCTGTGAAGCTCTATAACCTTACTCGTGCACAATCGTGACAATAGGTAGAGTTTAGTGGGGGCTTGGCAAAAGTAGCCGGCCAACCCGTGTGGCCGGCCAACCTGTTAGGTACGTTAAGCTATTTAGTTTAAAAAAAAAATATTAAGAATACTTTCTAGTAAGTAGGCGCCTACTTTATAAATAAACTCTTGCTAACGCAGTTGTGTAAGTAGAGCAGCAAGGACGCTGCTAGGAAGAAAGGGCAGCGTGTTATAGTCTATAGTTAGACTAGCGTAACTCTACTAGCAGTGCTCCACAATCTAGCTAGATTAGGATAGGGCTTGCTTATAAACTAGTTAGAGGACATAAAGGCAGCATAGCTGTCTACAGTAATAGAGGAATGTGCTGTCTAATAGGAGGACAGGCTATAAATTAAAGAGAGCTTAAGAGAGCTTTAAGAGCTTGCCTTAGCAGACTCTAAAAACTCTTTCTGCTCCCCTTAGCATTCCTAGCACATGTATATAATTTCTATATTAAACAACCTTTAGAAGGTGTGTTTAATGTTTAGTTTATTTTTTATATAGACTAAGTAGCATTTAGCTTTTTAAAAAGCTGTAATACTATTTATATATCTTACACTATATATACCTTTAACTTTGTCTAATAGGACTGTTTAACCTAGCCTTTTTACTGCTGTATTAAGGGTAAACTATAATCTAGTCACCCTATCCTACTCTAATAAGCCTATTAGCCTGTACGTAGGACTGTACACCCTACTAGTTGGCCCCTACTATCCGTCCTACTTCTCCCCTAGGAACAGCATAAGACCCGAGTGCTTCCACGAAGCAAGGATTGTAACACCTAGAACCTCTAGAAGGCCCCTGTATTAGCTCTAACCCTAACCTAGCTCTAACCTCTGCTGTTACTCTTATTCCCTTATGTATTTAGTTGCACCTCGCCTCTGTAGCTAGCTTAGTAGTTTTCTAATATTCTTTTGTACAAGGCCTATAGGTGTTAATGGCATTCCTAGGTTTAGAGTCCCCACGCACTCCCATATGCCTCTAAGTGGATTCCTACCGCATTCGAACCTATTGTCTTGCCTCTGCTGTTACAATTTTACTTATAATTTTTATATTATTATCTATTTTTTTTATCTTTTTTAATAATTAACCTTTAGCTAGAAAAGCTTTTAGTGTTAAATTTAACCTTACTTCTGTAAGGCTGTCTAGCTCTGTTGCGCACTAGCTCTGTGCGCTTACTAATCACATGCTGTACAAGCTAAGTACGCCTAGCGTCCTGCTATCTATGCAATAGCTCTCTGCCTAATATAGTATGTTAGAGAGCTAGGGAAACACGCGTACAGCTTAGGGATCTGTCACTCACGCTTGCACCTAACTACTAGCATAGCAATGCTTCTAGCAAATAGCAACTCCCTTTAAGCTTTTTATATACAGATAACACTAGTAATAGCATTTTAAAGCACTTAGTTACGCTTTTTTTTAATATAGTTTTTTTTTACTAAAGTTTTCTAAAGTTTAGTTACTAGAGATAGGTATTGCCTAGGTGTAACCTGTACAGTTACCACCGCAGGTCTGCCTATAGCTAGTACAAGCTTCTACTACTTAGCTAGTGTTTAATTTAAATCCTTCTAGCTTTATAGCTAACTATGTACTTTTTTTTTTTTACTAAGTTTTTAATAACGCTAGTTATGCTACTTTTATATATAAAATTTAACACTACTTATTTTTCTCTAGGTCTTAGGACAAGCTTTAAGAAGAGGGTGTTACAGTCTATAGTTGGACCGACGTAACTCCACCCGAAGTACTCTACAATCTAGCTAGGCTGGGGCAGAGCTCGTTTATGGACCAACCGGAAGACGCGGAGGCAGCACAGCTGCCTATGGCTACAGAAGAATGCATTGTCTAGTAGAAAGGTAAGCTAAGGAATAGGAACAAGTTAAACAAGCTAGACAAGTTACGCTAGGCAAGCTTATCTAGACTTAACTAACACGTTCTTAGCACTATTAGACATATATATAGTTCTAACCTTAAACAACTTTTAAAAGGTGTGTTTAATATTTAGTTTATTTTTTATATAAACTAAGTAGCATTTTAGCTTTTTAAAAAGCTATAATACTATTTATATATCTTATAATATATAACGTACTTCACAGGCAAGTTGCTTACACACCTAAGTTACTTACTTTTACTAAGACCCTACTACACTACTCTTTTTACACTAATGCATTCCTAACAACACTACTTAAACATGTTAAAAAAATATTAGATGCAGCTTATACTTTAGGCTTTTAAATAAGACATAACACTTTTTAAGCAACACACTACAGCTATCTATAAAGTCTTTTAAAAAATAATAAGTAACTAACACGCTAGATAACCTTTCTAAGCTAATTATATAGCTAACTTATAAAAGCTAGATAATAATAAAAAGCAGGTAATTATTTAGCACATACTTAAGCTAAATACGCAAGGATTTCCCCTCTAGCTAGCAGCTATAGCTAATATAGCTAATTCTTTGCACGCTAAGCATAATATAGGCTATATTAGCATAAACTAGCTTAATATGTTTATTAAGTGTTACTTAAAGCTTAAAGTAAAGTTTAAGTATAACTATAACTATAAAAAAGCTTTTTATAAAAATTTTATAGTAATTTAACTAATTACTATTCTAAGATAGTAATTACTATTTTTTTTAAAAAGTCTATAACAGCTTAATTACATTAGCTAATATTCTAAAAACCTAAACTTAGATACTAGGTATACTAAAGTATAGATCTATAAGATTAGATTCTACTATATAAATTTGTATCCCTAGTAATAAAGAAAAAAAGAGAAAAAAGGCAGAAATAGTAATAGTAATAGTAATTACTATTTTTCTCTCCTTTTTTTCTCTCTTTTTTATTTATTATAAATGTATTAAAGATAATTTTTAGAATTTAAATTTATAGATTTATAGACTAGTTTACTTAGCATCTATATATTAATTTTTAGAATTATAGCTTATGTAATTAAGTAATAATAACGTTTTTAAAAACATAGTAATTACTATTTTTAAAAGAGTAATTACTATAAAGTGGCAACCCTAGCTAGAACTATACTATAAAGAAACTGTCTAGGTAAAGGCGTATCTACTAGGTTATTTCTTTATCTTTTTTAAAAGCTCTAGAATTATAGTTTATATAGAGCTAGTAGTAAGTAAAAAAAAGTTTAAAGTCTTTTAAGTTTCTAGTAAAGAGCTTTAGAAGAGCTAGGCAAAGAGACTTTTTTACTAAAGTGCTTATTTATTTATTTAACTTATAGTGTAAAAAGCTTAGTTTAATTTATAAGTTTACTATTTACTCTCTAAGCTTTAATTTTAAAATTAGTTAGAAAGTTTATACTTTTTTAAAAAGCTACGCCTTCTATAAATAAGTTTTTAAAAAGCAATGTTAAAGAATTATACTTTATCTTAAAAAAGGTAGTAATTAATGTTATAATTTTTACTTATTAAGGCTTCTTAGCTAGGCAAGTACTTAGGCTAGGTAAAAAAAAAAAAAGGTATTAAAGTTAAAGACTTATAGTAACACAAGTGTATAGTCTATTTAAAGTAAGTAAGGTTTTAGAGAGTTAAGGCTGTATTATAGTTTACTACTTATAATAGTAGTATAAGGCGCCTTAGAGTTTACAGTCTGTAAGGACAAGATTAGAGGTATATATAGTGTTAAATATATAACTAGTATTACACTTATTAAAAAGTAATAATGCTACTTAGTCTATGTAAAGAATAAACTAAACATTAATTACGCCTTCTCTAGGTAGTTTCTTAGCCTAACTATATACCTATAGTAGTGTTAGGTGATCACAAGTGATCGCAAGTGATCGCAAGTGGTCGCAGTACAGGTCTGCAAGCACCTGCGATCCCTTACCTTCTTCCTATTAGAGGATGCATTCGCTTATGTCCTGGTCCGCCTGGGCGGGCCGTTCTTCGTCTGTAGGGTCACGTGACTCGTTTCGTGGCGGGACAACCCAGGGACTCCACCCTTGATCGTTCAAATAGTAGGGCATTTCTTAGGGGTGGTCTACCGTCCAACCATAGACCGTAACAAGTTTATACTCGTTTAGTATGCGAGCCAGAAGAATAAGGGGATTAGTAGAGAGGAGGAGGGTAGATAGGAACACAGGCGTACAGTCTAGGGTACTATCTACGTAGGATGCAGAGGATTAGCTAGCTATAGTTTGCCGCTAGTTGCTGTATAAGAAGCAGGGGAAACAATCTCAAGAAAGATAACAATTAGAGTATATATATGCGCAAGATATATAATAGTATAGTGTTATTTAAAACTACTAATACTACTTAGTCTATGTAAAGAAAAGACTAAACGTTAATTACAACCTTTAAGCAATAGTTAAGATCAAGATTATATACATCAGGTTTGCATGCACTTTCCTTGGCGCATGCATCTGCCAAGCCATTATCTCCGTTCCGGTAGCATCTAGGTTGTCACTCCTGTTGTGCAGCTAAGAAGAAGTTCCACTACTAATTGTCGTTCAATCCAGTAGTCGTCCGACACTCGCTTATGGTCCACTCAGGGACCGTAACAAAAAGTAAGCAACTTAGGTGTGTAAGTAACTTGCCTATAGTGTACATTAATATCTACATAATTATAGAGAATTCTGACGCGAAATATCGTAAAGTAGAGAAACATTTAGCTCTAGAAATTCGCTGATGGTCACCTACCTAATCAATAACCAGCTATTGCAAAGCGTAAGTAGCATAAAAATATACAAAGAAATGAATTCTAGAGAGTAGTATAGTTATATTCTCACGTCTCTTACCATAGATAAATCCCGTAGAATGCAGGTCGTACGAAAATGTCCTTATCAAAGACTGTCCCCACACCTACACGTTGATATCGATCACCTCCCATGTCTTGGAGAAAGAGGATATTATAAAAGTTGTAGCCTGTTCCAAGATAATCGGAACGAATACCCCCACTTACTCCTTCTATGGTGGATACATGAAGAGCAAAAGAAAGAATAAGCTCGATATCCAGTGTTGACTGGCCTAACATGACTGCAAAAGCTCTTTCTTATATATCGCGACCAGGACGCTGTAGACACGTCCACCTAAATTGCGAACAAGTAATGCTTTGATCGAGAATAGATGGCATGTCTACGGTGAGAGGTTATGGTCCAATGGTTACCGGTCCTTTGGCCGCGCAGGAGTGCAACCGTCTGACCTTGTCATAACTTGACACCCAAGTATGCCTACGATGTGGAACCCACAGGCTAAGGATCATCTCTGAATAGGTGGCAGAATGGATATAGGATCGATCCCGATGTTTGCGCCCTCGCCCCGTTCACTGTTGTGTCATAATAGCTTCCCCCACCATAGTTTGCGGTCTTGTACCTTGCGTCCAAGTCTGCCTTTTGCTCCGCGAGGCACAACTCGTTCGATTTTCGGAGGCCCAATTCCTTCTGCCAGCTGAGCACCCAGTAGTGGAGAGTTGTATCTTGTGGTTATGCCTAGGTAATACTTGTGAGAACGCCCGCGTGGTCCCAGTTGACTAGATCGTGCCAGACCTAAAGCTCCCATTAAAAATTTTCCGAAAGTTTGAGTATAGGTTTGAGTGTGGTCACACAAATGACGATAAACAGTAAAAGTTTTGGAGTAGATGATGGTGTAGTCTGACGGTGCTTGGCGAGGGCGATTTAGATTTGGCTTGATGGAGTTGACTAGGACTACGCAAGCCTTCCCACACGTGTTTTAACTACAGAATACAAGTCTGCTATAAATATTTAACAAGCAGAAGGATATCCTACATCAATGCGGTTTCGTGACAGGAATGAGAACGGTGTTCTAAGGCATGGCGTCTCTGACCGGACAAAAGATACGCCTGGGCGCTTATGCAGGCGATCACACAAAAATGGCCGCATGAGGCACAGAAGAACACCATGCGTGAACACCTCCTATTCCATCACAGGACTTTAATAACCCGGCGCTCCTCTCCGGTTTTTCGTTGATTTGTTGAGGTTTTTCTCCCGCTGGTACCCTACCATTCTCACATCACTCAACCTATTCAATTACACCAAAATGTTTCCAGAATACGTCTGCAATTTACTCGCTACACTGCGCTTCCCGCCCTGGACAGAAGAATTAAACTGGGGCCTTCACATGACGATGAAAGGGGAGGAACGCATTCCCTTTCACTCCTATGTCCAGCCTAGCACCGCTTCAACCTGCTTCCCTGGCCAAATCTCCTCGATGCCGCAATTCAGCACACTTCCAGTCGAGCTTCAGCTCCGTATTCTCTCGTTTTGCTCCGCTTGCACCCTCTTCCAGCTCATGCGCGTGTCATCGAACCTCCGCATTGAAGCATCCAAGCTCTATTGGACGAATCCAGATGCGTATTTCCTTGTTGATGCGTACTGGCTCCTGAACGGGGGTCACTCTGGCTATACAGGCTGCGATTTACCTTTTCTATCGCACGTACAAAATGTGGAAATCGAGTACCACCATGGACGGGAAGATGAGATATGCCCACTGCACGATGGGGTCATGGAAGTCCGACAGGAGCTAATAACAAGATTTTGGAAGAGTTTAGAGAAGCGGTTTCCAAATGCAAAGAGGGTAGTCATCAATCAGAACTGGGTATCTCCACCGTGGAGAAATGGGACTGAGCCTGTCCCGCAAGCACTACAAATTCTTATACAATCTTGTCCTCTCGAGATCGAAGCCTTTGCTTTCATCGTCGAGGAGGAAAACCCTACCATTGACACCAGCACTTCAGTCCCGTCCATGACAAAATGGCAACGGTCGCTATATCGACGCTCAGCAGGCGATATATGGACAAAGATTGGAACAGGTTGGCGTCACAAGACGATCCTCATGCCAATGAAGCATTTCCACGGACCGGTTGGTAGATTCGAAATGCTCAAGCATAAGGGTGAAAGAGTCTTACTACAACAACACAGTCTCTGGGCCCTTAGTCTTGAAGCCCTAGACCGGCATCATTTCGATAACGAGAAACACAAGTCCTTCTCCTGCCCATACTCTGAGTGTGACGCGTACTTTGAGAAAGCTGGGGAGTGGACAGTACATGCAACAGAGTCGCATATCAAAGATTGGAGGATGGGAAACCGGTTTTGTATCTTGCCTGATGAATTAAGAGTTGTTTTTGAGGAACGGGAGAGGGCCTTGGAAGACAACAAGGAAGAGATAAATATGCAGTTGCGGAAAACAATTGATGAGTGGAATGAGGAAGGGGGCGAGAAGCGGAGACAAATGGAGCGCGAGTGGATGAAGCAGTTGGAGAATGATGAGGCATGGAACACGGGGAAGACAGCGAGGGAGAGTGGGCTTTGGAAAGAGTTTTTGCTGCAGATGGAATCAGCGCAACATAGGTAATGAAGTAAATTAGGTATGAATTGCTTATCTGTTACCTGTCGTTGTGTACTTCTTTTCCCTGTTCATAGTTTTTCAAAACAACCTAGACTCTACCTACGCTTACATTTATCTCAGAGCTAAGTAAATGTGCGAGAACAAATGGGTACAAGTTAATGCTAAGCTTGCTTTCTCTGCCTTACGGTCCAATGTGGAAAATATTGGTTCTGTCAGCATATATATAGGTGGTGTACGTAGAGATGGGTGGCTTCGGAACAGGATCGATCGCGAGTATCTATAGAACTCGGGATCAGTCGCAAAACCCACTCCTATAGAAGCACATGATATCATGTCTCTATCTTCTCCTCTAGCGCTATCAGCCCGCTCCAAGCGCAACTTTCCTCTCCTTCCCTCCTCCTCCTCCTCCCCACCACCACCAGAGCCTCCCTCCCCTTGTTAAACACCACAGCCCTATGTCTCCTCCCCTCAAACCCCACACTTTGCCTCTATGCCCCTCCATCCAACAATTCCTACAGTACAAATCCCCATCACAACCCAGGCACTTCAAAGTCGCATCGTCATTACAAATTATACACCACGTTTCGATGTCTTTGTCGGAGTACTGTTGGATGTTGGATTTTGTGATTTTGGGTGGCCTAAAGGAGGGTGGGAAGGAAGGTGTTGAGGGGAGGTGAGGGAGTTTGTGGAGGGGGAGGGGTTGGAGAGCGAGGCGAAAAGGGCAACGAGGGTGTCTTCGAGGGCTTGGGTTTTGTCTAGGTCGTCTTTTGGGAGGGTTTATGATGCAGAGGGGAGGTGGAGGCTGTTTTCTTCGTCTTGATCTTGCGGCTCTAGTATTGTTGATGGGGCTTTATTGGAGTTTGTGTCGTCCTGTGTCGAGGTTGGAGGCTCATTCGCGTTTTCTTCGCCGGAATTCGAGTCGGGATTGCCGTATTTCCTGACGATGTCAGGCTCTGCCATGACGCGAGCTATAACATCATCCACCTCTTTGTCTTCAGTTTTCTTCTTCTCCTTCTGGTCTCTTTCCTCGCCGAAGTCGAAGTTGGAGTCTAACTCTCTAGTGCGGTGTTTCTAGTTATACTTCGTCTCCACCCGAACCCAAGCTACAACTTCGGGAGGGAATTTATCTTCAGTCTGCTCATTCTGTTCTTGCTCGCCCTTGCCATCTCATCCCTCCTCCTGTTGCTCCTCTCTCCCCACCCTCGCTATAGCATCCTCGTGTGCCTTTGACAGTAGTTCCTCGAGCAATTTCCGGGAACAAGCGCCGCCCGTTCTTCTTCAATTTGCTTGACCGCATTCTTTGCCTCCTTTTCATTTTGACTCCGTTCATGGGTAGAGTCGGTAAGGCAAATCTCACCCAAGGCGGTCTCCACTTCAGCCAGCTGTGTGTCCGTTGACGTGATAGTTTGGGAAATCTCTGCCTCTGTGACTGAAATTGTCTGCCTTATCTCCTCAGCGATATAGGTATGGCGGATAGAGTTGTCCTTATATAATAACAGTTAGCATCATCGTCATTCTCTTAGGACATGGTTATATATGCATACAGAGTGGCCATGCTAACTGCTGAATTGAAAGTGGCTTTGCAGCTTTGAAGTTGCTTAGATATATAGCCTTGATCTAGTGCTCCTTGAAGAAGCCAACATCTCCCCTGTCTCGCTATAGCAGTGTAAGTCGTCCTAGAACATGCCACACGCTCTTACATAATTCCCAATCGCTGTCTTTAACCAATTGGCGATATTTTTCACTAGAGACCTCCCACTCGAGATCCTTTATAGCTTGAAGTGATTCAAGTGCCATTTGGGCTAATGGGAAATCGTCTTCAGGGCCCTTAATATCCCGTGGGGCATGGACGATCTTGTTAAGGTGACATAAAGAAGACGTGTACCATGTAGGGAGGGAAGAGTAATGCTAACGATGCGTGCGGCAACGCTACGAGGATCAAGCATTTTAACCAGTAGCAGTTAACTTGCTTAAGAATGAAGAGGCCAGAAAGGGGTTCGAAAGGGAAGAGTTGGATGAGACAGCGACAGTGCGAGGCAGCGAAATAGGCTCAACTGAGCAGCCGCCAACATTCAGTCTCTCAATTCTACGGCCTAGAACGACTCTCTGCCCGCGCGCTTGGCATGGCACAACACAGTGCGACGGTTGCATTTGGAGACAGCGGCCGCGGGTTTCAAGTAAGGCAGAGTTACGGACTGATCAGCGCCGAGTTCCATCTCCCGCCAGGTGTGTCGAAAGAAACCCGAGCTCGACAGCGCTAACAGCAATGCTCCACGCCAGAGCGACCAGAAACACCATCGAGCCCTTCCTGCTGCATCCCTTTCCGCCGCGACCCTTACTTCGTTGACCGCTGAACGATGCTCGATCAGATACACGAAACATGCTCTGCGCCGGCATCTCGGATAGGGCTAGTGGGCCTGGGCGGTGTGGGGTAAGCCAGACGAGCCCTGGGCCAGTGCTCGTACACAAGGCGATACCGATAACAAGAACTTCAATCATGATGGCGCGTTAAGAGGAAGGATGTTGACAAATGCAGCTTCATGGCAGAAAAGCGGCATCCGAATTCACATCGGGGCCAAGATTATTCTGAACAAGGCAACCTGACGCCTCTCTTCGATCTCTCATCCCCGTGCAGACGCCACCCCAGCGAAACGCTATTGCCAGAACAGGAACATTCCCGCACAAGCTCATCAGCGCTAAACCATTTGTAGAAAATTTCCACTCTTGCATCTCGGTGATGCGCATCGTTTCTGGAGGCGCATAGAGGGTTGGGTAGATATATATATGCTAGCCAGACATCATCTCAGAGACTTCACGTTAGGTCCTCTCTATCATGAATATGGGCCCTCAGGAAGGAACCGCCCAGCCAGCCTCAGCGCTCGGTTTTCCCTCCCAATCTTCCTCAAACAGTACCTCACTGCCCCAATCTCACGAATATCTTCCGCCACAGGCCAATCTTCCACTTACGACACCCACTTCTTCCAAACCCTCATACACTCAACTCCAAAAAGTCATAACAATCTCCCTCGTAACCCTCGCGGCCTCCCTCTCCTCCATATCCTCAAACATCTACTTCTCCATCCTCCCTACCCTATCCGCCGACTTCTCCATCTCCCCAACACTCATAAACCTGACTGTAACAACGTATATGGTCTTCCAGTCTCTCTCCCCCACTCTCTGGGGTGCACTCTCTGACTCCTACGGCCGCCGCATCATCTACCTGCTTACCCTCACCATCTACGTGGGTGCCTGCACCGGGCTCGCGGAGAGCAAAACATACTACCAATTGTTGATACTCCGGGCGGTGCAGTCTACCGGTTCCGCAAGTACGGTTGCGCTTGGAGCGGGGGTTGTGGGGGATGTTACCAGCCGAGAAGAAAGAGGGGGGTGGATGGGAATTTTCCAAGCCGGATTGCTCGTGCCGCTGGCAGCGGGACCGGTTTTGGGTGGCGGGTTGGCCGAGGCGTTAGGATGGAGGAGTGTGTTTTGGGCGCTGGTGATCTTCGGCGGGGGCGTGTTGGTTGCGGTTAGTGTATTCTTGCCGGAAACATTGACTGGGTTGAGGTATGGCGGGCGATGGTACACCCTGAGGCCGATTGGTGGGTGTTCTAGATGGCAGCAGGCCAAAAAGAAGGACGTTGAGGGCGGAGTCGCAATCTCGCAACAAGGAAAAGAGGCCGACAAGAAAGTCACTCTCGACTTCTGGACTCCCCTTAAACTCGTCGGCGGCGGCGAAGTAACTTGCATCATTCTTTTCATCTCGCTATACTATACCGTCTGGCAAATGACTATCACTGCCATATCCACGCTCTTCGAATCCTCGTACGGTCTCTCATCTACTCAGATCGGTTTGACATTCATCGCAAACGGGGCGGGATGTATCATCGGGACAATCTTGACGGGGAAGTTTATGGATCTAGATTATATAAAAGTTAAGACGGCATACAATGGCCCGGACGAAGATTTTCCGTTGGAGAAAGCGCGCTTGAGAACGGTATGGATATGGAGCGGAATGCAGATTGCATCTACACTTGTGTTTGGCTGGACGCTTAATCAGAAAGTGCATGTCTCGGTGCCCATCATCTGCACATTCTTTCTTGGATGGGCAGCTACCTCGACCCAAAGTGTTGTCACAACCTTCCTGGTGGACGTCTTCCATGGACGGAGTGCAAGTGCCACGGCGGCCTTAAACATGGCAAGATGTCTGATGGGCGCAGGAGGGACTGCAGCGATCTTGCCCATTATCAAGGCCATCGGAACGGGATGGGCTTTAACGCTTTGGGTTGGTGTAATGGCCCTGGGCCTTGTATTGGTATTTGTTCAAATGAAGTGGGGTGTAGGATGGAGAAGAAAGCGAGAGGAGAGAGAAAGGGAAGAGAAGTTGGTGCGAGAGAAATAAGAATTTGAAACAACATCGCGCAAGATGTTCTCTTAGATAATAGACGGGGTGGATAAAAGCATACCTTGATAGTCGTGGAACGCAACTATACTTTCGCTTACAGAAGCCTCTCTAAGGTGTGCTATGGCGACAATATCTTTGGATTTGTGGTCAACAACCATGTATATGGGCACATGTCGCGAATAGCATCATCCCAAAGTCATCTACATCCTCAAGCCACATTTCTACCTTCTTCTTTCTCCACTGTTTCTCCTCTTCAGGAATACCTTCCATGGACCAAAGTTCCGAGATCTTCAGATATCCATTTGGCCACTTCTCCAAGTGCTTTTCATACTCCCTTTCCCACTCCTCCCTCTTTTGCGCTTCCCACAATTTTTTCGTTGCTGGAAGAAGCATACCCGAAAGCTCCTCTGCCAAGAAGATTGGCATACCATGCTGAGCTTGATATAGATTGTTGAAAAGGTAGGTAACATAGATTGTCCTTCTCTTGGCTTCCGCAATGATCCAGGATTCCCATTTCGGACGCTTATGCTGGAGTTCTGCCTGAGAGAAGAGACCGGCGCTACTTACATGACTCGCGAATTCTTGAAGCTGAAGTACCGTATCACCGGAAACGAGAGAGGAAGGAGCGCCTAGGGGTGGAGAGAGATGTACCATCAGGATGTAAACAAGGAAAGATTGGAATGAGACTAGGAGACGAATGGAGTCAAGTCTAGGATACTGTACCTTATTAATAATCAGGACAACAACACATACTTGAAATAGCAAGACTCACCTCTCGTATAAGCCCATCCATTTCCCCTCTCACACTCAATAGGATATGCTGTCGAACTTCAGGTTCTTGACAATCCTGCCACATTTTGACAAGTTCTCTGCTAGTTGTCAAAGCCTGCACAACATCTGCACTATCTTGCCTCACCTGAGCTTGGTGTATAAACGGAGGTAGCGTCTCCGCACAGCTTCGTCCTGTCGCATTCTCACCCCGAGAACCTAGCTCCAATTTCCAATACCCGCACAATACCCTCTCAAGAAACCCCACAGTAAATTTACTCAATTTCTTCTCCCTCTGCCCTTGTTCGTCCATCCAAGCATCCATCCACCTCACCCCAATCTGCTTGGTATCAACACCGACATTACTTCCAGTGACAAGATCCAGATGATCTTCAAAATCCAATCGATCCAACGCCTCCTGGATATTTGAACTAAAGGAACCGAACTCTTCCCCGGACGGCCCACTTCCCCCGGCGCTCGTGTCATCTTCTCCGTGTTGGAGTAGTGGCGGGTGAGAAATTCGTGTCGGGTTGGCAGCCGCAGGGCTGAGCCGATCTAGATCGCGGAAGTGCAGATTTACATCCGGACCTGGACCTTGGCTGGCGCGAACGCCACGGGAGGGTTCGACATATTCTGCAGCTGCCGTCGTCGCAGAGGCATGGATGTCTTTAGGTCCGAAGGTACTATCACCCAAAAATATCTCTTCTCGTGAGCAAGCTGTAGGGCTTCGTTTTCGCTTCGTGGATGAATTCACATCATCGACACTAATTTTGCCTTGTACCACCGTCGCCGTCGGTGCCGTGTGCCCATTGCCACTTTTCACTTTATCCAGACTTTCGCTATCTCTTCCATCACACGGATAGTGGCAATAGAGACCAAGCCTCCCACACCGTGCGCAACCCGGCTTCTCGAGGCCGCAACGCCGTTTCGTTCGCTTGCACTGGATGCAGACTTTCTTAGTTGTGGTACCTGTCCATCTGAGCTCCATTGGATTAGGGCATTGAAGTTTGCATCACGGGTTCTAAAATCATGGGTGAATGATGCCAGTTTATGGAGAAGCTTGAGGTGTGACCCACGGAGGGGATTCCGGATGCTGACTTGTAATAATCACGTGGCTGGCTTGGCTAACTAATAAGATCTCAGCCAAGCACATTGAAACCTATCACGGAACGTCGACCGGGACGACTTAAACTCTCGCCCAGCCCCCTTGCGAGGAGACTCGCAGAGGGAGTTAATAAAAGTGCAGGCTTCTGTCTTAAATGAAAACTCTGGTATCTTCCGTTCAATGAAACAGGGCAAACCATTCCCGCGCTTCGATTAAGCCACAGCGATCGGCAAGAAAATTTCTGTCCAAGGTTCGCTTTTCAGCCACAAAATGTAGTTCCCGGCCAGGGACAAATAAGCAAACATGGTCCACCTCATTTCCACGGCGGCTCTGGTGGAAAACCGGAGCCTGCCGTCCAGCCTGAGACGCTTGTCGCACGGGTGGCGGAGAGCCAAGCTGAAAAGCAGAAATTTCGTGACTCTGGTCCAAGTTCGCCGGACTCGGGTCTCCGTCGGTGGAAAGTTATTAGATGTTAGTTCGAAGGCTTGACCATTGCCCCAGGTCAGGAACTTGAAACCTAAATTACTGGCATCTTCCAGGTTCCATGGATGAGTGGGTTTAACTTGTGTGCATTCACGCATTGATCGCGAACCATGTATTGTGCAACCTATAGAATCTGTCCTCAATATTCCATATCTACAAACTGATCTTCAACTTCCATAACTCAGCGTTTCACATCTGTACCGAAATATTTTGCCAAGCCAAAAAGAAAGGAGAATGCAAGGAAATGGGGTATCTTATGATAAACTCGATTCATCCGAGCGCGGAATGGTTCTTCGCGCTATACAACAAAAGCCATGCTAAGAAAAGTGAAATGCATCGAACGCCAGGAGTAAACAACTCTGCTTCATGCGACATCCTAGCTAGGACATCTTTGGGTATTATAGTGTACCATGTTGAACGCCGACGAGTGCAGAAAAGGTTGGCATTAGGTAGAGGAGGATGGTGTTGGCGTGTTTCCACGACAGCCCCTTAATTCAATGACCGGGGTTTGTGTGTCTAAATCAGCAAGCCCACTCCCAAAGCAACTGCGCTTAAACCATTGTCCCTCGAAGCTTCTTCGCTGCTCCTTGTCTTTCCTAAAGTCGCAAGTCTGCGCGTAGCATCTGCTTTGGCTTGAGTCGGCGCGATTGGCGAGGGGGGTTCAGAATTAGGCGGAACTGAACGGATCTCGTCAGAATCACTGTTGAGACGTTCAGACCCAGGATGCTCAGCAGAGGAGGTTGAAGCCAAGTCATATCCAAAGGTGTCGTGCTCCAGGGAGTTCAGAGAATGTGTGAGAGAATCATTGCTTACACCACGCATAGGTGAAGCAGGTCTTTGGACATGAATTGGGCTGGGGACTAGCTTAGAGGTTGTCCTCGAGGTCGCCGCGTTTTCATCAATCGGGGAAAGACGCTTCAAGGGCTTGGAGAAGTTGTGGACATCGTAGCGAGGCGGGTGTGATGTGTAGCTGACGAGATTGTGTTCCTTGACATTAATTCGCAGGCGCTGACCTTCGCTAAAGACAACATCACTCACTCGTGGCGAGGAAGCGAGCAAAACGGGGGCGCACCGGCGGCGGTAGCGGAGAGCTTGTGATGGGGTATGTCGATGTGGAGGTGTGGATTTCGGATCAACTGAAGACTCATTGCCAATTGAATGCCGAGCTTCACTTTCAGCTTGGGCATGCTCGGAACTGCCATCGCCTTCACGAGAAGCGGTCCGACGCATGGAAGAGGTTCCTGGGCGATGTGAACTTGGAAAGCGAGCATCTTCAGGATCGAGATCATCAGTCTCAGGATCTGCGGCAGGGCTTGGGGCTGCATGCTCGTGGGAGTCTTGATGATCTGGTTGCTCAGTTCTCGTGTTTGCAGCTGCAAGGTGAGGGTAGAGTTGGCGGATGATGCGCTCTTGTTCGGCAATGATTCGCCTGCCGGTCTCCAGATTAGATAGATTATCCAGGTTAGCATTGATCCGCGAACTGTCAAGTAGCCGCTGCCGCCTACTTCTCCGGGGAAGACTCCTATAACGCGGCTCGCTCCGGTCGTCCAGTGGTGGGCTAATGTCAATACCCGCGCAAAGATTTTCAATCCAGTTCAACATCTCCTCTTGAGAAGGTGCACAGAGCAAGAACTGCTCCGTTTCCAATCGAAGGCGGATCACGTGCTCACGGACTGGTTCAAAAAGATGGGGATCCGTCTCGTAGAGTTTCTGGCGGGCGGACGAAGGCACCAGATGCGCAAATGGCGACCTTGGAGTTAGTGGCGTCTTCTTGAAGTCGGAAGCCATACCAACTTCAGCATGTTGGAGGGTAAAGGTCTTCACCAAGCGTCCCGGTCCCGGAGCGCGGTTCTTGCTGAGGAAGCTGGGGATTTTGACACGAAAGATGCTCAGCTGGGTCCCCCGTAGCACCACATACGCGTCGTTCCACTCTCGGTGTCCGGCCAGCTGGAATGGGGTTGATAATTCTTGCTTTAGGCCCAAAACGCCTCCAATTTCTACAGTGCAGGTATATGGTGGTGGAGGGTGAGCGAGGGATCTTTTTTCTAATCTAGCTTTAGCATTGAGTCGATCCAAGGTCCGGGGATTTATAGCGCAGGCGTAGGTAGGTGGAGGAGCGTCAATTGCGAGTTGAGCGTGGGTGTGGAATGTGTTGTGGTACCCGTAGGTGGGCGTGGTGCGGTCTGAAGACTGCGGCGAGGTTGAGCTGGTGCCATTGGTCGAGGAGGGAGAGGTTCGAGATCTTGATCGGTTCGAGGAGGTGTCCTCTGCGGCAGGTTCCGCATTCAGACCTGATGGAGGCATGGGAATGCACACCCACGGCGAGGGGGGTGAGGACGAGGGGGGCGAGGACGATGACAGATAAAAACAAGAGCAGAAATTATGTTGGTTGCCTCAGGAGGTCGTCCGCGGAAGAGAGAGCCGGTATAAGTCTTGTATTCGGGACGGGGAGGGGGGTGGGACGAAGCGGCTCATGGACGAGCTGGCATTCAGTGAAAGCGCCTACAGGCTTGCCCGTTCCGAAGTCTCGAGCTGGTGGTACGAGCAGCACGAGCAGAATACGGGATGCGGCCTGCGCTCAGCGTCTTTTGTGGCCGGCTAGAATAGATGCCCCGAGAGGCTGGAAAGGAAGGGTGCAGTGAGAACAATTGAAGCTCGACGCTGTTGTGAAGACGATGGACAGGCGGTTCTTTGTATATACGGCGTCCAACCGGGAGCTACAGGGGTCTGGGTTGTGGCTTCCAGGATCTGTTGCGGACAAGCCAGCAGGCGGCGGTGCCTGAGGTCAGCGCGTTCCTGGCCACGGAACAGCGGTAATCTTCCAAGGTTGGCGATAATTATCGGAAGCAACAGAGAAGCAACAGAGACAGCCAGCTGCGCGAAGCGAAGAATGCAGTGGGGCCCTTTAACGAGAACCTTCGGGTGGTACTATGCCTCTAAATGTATTCGACCTTTCTCTATCAGCTGCCATGGACACAGTCGCGGGTCACCTTACCGACCAGGATGGTCCCCCTCACGCCGCGCCCTGTTGGCAGCGTTGTGGCGTCAGTCGAGATCTCACCAGGGTTCGCGAGCGGGCAGCTCACGCCAGCTGGAACAAGTCTAGCAGGCTCCAGGCTATCATGCAATCGCCAGACTCAGAACCCGCATGACAGCTTCGCCAACGCACTCTCACTCCATCTATTCGAAATTGCTGGACTTTCACTCGCACGCCTGAACCCCAGGCCGAACCGCTCTCCATCGGCCGTGACAGTCTTGACAGATTGACATTCACGTCGAGCCCTCCCGCGTAAATCTTGGGGGAGGATCCTCCAATTCGCCGTTCATGGATCCGTGGGCGACCCCGGCTGACTCAGGGAGACCTCCGCTTCTGCGTACCATTCTAAGCCCACGACCCCATGAACTAACAAGGAAACGCTGTTTCTCCATCGAGACGCACTGGTGGCCACCACGCCAGCAAAAGCACTCCTTCACCGTCTCGATGTTGGAAACCGAGAGACTTGGACTGGCCAGCGCTCCTGCCTGGCTCAACCATGGTCTGCAAAACCATCACGCTAATTGTCCGACGCCCTCCCCACTCCTCCCACACCTCGACCACCTGTAGGGAGAGCAAGAACTTCGACGCTTCACGCGCCCCTCCAAAAGGACACTCTCGCAGATGTTGAAAGCATGATGACGAAAGATCGTCGAGCCTCGTCAAGGTGCAACCGATGATCGTATCGCATGTCGTCTAATTCTCCGCACTTTCAATATCCCTTATTCATTCGTCTTCCCGAAAGTTGTTTCTCCAGCCCCTGTTTCGCATCTACGTAGACCGTAATTCCTGAGCCCTGCATAAAGTGCAGGGCTCAGCCAATGCTCTTCACTCAAATCCTCCCTGCTACCTTCTGATTCTGGCTCCAAACTCCAAATTAACGGCTGGTAGCATTCCCATTGGCCAATGTATATTAATCGCTGTCGAGCTTTTCTACCTTTGTATCACCTTGCCACTTACTCCAAGCAAGACACGAAAGAGTCAGATGTTGAGATCTCAGAAAAGAAAGCTTGTCTTCAGCAATCAGGTTCCAGCTGATGTGATCTTCTCATCGCTGCATGTAATAAACATCGAAAGGCTTATCGAATCCCTGTGCGGTTGATAGGTTGTTGGTCATCCTCCAAACTCAGTCCATGCAGCGGATATTGTTTGACTACACGCGAGAGGAATACGCGGCTGATTCCGGGCGACTTGATTTGCTGGCCTTTGCTTGAAATATCTCTCATTCACCAATGCTTACATTGGTCGAATGAATGGGAATTCGGATGCAATCGGTCTGACAATAAGGACAATCTACCACCAGGTTTGTTGAGTTGCATGATTGAGCCTGTGTCCCATTCACCACGTCTCACGAGAACGGCCTTTGCCCCAAAAGAATGGTCGCCGTGTCGCTCCAGTCTCTTCCCCTCACCATGTGCTATGCTACTAAAACTCCTTACAGTGCCACTCCGTGGTGTAGGGCTTCGAAGTCCGTGGCGCGGAGTCCGATACATTCATTGTACGGAGCCGGCGCCACACCAATATTCGGGAAACCGCAGCCTCCCCCTAGCGCTGTACAGTGCGTAGAAATGACACGATGTGCTTGACCCTCGCTTTCCATCTGCTGCTGTCTGCAAGATGTTTGGATGGATAAACAAAACACAGGCATTCCCGCACGGGCTGTCTCGACTAATCCAGCTAAACCTGAAGGGAATACGAAACGTTACGAGCAGACGTAAACGAAGACATCCTCTAGCCAGTAAACGTCATTAGGATATGAAAGCTCATCGAATTACGACCGACTGTGGACGTCATGCGGCTGCGCCTTGGACAAATCCCAATCTTTCGGTTGTGCCTCCCCACAAGTTCATCCTCGCTGATCTGTTTCCCCTCAGAATTAAAACGTGTCGGCTAGCGCTACGACTCTGGCTCAACGTCTCATCGTGTACTTCAATTGCAAGAGTCATCACAGCTCGAGGTTGCAAGATGTGTTCTTTGAGTTCAAGACATCGCCGCAAGGGGATCGCGCGAAACATGGCTGGTTCTTAAGGGATCACGCAACTTGTCTTCGTGGCATTTTATACCTCAATGCGGAATCGATGCTAACGTCCCCGCGCCTTCTCTACGACATCAAACCGTAGTCCCTGTTACGTGAGGTACGCTATCGATAGGGCTCGATGAGGAATTTGCGAATATACATTCCTTGCGCAAGGCAGTCACGACGAGTATAAAAGTAATCTGCCCTATTATTTCCATCCCTTCACACCCACCAGGGAATAGCATCAACAGCCTTCGCTGAAAACCAAACCCACTATCATCAATTCAAAATGCGGTTCTTAATCCTCGTTCCCGCCGTTATGGTATCTCTCACCCAGGCCATTCCAACATCGCACATTGAACGACCCCACTTGAACATGGAGCAAGGCAGTGGAGGTGTACGTCGTCTTCTATCCATATATATATCCAGTAGATGTCTTTCCCTAACTTCACCCCAAGGTCTACATGACAACCGAGCCCTTCTGGGGCTATCGCGAGACGAAGGGGCTGTGGCAATGGTTCAGGATCAAGAACAATGACTGCCACGATCTTACTGTCTAGTGCGCTTTCCTTCCCCGCGATTTATTCTCAAATCCTCTCGATTGACAACGCCTAGTGACAAGCAAATATCCTCTTTCGGCCCTGACGAGGGCGTGAAATGTATTGTTTTTGAGTAGGCTCATATTTGTACTAAAAGCACAGAATTCGAATTGATGGGTGAATGCAGTAAACACCAATGCAAAGGAAAAAGTCTGGAAATCTTTTATCCAGGGTATGCGGATATGAGTTGGAATAGTGAGTTCTTCCTTGTGGTTGTTTTGGGTTGGGGACTAATTCTGAGAAGAATGGGACAACCGAGTTAGTTCCTTCAACTGCACTTTGGAGTGAATGGATGGAGGGAATTTCGTGGCGGATATGATTGTATGCGCCGCAGAATAGTGGCAATGCAACGAAACCATTCCATGATTGAGGATTATGAAGTTCCCTGTGCTCCACACTTTTATTCACGTGCGTCAACTTTGCTCCATTTCATCCCCGCTTCCTCAACCCATAAATCCCCACTACCTTGGGACAAGGCTGCAAAACCGGCATATTCCACCACACCTCTTTCGAACCTCTATGTATCTTATCCCACCCACTAAACGCCTTCAGGACCCGTTTATCTCTTGGCCAAAACTCCACACCGCCGTAGAATCGGTTTCAACAAGACTTGAAGTGCGCTTTGCTAAAAAAAAAAAAACCTCTAGCCAGAGAAACGGGTTCAAATTCCCCCTTGAGACCGATGTGCTCATATCCTCAACCAGTTCACCGTTCGTGGGCATCATATGCGACCCTGTATCGAAAGGGAGGGTGAGTGAGGGGTCGGGGATTATATAGGTATTGTGTTGGAGGGTGAGAGATGATGACATTGTGATTGCTAGGATTTGTAGATACGTTTAGTAGTGTAGATAATTCGGGGTGGAACGAAGAGCAGGATGGTTTCGAGGGGGTTGGGGATCGAGATGACTTGTTACATGAGAGAGGGCATGATGGGCAGAGTGGAGAGAGCGTCTGGTTTCATTGCCTTGTGTGTGAAGGTGGGGTTGGCTTTCGATTATTTTGAAAGCCGTGAGTGAACAAGAGAGACATCGTCTTCAGGTTTTGAGGAAGTTGTGATGTCAGAAAGACAGGTGGACAAGGATCAAGGACGAAGGGCGTGGAGTCCGAAGTCGAAAGCAAGCTGTTGCAGGAGGTTTTCACCTCTCACGTTCATACCGCTCGAGCTAGGGGGTGTGTCGCATACAATTATCCGCCTATCTATATCCTTGTGCTATGCTAGCTAAGAGGTTGACCTTTTGGCAATGCAACACAAGCCATCGTAAGACTAGCGCTCTTCTCATGCGGCTCTTTGTCACACTCCTAGTGTGTAAGATATAGAGTCCCTTCTAATAAAACTATTCCGTATGATGCAATTTAACCTCAAAGCCTCTAATAGCACTAGTCTTACTCCCTTCCCTCCCCCTTTTCCTCAATAGCCTTCGTCTCCACCATCTCGAATCCCTTCAGCGCCTCCCCATACCTTTCCCAAGTCCCTTTTCTATAACCCTCGCAGATCTTCTGTACAAAAGTCTTCTCATTCCATCGGGCCTCCAAAAAGTCCTCAAATGATTCGCCATCTTTGCGGCCAACGCCCCAAGCAGCTTTATACGCTGCCCCCAGGGCACAAGCATTGCCACCAATATCGAGCTTGTAAACTCCATCTGCGCCTCCGAGAACTTCTGCTGCAAGTTCCGCGATGGCTGGATTCACTGCGCCGCCACCGACCATGTAGACACGGCGCGGCTGGGGAGGCAATTCGCCCTGTTTCTCAACTAGATTCTGGGACCGGAGGCGGAGTGAGAGGAACTGAGATTCCAAGATTGCTCGAGCATCGGCATGCGGGATCGGCCATGACTTGTCCTCTGTCTTCGTCTGAGCCGAAGGAGGGGGTACGGCCGTGAGAGTGTTGTTTGCGAAGAGATATCGCCAGATTCCTGCTTTGACACTCGGTACAATTTCTGGCCTTGGGAAGAAGAGTCCTAGGCGCATTGGATCGGAGTTAGGGTCTTTCTGCCCCAGAATAGGGGTGCTGGTAGAGGTCTCGTTGAAGAGATTCCAAGACTTGCTGTCTGCCGAAGAGGAGAGGCCATTGATTGCGTCGCGAATGTGTTCGCGGGCAAGGCCTCCGTTCTTGTAGCAAAGCATGAACATATACAACCCAGGTGTAGTGGGGTGGTTCATGAAATGGTAAGCGGGATCCGGCTTGTACTGTGGAGTCGACATGAGAAACGTTGTCGACGTGCCCAGTGAGACGATAGCATCAGACGAGCGGAGCGGTAGAGCCAAGATAGTAGATGGATTATCTCCTGTGAACGGAATAATCTGGCAAGAAGATGGGAAGTTGTATCGGTTCACGAAATACGAAGCGATGGCGCCGAAACTGCCCCCTCCATCTTCTGGCACATTGCCCAACTTCGACTTGAGATCATCAACGCCTTTGTCCCCGGCGGCAAGTGCCAGAAGATCTTCATACCAACGACCATTCTTAATATCCCAGAGATTCGCTCCGCATACATCGCCAATGTCTATCGGTGCCACTTGGCCTAGAAATATTGATGCGAGGAATGAGGAGACGAGAGAAATACGTGAGGTAGCTTTGTACGCCTCAGGGTACTTTTGATGAAAGCGCATTATCTGCGGCCCACTGAAACGCTGCAAAGACGGCATTAGCTCGATAAACTCCGAGAGTTGGAGCATGCATACATGATGAGCTTTGCTTCCAGTGGCTATCGCCAACTGCATGGGACCCCTCAGAGCCACATCAAAGCGCTCACACTGTTTCTGCGTACTAGCATCCTGCCAATTGGGGCTGAACGGGTGGCTGAAAGCACTTTTCTTCTCTCCTTTTGAGCCTCCTTCCAGTTGTTCCAACAGCGTTTTCCCGGCATCTAGTCCACCAAGCAAAGCCTCTGCATCTCTACTCCAGAACACAGTCCCATGCTGCATTCCAGCTCCAGAAATGCCTTTTATTTTCGAAAAGTCTGCCCCTTGAGCTTCTAGGCGCTGGAGGACTAAGTCGATAGCCTCGAGCCACATTGCTGGAGGAGCAAACACTTCACCCTCAGAGGGATTAGTGAGGACACCTTTGCTGATCCCATATTTTGCAAGGTCAACATCAAAGTCTACCTTCGCCTCATAAGCAAGTTTGAGGTCCGAGTGCACGATAATTCCTGGATGCGTCTGAAGTCAGTCCAGAAGCACGATGGCGGGGTAGCTGAAGCGGGGCACGCTCACCCTTCAGTTGCTGTGTGCTCAGATCAAAACCCAGATATTGGTCAGCCATTGTCGGGATTTTGAAGAAGAACAGACGCAAGAGAAGTGAAAACTACACAGGACATTTAAATAAGCAAGCAACTTCTCATGTGAGGTTGAAAAAACATATTCCTTCCTCACTTAGCTTCGAGCACTGCCGCGTCTTGGGTGTGACGCTTGCCATGAATAATGGGTTTTGCCGGTCGTGCCTGCAGCTTTCGGTTCGTCTCATTGGATCGCGGATAAATATGCGGATTGCCGAATCGAGGGTTGAAGATAGAACTGGTGCTTGGTGAGATGAAGGATGGTGATGAGATGGTGATGAGATGGTTACGAGCTAATGTGTCTGCTTTCTGCTATTAAGAAGATCCTCTTGCACAACACTAGCAATTCTGTCATCCCGCAGCAGCACCACCCACAACACTACCCACTAGCCCGTCCTGCCGAATAGGGCTGTATTCAAGCTCAAAGATCAAAGTGCGCCACCTGTAGCGCAAGCCCGTATAGCCGCAATAGGGAATCCGTCCTATCCAAAGCCAAAACTCCGATTCCGCGTTGTCCTTGATAGATATAATACAGATCACTTCCGTTTCGTCACATTCCCATTGCTCGGCTTGTGATCGTGTCCATGATCGTGGCCATGGGAGTGTGAATGATTCTCCTCCTCTGGCTCTGGGCTGGCCTTAGCGCTCACATCTGGGCCAATGAACTCGTCTGAGAAGTCAGGCTGTTCAGAAGACTTGGACACAAACCGGACCCGGACTCTCTTGACACCTCGGACCTTTGCGCCGACTCTTTCTCGGACCAAGTCTTCCACGCCACGTGTCTGCTCAACGGTCCATGATCCGGGCACGGCAAGTTCTAGATCTATTAAGAAGTTCTGACCGGACTTGACACCCTGTACAGAACGCAGATCGACGTGAGTGGCCACCAATCCAGAATTGATGCTGTCTAGGGCTTTACTAGCTGCCTTGCGGACGTTCCCTTTCATCTCATCTTCAACACCGACGTCTGCGAGTTCAAGCAGGGAGTCTTTCGTGTTGCCCCAACCAGCCTGAACCACCATTAATGAAATCACCAAGCCGCCAACGGGGTCCAGCCACGAGGCATTACTAAGGACGTTTGATCCAGCAATCATGAGCAGTGCGACGAAGGCTGTGAGAGAGTCTACTCGATGATGGTATGCGTTCGAAGCGAGGACGGAAGATTTGCGCTCGTTGGCGACCTTGAGAGCTGAGAGTGCACGTGTCAGCAGAAGCCCTGCACGTGAAGAGTGCTGCAAACCTACTCGCGCGGTACAGCCATTCCTTTATGAGGATCGAACCTCCGGCGAGCCAGGCCGCATTGATATTCGGGCCCAGCTCGCCATGGCCGTGGCCGTGGCCGTGACCGTGACCATGGCTGTGCGGCAAAAAGCCCCAGTGAGCAGCAGCTTCTGCAAAATCAGGAAAGAACTGCTGGCAGAGAGCAATCAGGGCAGCCCAGCCCATCATCAACCCTCCGCCGAGTAGGATGCCGCTGACACCCAAAGAACCCAAGCTCTCCACCTTTCCGTACCCACTGGGGAAACGCTCCGACGGAGGCTTCAAAGACCACGAGACGGTTGCAAGGGTCATGATGTCGCTGACAAGATCTGTGAGACTGTGGATGGCATCGGCAATGAGGGCTGTCACATGGTCAGTCCGGCGAAGCCTGCCTCAGGCGCGCGGGTTGCACTTGCCCTGGCTGTGGAAGACGTAGCCTCCAACGCCCTTTCCTATCGCCATGCCCAGGTTGACATAGAGCCCAATGCGCGTGATTCGCACGCCCGCATCCTTCTTGTTGGAGGAGATCAAATATGTGTTGTCGTGCGAGTGGTGGTGGTGGGAATGCCCAACGTGCGCCCGTGTCTGCGTCTTGGTGGAGCTTGTCATGGCGGAAGGGGAAATGTGTCGTCTGCTGTAGGCGGCCGAGGACCAATTGACGAGGGAGCACGCTGCAGTAGACGAGGCTTTAGTAGAAGTGCGGAGGACGCGCAGCTGGAGGCACTTGACTGCCGGTGAGACTGGGATTGGCGCTGCGGTACAGGAGCCCGATAGTAGGTGAGGTGAACGTGGCCCGTAGGGACACACGCGTCGGAATTGGCCAAAGAGCGACAAGCCATTATTGCACTTGCGCAGGGACATGAGAGGGAGGGCAGCAGAGGAAGACTGCTGGCGAATGCTGTGACGTGGACCTGAGGCTGCAAGACGCATCAGATCTTCCTGCTTGCACTTGAGCCTCCTGCGGTTGCGGCCGGGACGCCGCGCTGGCTGGAGCAGAGAAATCAAGCTCATCCGGGCCCGCCAGTATCTCTCCACTCGCGATGCGGCCCTCTGCAGAGACGCCAATCAGATCATCTTGATTACCCCCCGGTCCCGCATCAACACTGAAAAATTTCACCCTTCTGTCTCCGTCCCCCAGGCCGACTTTTTGCATCGCAGCGTTCCTAGAAATCCAGGCATGCTGCTTCAGTCAGGTGCTCCTGGTATCATTGTCCCTTCCATGAACGACAAGCTCAGCCTTGCCATTTCATGTTTCACGATGTTCACAACTCCGATATACGCGCGTTCGACGACAAAACATTCGGCCATTGTACTGAACTTGTGGCCTAGCGCGCGAACTACATCATGCAGGTGGTGAGAGCTTAGACCTACCTCGTGCTTGAATATGATCATGAAGTAGAAAACAGTATGCTCTATTGAACCCTGCTAGCCACGCAAACGCTATTCAGTCCCCAGTTCTCTAATTTTAGAGCTTCGACTTTGCTACTTCGACTTGGACTGGATCTACTGATCGAGCCAGTATCCAGTCCGCGACGTCGTTCATGAACTTCTGATTTTCCGGGCTAGGCTCGTCATGAACTGCTAAAAGTAAGTAGACAGCTCAGTACACTTCAGCAGTCACTCACGGCGGTGGAAATGGCCTTCGTAGGTCTTGAATTCCTTATCCTTCGCTGGAACACTCTCGAATAGATTTTTTGCGGCACCAAAATTGGTGATGCCATCCTTGCTTCCATGCGCCATGAAAATTCTCGTCACTCCGCCCTCTCCAGCTGCGTCTCCAATCTTGATCTTGCCGCTGGCCAATTCCCCAGTACGGTCCAGCAGTCCAGCAAGCCCTTCGAGGGTTCCGGTGTCATGGCACAGATCATCCTCCAGGAACTGCTTTTGCACAGCAGGATTTCGTGAAATTAGCTGTACATCGAGCTTGTTGACCATTTGTCTATGCGGCAGGAGCTTGCCAGCGAGCCGTCCAAAGAAGACCGTAATTGGCGATGGTTTGGAGGCTGGGCTGAAGTCGACAAAGGCGGATTCTAGCAGGTAGCCCCGAATGTGTTGGCGGATATCCGCGGGACCTTGGGCGGCGTAGCATAGAACCTCACCACCTCCCATAGAATGACCCATGAGGAAGAGTGGAATAGGACATGGAGTGACAGTTTTGATGAACGAAGAAATGTCTTCTAGGACTTGGGAGGTAGGGCCTGTGTGGCCCTTTTCTGATGGCTTCTGGACAGAGCGACCCCATCCTCTGACGAGGTTAGTAAAGAGGTTTCGCCGGATAGAGCTTGAGTTCCTACCTCTGATCAAAGCTATAAACCTCGATGTCTTTAGAAGAAAGGGTTGGGAAGAAACTATTGTATGTATTGCCTGTCTCGCTCTAAGTGGGGGTCTTTGTATTAGGGTGCCGCTAGAAAGGATGCACTCACAATGATCACTGAAACCATGAATGAACACTAGTCGAGCTTTAGCCGGGCCTTCTGTCTGTGTGGCAGGTTAATATGACTTCCAGCTAGCAGTTCCGAGAAGATACCTTCCAGGTTTTCGTATACAACTTCGTCCCATCCTCAAGCGCATGCCAGCCTTCCTCGGTCGTCATGGTTGAGATGTGGATGTGAAGTTGTTAGGTGCAACTAGAAGCAAGAAGCTTGTCCTTGCGAGAAAGGTAAGAGTAGATGAAATAGTTGTTGTCTCTGGCAGCTGAGAGCTGAGACGAAACCGTCTAATCGATAAAGCACGTCGAGCCGAGGCTGCTCTAAAAGCGTCGTAGCTCCGAACCATCACCACTTGAATTCACATGTTGCTCTTCAACATCCCCCTACTCCTCTCTCGGCGCTCGATTCACAAGATGCTATGCTGAACACTTCTGCTAGAATCTTTTTACATCACTCTACATCCCTCACGAATCTGAGGAGGATAAATCCCATTGCCAAAATGCAAACCCGATCATCAACCAAAGCAAGTCTGAGCCATAAAGAGCGGACTGCGACTGAACCACGTAGCAGAGATCTCCATCCTGTTATAGTCGATAGCATAATGGAAGTGGGAGACACCATTAGAACCTTTCGTCTGGCGATTGAGGATAGGCAGAATGGCATAAATGTATTCATGTCTGATTCTTCGTCTTGTTTGGATGCACAAAAGCTAATTCCTTAGCCAAGTTCTTGCCAGGCCAGTGGCTTGATGTCCATGTACCAGGTATAGAGAAAGCTGGTGGCTTCACCATCACATCCTCCCCTCGCGACGCTGTGGCGGCCACAACCCGCTCTTCTAGCCCATTCCTTGAGCTCGCTGTACAGAGGAGTCCCGATAATCCACCTGCGGCGTGGCTATGGCAGCCGACAGAAACTATACTTGGGAGTCAACTAGCCGTTCGGGTTGGAGGAAGTTTTATCTGGCCTCCACCCGGTCTAGACTCCGAGAGAATTAAGCGTGTTGTCTTCATTGCGGGAGGTGTTGGCATCAAGTATGATCTTCATCTGTCATTCCCCACTTTGCATGCTGCCGTGAATCAACTAAGTAACGAAACCTGACGTCCAAGCTAGCCCCCTCATCTCGATGCTCTCATATATTCGAGAAGAGAATGTTCCGCTGGATCACGTTCGACTCTTATATTCTACAAAATTACCATCGAAGACCTCGACAAAGTCTGAAGTCCTGTTCCTCCCTCGAATCCTGGACTTATTTTGCACCTCAAAGCCTCCACCACGCCAGAATCACAGGGATCGCCTAGAACTATTCTTCACAGGCACTTTGGACGGCTCGCTATTATGTTGTAATGAAGATGTGCTCTTCCAGTCTTTTGTGCTACCGGGCTTTGAATCTGAGGGGAACTTACCAGTCGTAGCTTGGGGCGGCCGAATTAATGAGCATGCCTTGTCCAGTGCCGTTGGCAATGAGAAAGAACGAGGTTCTGCGGTCTTCTACGTATGCGGACCACCTGACATGACGGACAGTATCGTCCAATATCTCAAGGACCGAGAAAATGTGGCACCTGAAAGTGTTCTGTGTGAGAAGTGGTGGTAAGGACAATATTCTCGGGTTAGGTATATCCCACCTCTACAACATAAGAATACCTAACTTTTGAGCCCACTTCGGCCTGTCTTCACTCTACTTGAAGGGCCAAATAACCCTTAGTTGGCACAATGGTATTATACAGCTTATGGTTATCTAATTACAAGGGGTCCCACAGCTTCCATTTATGCCTCAGCCTGAGACTAACTAATAGACGATAACCCCTGTTCCACAAGCAAGCTGCGCACCTCAAAACACACCAAAATATCTAAATTTGCGTCTGAATATCTCAATAACTACCTAGTGAAATTTCATAGCAATCTGAATGTAAGCTATTTAATACTGTATTCTTCGTAGCTTCTATCAATGTTTTAGAGCTTTCGCACCTCGTTCTTGTTAACATATGGCAAATTTGCTTAATTTTAGCCCCCATATTTTGATATATTACTAGACTTAGCCGAACGCTCTAACCCTTTAATAGAAGCTATAAAGTATACATAATAGCTTGTATTTAAAAATTGTGGCTTACTATTATGTAGGTGTTGAGATCTTTGAATGCAAAATTTGGATTTTTAGGCATATTCTGCATAGCCACGACCGGAGGCATCCAAAGACATCACTTTATAGTTTCTTCAATTGATCATGCTGCTCCAACAGTAGGCGCACTTTGAATCTGAGGACGCCTGCCTGAGTTTGATTTATCCAATCAGTGGCCCTTTTCTGTCTTCGAATTTGCTGACTGCGTTGACCATATCCCCGCCCATGGTACCGGAATGCTCTAAATCTCGTATTTATCGCTTCCCAGTCTAGAAGACAACCGAAGTCTGCCTTACTAGAAGAACATTACGTATGCGAAAGCCAACAGTCAACTAGTTCTTCTTATTCCTGTATAAATTTCATTAGCATCCGTTCATTTTCGATATCATCTCCAACCTGCTGACGATCCAACCTGGCCACCATGAAGCCTTTATCTCTTCATTTTCTTGTTTCGCTCTCGTTCTGGGGGCTGGCCCGAGGAGAAATCCTAATTCCGGAGCCTGGTGGACCATATGCGGTCGGATATAATACGATGAAACTAGTAGACGAATCGAGAATCGATCCCTACGATCCCGGTCACGGCAAACGAAACGTCATGATGTCCCTATTCTATCCCGTGGCTCGAGAGGACTGCCAGCAGATGTGTTCGATCAACTACATGCCCCCAATCACAGCTACATTTGAGGATGGTTTTGCAGCTGAATTAGGGTTAACACTTCCTAATGGTACATTCGCGTCGATTAATTGGCAATCCTGTTGCAAAGTGTCTCATAGAGGTATCCAGGCCATGGAAAAGTTTCCCGTTGTTCTGTTCTCTCCCGGTCTAGGCGGTTCCCGTCTCCTGTACAGCGCGATGGCGCAAAAGTTGGCGAGCGCCGGCTACGCGGTGGCTACAATGGACCATACATACGAAGGGGTAGTCGTGGAGTATCCTGATGGAAGCTACATAGTGGGCTGGAATCAATCGTACCTGGAATACCTCTTTGACCCGGCTTTCCCGGAGCGGGTGGAATCGGTGCTTGATATTCGAGTGCAGGATGCACAATTCGTATTGACTCAATTAGGACAGCTTGCAGTTGTTAAGAGTCTCATACCTGGAGCTACTTGCGCCTTTAATATCGGACACTCAGGATTCTATGGCCATTCATTCGGCGGTGCAACGGCGTTAGCAGCCCTGGCGAGAGACCATCGCTTGAACGGCGGTCTTAACCTTGATGGATCGCAATATGGAGTCAATCAAGACATCCACCGACCGGCAATGCTATTCGGTCGAGATGACCCTCATTCTCACAATCGCACAAACGACGCTACATGGGCAGCAGTTTGGGACCATATGAAGGGTTGGCGAAGGGAACTGGGATTGAGCCACTCACAACACACCACTTTTATGGACGCTCCCTTGTTGATCAAGATGGCTGGACTACCTGACAGCGACGTAATCAGGGGGATTTTAGGAGAGCTAGACGGAGCGCGCGCATTTGAAATAATCACGAAATACGTTGAAGCGTTCATGGATTTCGCACTGAAGGGGAGACGTAGCGAACTATTCTCAGGGCCCAGTAAAGCCTATCCGGAGATTCGTGTATCCTAAATTCAGAAATACACACAGAGAGCCGCTTGCTGGTGCACTAATTCGACCCATCAATATTTCTCGCATGGTGTGTTCTCGAACCGCTGTTCGGGGCTTGTGGACCCCTCACATTCACATTCAGGATCCGTCAAGCGCTTGATGAAGGTGATATCTTGCTAAGCGCCCACGATGGTTCCAGGACTTGAACATCTCGTGATGCTCGCTCGACTGCTTACACCCCGAAACATCCACGCCTCTCCCAGCCCAACAAAACACCCCTTCGACATTCGAGAAAGAACTATTCACAGGCAGGTAATCCAAGAACCCAAATGCAACAATCTTCAAAACTTGTACCACCGTCAGCTAATATCCATTTTAAGCCCGGTGTGTGCGTTCATGCTGCCCTATCCAATCTTGGGATGCGCATATATTGCACTTCCGAAAGCGGGTATATTATGTGCACGCACTGACAGCATGGAACAGGGATACGCAAGTTAGCTCCCGCATGTCACGCATGGTGATTGGGTGCGCGTCCGCAGTGAGTGGCTTTTGGGGTGATTCGTTTCTGCGATGTGCTGCCACTCAGCGCTTGTCACTGGCACTCTGGAGAGGAGGGGCGCACTTCAACCGCCTGCAATGGATGCCAGCGCTGGGGGCTCGTTCGATGGCTCGGCTGACAGACCTGGCAGCGGGCCAACCGCTGGCGACCACACGGCCAGACGGCAGAGCTGGGCGCTGGGCAGAGCTTGTCGGGAGGGCCTGCCTTTAAACGGGGTTATCCCGCCGCACTCAAGCTTCCTGCATCGCAAAACTAGAGGCTGAGGTCCTGCATATCCATCGTGAACGACGGCCTTCTTGGTCCTGGGACCGCCCAGCGACGACTAATTGACGACGCATTTCGCCTTTCCGTCGACCTTCCGGGACATCGACGTGTGACACGAGCGAGCACTTCGCTCTCCCCGCCCAAGCTGACATCCATTTCGAAGACTGCATCAAACTTAGGACTCCCCCTTCCCCTACACAGCCTGCGATATTCACAATGGGGTTCTTTATTCCACGGCACTGGCGATTCCCTAAGGTCATATGGGCGCTCTTGATCCTCGAGTTCCCGTTTACGGTCGCCAATCTGGCGCTCTTCGGCATCGCGGCACCGAATCTGTATCGGACGATATTATGGCAAGAAGGTGGGATGCATGGCTACAATAGCGATCCATCTACTGTATTGTATGCGGCTGCAAATCATCGGCCTGTGAAGACACCGCTGGTTTGGAGTAATTTGTAAGCTCCTCCTGTTTCCAGAGGATTGTCGAGATGATGAGAGAATGAAAAGAACGATCAAGTGCTGACACTCCGCCCAGCCAAACTCAATTCAACCTCGTAGTCGGCGTCTTCAGCATGTTTGTCCTACTCACCAAATTCACTATGTTCACCGTACACGCCTTCTGGCCGCTGCTATCTCTCATCGTCCACCTTGCGCTCGTCGCTCTCTGGGCCGTTAGCATCCACGCCCAGACGGCGCCGGACACGATTGACCCAAAGAGAGCTAACAACGGGCCGCCGTGGTATATCACTAAAAACTGCAATGTCTCGAGCTCGACGAGAATCAAAGGGTACTGTATGCAAGCGAAGAGTGCGTTTGCTGTTAGTGTGGTTATGCTGTATGTCTACCCCTTACCTCTCCTCCCCCCCAAACAAAATCCTAACATCCACCCTCCCTAAGCGTCCTCTTCGCCACTCACGCTATCATCGCCGCCTACTCTCTCCGCCCCACCAAAGAAGCCCGCATCGCACACGACCAAAAAGTCGCCGAAAAGAAAGCAGAGAAAGAGCTCTACGAATCCTCGCCCTATGACAACGAAATGACGGCGGATGAGCAATGGCAGCATATGTGGGAGCTGCAGCAATTGCCAAGAACTCCGGGCACTGCCGGTGGAATGCGGAGTCCCATGACGCCGAGGACGAAGGCGTTCAACTCGTTGGATGGAGGCCAGGGACACTATGCGAGAGAACCGCATCAGCCGGTGAGTCCAGTTGCGGAGGAGGAGCATGGGCAGTGGTATGAGGGGAGAGGGAAGGGGCAAGGGCAGGCCGTGTAGATGGGGTTGGAGACTAGGTGCAGAGAAGAGAGAGTGGAGAGGGATATAGAACGTGAGGGATGAGAGATATTTTGGGATGTCTTTTGCGGCGTTCGAGCGAGTGGGCATGTTTGGGATACCTATCTGACACCCACTTTTTGGGTTATGGGATCTTGATGGGGATGTTATATACCTGGCGTACGCTTTGGGTTGTTTCGTCGGGCTTTTTATCGAGTAGGCATGAGATAACTGACCTTGTATCAATCCTTTGTCATCATCTAATATACCCCCATGAAACAAATTGTCAAAGGGATGTAATATTGCTGAAATCTTAGAATGTCTGTCATGAGCTATGGATAGAGAAAAGCATTCACACGTCACAATCACACAACTATAAGTAAAGCTCACTACATAGACTGAGCCCGCGTCGCTAATTGCCCCATCCCAACACCATGCGCGAACCATTAAACAACTTCGACAGGCTGCTTTCAGCAGCAGTCAGCGCTATCTACTGACTAGAGTAACTTTGCACCAAGCATGAGACATGAAAAGTGTAAAGTACGACATGTTTGGTTCCCATTAATGTCCTCCCTAACTCCAGCAACCCGAATATACTGTAATCCTCCCTCACACCTTCAAAAACCTAATACTCTCCAACTGCTCCTTCCCACTCGTCTTTAAACTCACCCCCTTCACATCTTCCAAATCCCTTAACCCCTTCTCTAACCCCAACTTCTGCATCCCCCAACTATCGCTCCCTAGCGGCAACCTCAACGGAATCTCACCCTCACTTCCCGCCCCATTCCTCACAATTTCATACATAGCCCTTACCACATCCCCCGCCTCCGCCCAATTCCTCGTCGCCTCAGGACTACTCTTATACACCCTGATCTGATTAGTCGGGAGCTTCGGATCCGTGTATGCTGGGTGCGGGACCTCGCCACCCTGCGCTGTAGACGTGGATATGTAATTTGTTTTCACGCCGCCAGGCTCGATGCAACAGAAATGGATATTCCATTCCTCTGGCATCTCCTTACTAACAGCTTCCGTGAAGCCTTCTAGTGCGAATTTCGACGCGTGGTAGAAGGCATTTCCGGGGAACGCGAGACGGCCGCCCATGGACGTTACTTGTAACACCACGCCGCCTTGCTGGCCAGACGTAGGGTTGTTATCTCGGAATATGGGGAGCGTGAGTTGGGTCAGTAGCGCGGCGCCGAAGAAGTTGGTTTCCATGATGGAGTGGGCCTGGGACATGGGTACACCTTCTGTGTCAGCGAGGAGGCCGTAGCCGGCGTTGTTGACTAGGACGTCGATTCGAGACCATTTTTGGAGTGTGGCGGTGAGAGCTGCGCGGATGGAGGATTCGGAAGTTACATCTAGTGCGAGTTTGAGGGTGTTGGGCGTGGTAGGGAGGGAGGAGAGAGAGGATGGGTTGCGGGCGGTTGCGACGACTCGGGAAGAGGTGTTGGTGGTGAGATAGGAGACGAGTTCATTGCCGATGCCTGTCGAACAGCCCGTTATAAACCAGACTGCATCTGGAGGGAGAGAGTATGGGGCCATGGTTTGGAGTGTATGTGAGAGATGTGGAAGAACGGAAGATCTCGAGTGTATTGGAAACAAAGCTTTTAGAACGTGAAGACAGGCTGTAGGAAGAAAGGTTGGAAGTGGTTTACAGACACATCATAGCGGAGACTGGTCCAGCACTATATACCACACCCACCGTTCAAAATCTCTCCCTTTTATGTTCCATGATTTTCATTCGCCCATGGCGATACCTCGAGCGGATGTTGAGGCTGAGGCTCGACCTATCTCCACCGCACCTCCGCTTAGTAACGCGACGAGAAAGGAAATCACTTCCAGTCTAGAATAGCTACTGTGTGCCTCGCGTTAGGGAACTGTGTAAAGGGAAAGTTGAAGGGGGGCAGTGTTCAGTTGAGTGAGCGGAGTTAAATCAAGACTTGATGAGGCAACGGCGTTTGTGGTTGGGATTAGCCAATCAAATGGCGGACGGACGAACAGACGGACAACGGGGGATAAGTACTGAGAGAAAACGAAGGGAGAAAGAGGGCAATGTCGCTTGAAAATTGTCGAAGGCGATGTAGGAGTGTGCTATCATTCGCGACTATCTACAACAAAGTTGCTAGTTAAAGCACTTATGGTTTGTCAAGCGTTCCAAGGGTCCTCAGCTTGCGCCAGAGACAAAGGCCAAGTAATATTGAAGTGCAACTGGTACACTTCAAAGCCTGGAGGTGGGTGCCAGCCCCCGTCCCGTTCTTGCTTAAGACATTACGCCATACAGTCAGTAGAAGCGGGTTAAATAGAGTTCACCGATACTATCAAGTCCGTGTCATTACGACAGCCTGACCTTCGGAACGCTGATGTTCAATAGTGATTACGCTCCTGAGCACTGGGGCTCATTGCCGTTTTAGAAAGTCCCTTAGAAGCATTCATCAGGCGACGTAGAACGGTTGGTGATATCAGGTGTTCTTGCCTAAGCATCACGTCGCATTCTCTGTTTCTGAGCCCGACTTTGATTCACTTTTCAGTTGTGTCTCAATTTCCGCTGGGTTTGAACTCGATCCCACCGAACCGCTCCTCCTAAGAGCGGCAAGTTCTCTTCGTAGCGCTTCCATTTCCAAGTCTTTTTGGTCGATCAATTTGTCCTTCTCAGAACATTGTTTCTGGAGTTGCTTGATGTACTCAATGGCGCTCTCGACCTTAGCCGCTTTTGAGTTGTTCGTTTGAGCACCCCCACTCGAGTCCGGACTTTTGGCATCCCTAGCATCCCTGGCGTGAATCTGAGGCGAGGGGAGGAGCTGTTGCATTTCTTGAAGTGCCGTGTTAATTCGATTTCGGCGACCTTGTTCAGCAATCTTGTGGGACGTCCGTTTTGATGTCAAGTTAGTCGATAACGACGTAGGATAGTTCACTCCGGGCACAGTTGTGCCGTCGAGGATATTCTGATAATTAGACTTGGATGCAAGTAAGAGAGCGTGAGTGTCATCAGAAACCGCTGTTCTTTATTAGCACGGTTTCTATCGAATCGATGGAGAATCTTACCACCCTCAGGGAGTAGAGGTTTTATGCTTGGAGAGATCTTTGGCCTCAAGGCCGGACTGACGAGGGCCGAACTCGTGCTGTTTCTCTTCTTCGAAGTCCTTCCCACTTTAGAGTCCGCTCTTCGTCCAGTTCCCAATGCGAATCCGGGGCTAGTTGGAGACGAGATAGCACTAAGCATTGGACTCGGTTTACCCGACAACGCTGCTGTTGCAGAGGGCGTACTTAAGGGTCCTAACTTGGGCGTTTTCCGGGCAGGTATCCGTGGCGTCGGCTGGTCATCTTCTTGAGTTATGGTATCAATGCACGACAGTGGAGGTCTGTCTGCGGAGGCAGCTTCTGGAAGGGTGAGCTCCTCTAGGGGCGGCATTTCTTGTGGTGCGACGATATTGGGCGACTGTTGAAGGCGCATCAGAGATGCTGGTGTCGCTGGGCATGCTCTTTGACTGGGTGTTGCGCTTTGATTACCCTTGGCCACAATGGCGGGAGAATGTGTCACCGAGGACGGCTTTGGAGGCGGGCCCATTTCGGACAGAGGTTCAGGAGAGATGGATTCGGTGCCAGAGCTGTCACAACTGCGCGGCACAGGGTGTCTACTGGAGGGCGCGCGCGCTGAGTTTAATCGCTGTGCTTCTTCGAGCAGGTCACTAACCTCCTTCGGGTGGACCGTTGATGACAATGTTCCCTTCCGTCTTGAGGGTTTCACAATCGGAGACTGTCGCACTCGGCTGGGGGGGTGCCTCTTGTTGCTCCGTAGCCTTCGGCTGGGCTCTGGTTCGGGGATGGCAGCCTCGCCCAACATGTCTATGTCCACATCCACAGGCGACGTGGCGGCAGAGCTTCCCGAGGTGTTGTACTGGCTGGCATGGCTGTGTGTCTGCTGCTGGTGCTGCTGGTGCTGCTGTGCGTTCAGTGCGGGCGACGTCAGGGGACTGAAGTAAGCGCCTGGGACAGTTGTGAAGTCGGGAATCTGGAAGCGCGCATCATGAGGGGTAACAGCGGGAGAGACGAGTGGGGTGAATGCCTACAGGTGAGTTAGCTGTTTCCTGCGACTATAACCTCCCACGTCCACGTACAGCGTCTTCCTTCCTTATCTGATAACGCTGGTCGAATAGAGCCTGCTGTGGATCCATCTGCTGGAGGTAGCGCGCGGCATTGGCGTGGATTTCGACGCTGTTGGGTGTGGGCGGGACGCCAGAATGTGGGCGGAAGATTTGGTCCGGCGCGGCAGAGAAGGGCGGAACGTTTCCCTGGGTATATTGTGGCATGTTGAAATCGAAGAAGCTGTTCTCCGACTGCGGCATCTCGTTCCCCCCCATTGCGCTCTGCTGCTGCTGCTGCTGCTGCGACGACATCGCGGCCCCACCATCACGATGGTCCTGTGAGACAGCCGGCGAGAAATGATTTTGCAGATGTTGAACGTCGAGCGAGTCGGCCAAGTCAGCGAGTTGTTGGGACGTGTCATGGTCGCTCGCGCCGTTGGTGTAATCGATGGGGAAGTCAAGGTCGAGGGTGTCGAAGTCGATCAGGCTCCCAAAGTCGTGGTCGGCGGAGGCGCTCATTGGGTCATACGGTTCTGCCCCGGACCATGAGGAGCCTGCGTCATTCATTATCTGCGCCCGTGGCTGGGTCAGTGTCGAGGACAAAGGGGAGACGTCGAGCAGGGCTGCTTTTCTTTTCTCGGGTTGGTGGGGCTAGCAGAGAGTGGTCGGCGATGGCAGCGCACGCCAGACATGGGGGCTCCACGCAAAAGGCGATGGCTTGGGGGCACTCGTTGACGATGCTCTGCGCAGCACTTTTCGAGCGGAGGGGAGAGATAGAAAGAGAGAGAGCGCGGCGGAGAAGGACCGTCGACAGTGAGGTCGGTATTCCCCCCCTGCGACTCCCCACGCTGTTAGATAAACTTGACCGATTCCCCAACAACCACCCGCATGCACGGCCTTCGCTGTGGCTGACACGTCGCCTTCGGGGCTTCGAGAACACAGCTTCAAGGTCATATGTCCACCAAAGGCGCATTTGCTCTTCGCACGCTCCATTATAACCGATGCGCGGCCCTCAATCGAAGCCTGGGAACATGTGGTTGAGGGGTGCGAGACAATCAGCTCCGAACTCGCCGCAGGACGTGGGATGGATGCACCGGACAGTTCCCAGGTGACCCACCCCGATATCTATTCTCACAGCCCGAGCAGTGTTCTGGAATGAATCCAGGCCCTTAGTTGCTCCTATGAACGCCTGGTGAAACCGACGAGAGACAAAGAGTCGACCAAAAGCCTCTGTTCTTTCATGTCAGACCATAGTAGTTGACTGTGATCATTGAACAGCGGCCAGTGGATACGGATACCTGGACACACACAGGCCGCGAGAGCTCCAGACCTTAACAGCCGCACATCCGCCGCGTCTTTCAGGCGATAATTTCTCGGTGGACCTGCTTCAAGCGTTGACGAAGGACTGGGGAAGTGAGCGCCAATCAATACCTCTCCAGCCACGACGCAACACTATCATTCTCAAGAGGATGCCGAGGCGAACTCTGCACGGGCTGCTGCAGTTCAGCGGTCGGATGCCGCTCGGTGCCCGCGGCGCAGCCCGACGACCGCTGATGAAGGCCTGCAGAGTCCCGAAGAAACGGTTGCTGTCGTTTGCACGTTGACGCAGAGCCTGTCACCTATCCGTGCAAAACGCGCACTCGTCGCGCAAGCATCGCTTTAAATATTTCCCTCTCTGACTTTCTTTTTTAAAGTGCATTTTGGTTCACTAGGTGGTCCGTCGCGCCATCATCAGTCGCGCCTGGGGCAATCTCGCGTAGCTGTCAAATTGACGCTGGCCTAAGCCGAGCCCACCAACGCCTCCGTGACCTGCCCGTTGCGGGAAAATGCCCTTGGATTAGATCGTCAGAATCCACAGACAACTTTGCGCCATGTGTGGTCCTCGGTCTTGACTCAGTGAGGATAAGTAGAAAAGCGAAAGCGAGCGAGCATGGTAGTTAGAAACTGCTTTTATCTCATGATTTGAAATACCTGTCAAGGCAAGAAGGTCGACTAGGAACACAGAATCTCCCATCGCGCTAGAGAAGCCGATGATCGCTTTTCCCATAATGTACACATTGCAGAAAGTACATGGCCCGTCCGAATTCAATGTCCCAGGAGAGCACCTTGGGTATTATCCACCATCACACAAAAAGGTATATGAAAGAACTTTGCCGTGAAGAGGCACCACATAACGCCGTTGCTTTGACATGACCACCAGCACTTCTCGTCGTCATTTGTCTACATGACGGCGCAGCAGCCGTTGCTTTGTTGTGGCGCATAAGGGTCATCGCGCTTATCGATCTGGGACAGCAAGTCAGCCTTGTGTTCTGTGGGGAATGAGATGGTGATGGCGTGGGATCACATGCCGTTCCCCATCGTGATGGCACCATCCAGTCCTTAGGTTCCTTGTCCGTGAACGCAATGAGACTACGGGCACGCGGTCAGTCCAAAACTCCCATGTGCTGCATTACAAATCGGCAATGGGGCTCCTACTCGAGGGCGGCTTCCGACACTGGTATCCTGCGGCGGTCCAGGTCTTCTCGGAGTCTCTGGTTGAGCTCGGTGAGCCGGCGGAGCTTCAATTCTGCCATGCTTTGCTTCTTGCTCTTTCCGTCTCCGCCGGTGCGGATCTCGTACGGTGCAGCCATCATTCTGGGCGACGGTGAGATGAGGGTGGCTGGGAGGGGGGAGAGAGTAGAAAAGGGGATGCAGTCAGGTCCTGGGAGCGGTTAGCTGTGAAGGACAACGATGCGTTGGCTGCGAACGAGATGGTGCAAGGTGCCTTGACTTGCGGCGAGCGCTGCCAGAGAGCAGAGAGGGAGACGGGGGCAAGGAGCAGCGGTGATGAGCGAGGCAAGCGCGCCCGCGACGGTCAATTCAGGTGCGAGGGCGGGCGTTCGGGTGCGATTGAACAGCGGCCTAGGGTTCGTGATGGTTGCAGACGGGCGCGGGATGGTTCGAGGCGCGGTGTCGCTGCTCTAGGGAGAGGAGGTTGGCAAGCCAGGAGATCGGGATGGGGGAGGGCGACAGGCGAGCGAGGATTCCTTGGTGGGTGCTGCTTACGGCCTAGCGCGCCTTTCAATTTGCGAGCCCAGGGAAATGAAGCCTAACCGTGACCTGCAGACGTGCTGAGAGCGCCCGCACACCGCCAAAGTCGACTGCTGTCCTTAAACGGCGGTGGGTTGCGTCACTCGGCATGTGTTGTGAATTGGAAGGGGTAGATAAACACGCGCGCCTGCAGACTGCGCAGTGCATTCGCGGAGGGTATGAATGCAGCCTGGGAGCTAGGGCATACTGCAATGTCGCGGTCTGCGTGCGCTTGTGGCCGTCCAGCCGTCCACTGTCCTAGTCCCGTGACACGGCCGGCTGAGTCATCCGCACACTGATTTTCGTAACTTCTTCCAACATCATCATACCGATCCGCGAGCTCTGCAGACGACCATCCTACGCCCCATCGCGCTGCTTGCACCAAGTATCCTACTGCGACATACGCAGTCGGATTCTCCACTCTCGCCTGCCCAGCATGGCCCCCCCGCCGCATAGCAAGCCTGAGAATACTCTGTCCGTCCACCCCCCTTGAGCCGGCCGATGCCTCTTCTGATATCTCGCAGCAAGCGCGCCCAAGAACTCATCGGAGTGAAACAGCCACAAGCCGCCCTGCAGCTCCTCCACGAGCATGTCGTCTCCAAGCGCACGCGGAACAGCCCTATCGCCTCGCTGGAGCCGGTGATGATACTCTTTGTCGAATTGTGCGTTGACTTGAGAAAGGGCAAACTCGCCAAAGACGGCCTGTACCAGTACAAGAACACTGCCCAGAACACAAATGTCGGGACGATCGAGGTAGGCACATCGCCATTCGCGCGTCCGTCGCGTCGCTGACATCACATCCCTTTAGCTTGTCTTCAAGAAGTTCATCGAACTGGCCGAGCAGAAGGTCACCGAGGCACAGGCCAAGGCTGACGAGGTGCAATCTACCCTCGAGACTACAACCACTGCTCAGAATATCGACGATCTTGAGGCTTCTGAGACTCCCGAGTCTATCCTCCTATCCACCGTCTCCGGCGAGCAGTCGCGCGACCGCACAGATCGGGCTATTGTTACCCCATGGCTGAAGTTCCTGTGGGAGACGTACCGCACTGTCCTGGACATCTTCAAGAACAACGCTCGTTTGGAGATCATGTACCAGTCAACGGCACACCAGGCGTTCCAGTTCTGCTCCAAGTATGCGCGAAAGACCGAATTCCGCCGTCTCTGCGAGCTCCTGCGGAACCATCTTCAAAACGCAGCCAAGTTCTCCTCTCAGATGCACGCCATCAACCTCTCCGACCCGGATACGTTGCAGCGGCATCTTGATACCCGCTTCCAGCAGCTGAATGTTGCAGTCGAGCTCGAGTTGTGGCAGGAGGCCTTCAGGAGCGTCGAGGACATCCATACTCTTCTGAGCTTGAGCAAGCGTCCGGCGAAGAATATAATGATGGCCAACTATTTCGAAAAGCTCACGCGCATCTTCCTGGTCAGCGAAAACTACCTCTTCCACGCTGCGGCCTGGAGCCGGTACTACAACCTCCTGCGCCAGTCTGCCGCTGCTGTCGCTTCTGGACAAAGCCTGAAGAAGGACAATCCCGCCGTCACCGAGGCAGACATGACTAAGGCTGCCTCCTTCGTCCTTCTTTCAGCTCTCTCTATTCCTGTCATTAGCACGTCTCGCTCGCGGGGTGCTCTTGTCGATGTCGACCAGGCCAGGAACAACAAGAACTCGCGTCTGACCAACCTGCTTGGCATGTCCCAAGCTCCCACGCGTGCAATTCTGTTTAAAGACGCTCTGAGCAAAGGACTTCTAAAGCGAGCCCGCCCCGAGATCCGCGACTTGTACGACATCCTCGAGGTCGATTTCCACCCGCTCTCCATCTGCAAAAAAATCTCACCAATCTTGGCTAAGATTGGCGCTGACGAGGAAATGAAGAAGTATGTGGGGCCGCTCCAGCAGGTTATCCTCACTCGCCTATTCCAACAGCTGTCTCAAGTGTACGACTCGGTTGAGATCCGGTTTGTCCTTGACCTTGCTCAGTTCCCCGATCCTTTCCAAGTCAGTAGTGGAACTATTGAGAAGTTCATCATGAATGGATGCAAGAAGGGCGATCTATCTATCCGAGTCGACCACGCTACTGGTGTCCTCACCTTCGATTCAGATGTTTTCTCCTCTGCCAAGGCCATGCACCCAGGTTCTGGTGCTGGGTCAGCCGAGACGGAAGTTCGCTCTGTCCAACGGCTTCAGAGTACTCCCGCGGAAATTGTCCGGTCTCAGCTTACCCGTCTTGCTAAGTCACTGTTCGTCACCTGCCAATACGTTGATCCCTTATTCAACGAAGAGCGACAGAAGGCAAAAGCGGCTGCGCTACTTCGAACGAAGGAGGGCGCTGAGCAAGAGCACCTTGAAACTCTCGCTCGTCGTGACATCATCACGCGCAAGAAGGAGGCGGCCTCAACTGCCCTAGCTCAGAAAGAGAAGGAGGAGGCTACCCGGAAAAGGATTCGCGCTCAGCAGGCTCAGGAAGCCGAGACCCAACGTCTAGCTGAGGAGCAGCGTGCCCGAACCCAACAGCGCATTCAAGCAGAACAAGCGCGTGTGCAGCGTGAGGAAATCGAGAAGCAGCTCAAAGAACTCAAGCAAGGCACTAAGGTTGACATTGATATTCCCGAAGATATCACTGAGTTGGATTCTACTCGTATTCGCGCCCTCAAGCTTGCAGCTCTCGAGAAAGAAAAGGACCAACTTGCGGAGCAGCTCCGCATCACAGGCAAGAGGATCGATCACTTAGAGCGAGCTTATCGAAAAGAAGAAGTCAAGCATTTGAAGCAAGACTACGAGAGGCAAATGATAGACGATGTGGCTGCATATGATAAATCTAAGGCTGAGGAGCTGAAGGAAGCCGAGCAAAAGCATAAGGAAGATGTTGCTTTGAAGCATCGTCTCTCCAGACTAGTGCCAAGCTACCAGAAATTCGTCACGGATGTGAAACAGCAACGCAAAGCTGAGTTTGAGAAGCGAAGCAGGCAAGCACAAAAGGAACTGGAAAGCAAGAAATCGGCTCGCGTTAGAGAGATCAAGGAGAAGAGGGCTCTCGAGAGGCGTGAACGTGAAGAAGAAGAGCGCCGTCAGAAGGAAGAAGAGGAGAGGCTGAGGGCAGAGGCTGAGGCTAAAGCCAAGGCAGAGGAAGAGAGACGCCAGAGGTTCGCTGAGGAAAAGGCTGCGAAGGATTTAGAGCGACGGTATGCAATTTTGTCATCCTGCTACCAATATGCGGACACTAACTACTCAATAGAAAACTCGACGAAATCGCTGCTAAACAACATCAGCGAGAGGAGGAAGCGATTGCCAGGCGCCTGGCACAGAAAACCGCCCCTCCTCCAGAGCGTCCGATCTCTCGCGATCACACCTCCGAACAAGCCCCTTCCGTTGGTTCTGTTGCGCCTACCCGACTCAATCTTCCTGGCAACAAGCCATCCTGGCGTGATCGGGAAGCAGCGAGATCCTCTTCTCAAACCCCCAGTGCCACTGAGGCTGAGTCTGTCCCAGCACCGAGGAGGACCGGGTATATCCCGCCTGCACTACGTCGCAACGCAGAAGGAAGTCCAGCCCCATCGGCATCCGGATGGCGGGAGCGCGAGGGAAGCGGGCGTGGTCGTGAAGGTCGCAATGAATCTCCTGCCACTGGCGCTGGTCGCTATGAGCGTCCTAGCGCTCGTAGCAGTGTACGCGACATTGGTGATAAGGTCAGAACACAGTCCCCAGCCACAGGAGGAGGGTATGTACCTCCGGCACGTCGAGGCATGCAAGATGGTGCTCGTGGACGGGAAAGCGAGAGGGAGGAGAGAGAGCCGAGAGAGCCACTTCCTGCAACTCAGGTCCCTAGTGATGGGAAATACAGACCGGGTGCCTTTAGGAGCAGACGTGAAGGCTAATTGACTAGAACAGTCAAAACATTAACTGAAAAAAGGGGGGTTAAGGTTGATGCTGTGTTGAACAGTTTTGGTACAGCAAGGTGTCGTCGACTCGGTAAATACGGAAGTTTCCTAGAGAAGTTTCCTACAGGAGTTGGTCTGAGTGCTTTCTCTTATCTAGCTGGATTCATGAATCCGTTGTGTTTGTAGTTCCTCCTAATTTTCAAATTGCACGTCCAATGTGCCTGCCACAGTGTGTGTTCTCTTCGGAGTAGCCACAAAAATTCAAAGTTCCTCTCCATCTTAAAGTGCCGCAATTGAAGACTTCGTATGAGCTGGTGTGTGGCTGTGACACTGATAAGTGGCTGCCTTCACTTGGTGGCATGTGCTCGCGTAAAATGCATTCTTTGATCAGGCATCAGAATTTCGGCCTCTCTGAACACTTGTCACTTGAGGCTGGGGGTTCTATAAGAAATCGTTCAAGTCTGCCAATTGCCTCGCTTCTTGTTTATCATGCTCTCCTTGCCATCCTTTAGTCTGTATCTAGAAGTTTGGGCAGAACAGCTGAGAGTTCACTCGTGGCTGTGCTCAGCCTCATCCCCTAAAAAGCGTATTCACAAGCGCATTACGGTTTTGGCTGAACGCCATACGGGCTGTAACATCGACAACCGCTTCTATAAATCCAGACTCTTTGGAACCCCCTTTCATATTTGCTTCTATCTTCTTAACCCGTATGCCTGAACGCTTCAGACTCGCACTGCCGTAGCAACTAGCGCCGCACAATTTCCCCAACTTCAACAAGATACAAATCTTTGGATCGAAAGGGGCAATGTCGGGATTGTTTAAGAGAAAAGAGGAAAGGTTTTTCCCGCCCCCGCCGACGCCTTTGCCGAGGAGGAAGTTAATGGGGAGGGTGATGGATGAGCAAGAGGGTTGTGCGTTTTTAACGAGACTGCCACCAGAAGTTAGGAATGAGATTTATGAGCTAGTGTTTGGGACGAATATGGGGATTTATGACTCACCGCTGAAAACCGTCGCTACGCCTGTAACGACGGGACAGGCCCGCGGGTTCATATTGGCTAAAACACCAAAGGAGGGGGGAAAGGAAGCATCAAAAGAAGTATCTGAGGCTCCGAAAATCCAGACTCCAGGCCCTCCAGCACACCCTCTCTCCCTCCTTCTCACCTGCCAGAAAATCAACCAAGAAGCCACGCTCCTTGCCTTCAATAACTTCACCTTCACCACTAGATCCTACACTTCGTTCTGGATGCTCAAAGACCGTTCTCAGCACCTCTCCCCCGAGCAATTCTCTGCTATCAGCCACCTCGCCTATGCCATCGAATCTGATGGTGTATACTACTCGTACATGTCATCTGACTTCCTCGCTAACAGCCTTGCGCTATTCGCCGGGCTAAAGCGACTAGAGCTCAGGATCAAAAAGCGCCATCCAAGGGAGGGCCAGCACAATATAAACCTAGGGCACTTTCCAATGTCAGGTGACACCGCCCGCATGAGCATAATAAGACGATGCGTCCCGGATTGGTGGTTGATGTCGCTTACCCAAGTTACAAATGGCCGCAGCCTTGCGTGGCAGGCTGGGGAAACGTGGACGGTGGAGTGGCCGCAGTACGATCTTCTTGAGAAAGAAATGGATGTGGAGCATGAGTGGGGAGGATGTGCGGTGAATGTGGCTCTACCGAACATCGCTAAAAATTTACCTGGGGCGAGCTTATGCAGCTGTGGCTGTGATGAGGTGAGGTGGTGGCAGGCTAATTTAGTGCAAAAGAGCGGGAGGAAGGTTGAGGTTGATGTCGTGTATTATGGCGATACTGAAGAGGTGGAGAGGGAGGAACGAGAGGGGACTTATATTCGATTAAAAGAGGGGGCGGAGAGATTAGATGTTAAGGAAGTTGATGGTGGTAATGGGATACTGTGGGAAGCGGACAAGAAATATTGGGAGGATTTAAGGAGGAGGAAAGCTTGGAACCCTTTTCCAAACGGTATTAAGAGCCTTTGGAGATGTGGCAAATCTGAGTGAGGGGATGAGTATTATGAGTTGCTGGCTTATCATGAGGGATGAACTATGCAAGGAACAATTATGTGCTGTGATAGGGGCAATTTGTAGAAGTTGAGAAACCAACAAGATGCAACAACGTTTACCATGATAGCAAGGGGAGAAATGTGGACATGTACATATTTCGATAGCAAAGCATAGTGTTCATTACGGATCTGTAAAGTCGATTGAATGTTGGCAGATACAACCTATCCGAACTTACGGTGAGATGAGGACTTGACCAGCCTCTTCCTAGTATCAAGTTGAACTAGATCGCTCCCACCATATTCCACGGTAGGAAGTGAGATTTGGTAGAAAGAATCCTTGACTGCACTTACTGAGCTTAGTAAAAAGGAGGCGGCAGACGAATCGTCCTAGCCGCAGACGCAACTCTAGCGAGAGGCTCGAATAATGTTCTTGCATGGCCAATGCAAGGTAATATTGGAAGGCGTCGTACTACTCCGGATTCACCCATAGGAAGTAATTAGAAAGTATCCTTCCACAAGCGCATGCACCTCCGATAATAGTGAAGTGATCAGAGACAATGGAACTTGCGCGCCATAATGGGACGGGATCTAGAATGACGTAGATGTTCTGCAAGAAAAGTAACGGAGATGAGAAATCCGTCTCAAATTAGGAAAAGTCCGATCTCTCGCTTGATTGTCCAGTGAGTGGAACTTTGGGCGTTCGGAGATTTTGCTGAGATTTCGGAATAACGGTACGGAGATGTCCACCATCGAAGCTTTGGATATCACATGTCCGTCTCGAGAATAGATAGAGCGCCGAAGGGAGGTTCTGGAGCTGGTGATGGTGGCGCGTATCGTTCGACAGAGGACTCCAGGATTGAAGGCGATTAGTGCCCGGTGGCAATAGAGAAACACGAAAGCCTCAGTTTGAAATTGATGTATCTCTAAGGTGCGATCTAGCTAAAGGCATCACCGCTCTTTGGTCATAGGACTTGAACCTCCAGTAAATGGACAGCCGCAGAGTACCGATAGTGGAGGATCTGCCCAAAAGTCGTTCTACATGGGACGGTATTTTGTGTTACTTGCCATAGAAGGTCGAGAAGCAATATGGAAGACCTGGGAATTCATCTATCTCCAAAGAGTCGGAAAGAACAATTCTCGGTAGTGGACCAATGGAAGACAGACCGGCGCCGGATGTGTGTCGATCAGATGCAGCGAGCAAAGGATTTCGAAGAGGTCGTCGAATGATACAATGGCCGCAGTTGCGACTTCGCGTAGGGATCGAACGCAAGCAAGATCAGACGACTCAGCAAGAAACTGACCTCTCACGAACCTAGGGTGGCTGGCTTAGACAAGATTCCTGCATCCCGATCTTGCTCTTCGATGGTGCGGCAGTGCCCGTGTATCAGAGGAACCGGGTAGCCGGTAGGTACTTTGCGTTTGTTTTGGCCGGCTCCCCACGAACTCGATATCCCAAGCCAAGACCCAGCATATTGAAAAGTTGCTCTCTCTGCTCTAGTTGGAACTCTTAAGAGCGAGAAAAGAGGGAGGCTGAATGTACTCCCGGCCGCATTGTCTCCCAGCAGCATCCTTTGCGTGGCCTGACGAGCTTACTTCTCTTGGCGTTTCTTCTTGAGAGTCTCTAACATATCAAAGGCAGGCTTATCCCATGGTCGGAAAGACGCCCCTCTTTGCCGCAAGGTTTTACGCCCTGATCTTAGATCCCAAAATGTTGAGTCAGGAGGTAGGCGTCAAACGACGTTGTGGACAGCCTTCCGCGCCTCGAAACTCAAAGGAACAAAGACGCATAGACGGTGTCCGAGTTGGATGCTGAATACGGTCTCCAAGACGAGAGCATTTGATAGCCTTTCTCGAGAGGTGTACGCATCGCGGCATGGATTGAAGAAGTTAACGGAGATGCGGGGCGCCAACCGGTTTGGACGCGGAGCTAGTTCAACCGTCAACGCTTGCACATACGCCGCACCGCTCGACATTCACACCACCAATAACATCTACGCCTCAAGCCCGCATCGTCGCTTTCGCTGCAGATACCCGCCATGCGCGGGTACAGGCCCCGCATTTGCCATCAAGGAGGCGTTTTCCAGAAGGACTGATCGTGCCATGCCGTTTGGATTCAAAGCCGCAACCTTTGCTCCTTAACCTCATACTAACTTCGCTGTAGGGTACCCGGCCCGGCTCTCCCCTCTGTGGCCGAATTCCTCGTGTCATTGAACCCGTCTAAAGGCAAAGGTCGTGATAGCAGGAACCTACGGGTTCTAAAGGATTGTTCAGCTCATCGTCTGTCAGGTAAGCGTGGAGTGTTGTGCCGCCATGGTAAGGCAAATGTATATCCTCTAGAATATGGTTTGCTATAGGCACTTTATCCAAATGGTCACGGAGGGTCGCATTGCGCATGTCTGAGTCGCTGATTTCAGCCTGGCATGAACGGTCGGTGCAGGCGAGCCGCGTGATGGATGGAACTTTGCCATGTTGTTCAGGGCTCCAGATCCAACTCCAATTCCCCCCAATCGTTCGTGAGGACGCGCTTCGCGAGCTTCCTGTTCTCGGTCTCCCCTGCTCGAACACGGAGCCTCGACCCATGGTTGGCAGGGGTCGTGCAACATTCCACCCTGGTCAGCATGCACCCTGTCCCCAGGATATATATTCGGCTCGCGAGCGCTGGGTTAAGCTGCACCATCTGTATAACATGAACCGCGTCCCCAGTCTTGGTTCCTTAATGGCTCGAGCTCGAAACTGAGCTTCTCTCTTTGAACACCTATCGTCAACCCAAATATTCCTGAGCACACCTGCTGTCAATATGTCTACAGAGCAGAAGGGTGATGTCGGCGTCACCCAAGCTGAGCATCGAGGGAGCGCCACGGCTATTCGACAAGTGCAAAATGTTGCTTTGGCTGATGCCACGGCGAAAGCCCAGGTGTCTCCATGGACACCAGCAATGTTCAAGGCGAGCATATCGAGGCGATCGTATTAGATTTTACCTGACATGTAACAGCTCTATCTGTGTTTGCTAATTGCGACACTCAATTCATGCATCAACGGTTACGATGGTTCCTTGATGGGCGCAATCAACAGCTACCCGCAATACCGAACTTACTTTGGCTTTTCCCTCACTGAGGGTACTCCAAGTACTGGCATTGTTTACGCAATATACACGGTTGGTAACATTGTTGGTTCCTTCGCTGCTGGCCCCGCAACCGATTTCAAGGGTAGAAAATGGGGCATGTTCATCGGCTGTCTCATCATCGTCATTGGCACATGCGTGCAGGCAACATGCCACAATTTGGGTGGATTCATGGGCGGTCGATTCATCCTTGGATTTGGTGTTGCTATTACATCTACTGCAGGCCCCGCATACGCATCAGAAATGGCTCATCCTGCCTATCGAGGTGTTCTAACCGGTATCTTCAACACCTTCTGGTTCGTTGGAGGCATTCCTGGAACCTTCGTCCCATATGGGACTTCAACAATGGCCGGAACGGTGTCCTGGAGAATTCCCATTTGGCTTCAGATGGTCTTCTCTGGTGTCGTCTTGTTTTGTGCTCCTTTCCTTCCAGAGACCCCTCGTTGGCTAATCGCGAACGACCGTCACGAAGAAGCCCTTAACACCATGGCCCGATTTCACGGCGAAGGGAGCCGCGACTCGCCCATTGTGCAACTCGAATACAAAGAGATGGTAGAAGACATATCCGTGACGGGCTCCGACAAGCGTTGGTGGGATTACCGTGAGCTGTTCAATTCGCGCGAGCAGCGCTACCGAACAATGCTTGTCTTGTCTATGGGTTTCTTTGGGCAATGGAGCGGCAATGGGCCAGTTTCAGTAAGTTTTGGAATCCAGAATTATACTCTCATTCTTGACGGCTAACGTGAGATCCAGTACTATTATCCAGCTATGTTGCAAGGTGCTGGAATCACGAATAACCATACCCGTCTATTACTTAATGGCCTTCAGAACGTAGTATCGTTCGCAGGAGCCATATTTGGTGCCTTGTACACCGATAAATGGGGACGACGACCCCAACTCCTCGTCTCTACTGGCATCGTTGTCGGCATTTTCGTTCTTGTCTGCGCTCTTGTGGCAACCAACGTTATCAACGGACCAGATGGCAAGCCTAAGCTCGACGACAGCGGCACTCCTCTCATCAAGCGTTCTGGGCAAGCTAAAGCTGTCATCGCACTCATTTTCATCTTCGGTTTCGTCTTCTCGGCTGGCTATACTCCATTGCAGCAATTATATCCAGTCGAGTGTCTGCGATATGAGTCGCGAGCGAAGGGCATGGCTTTCTACAACTTCTGGGTCAACATTGCAGGCTTCTACAACACTTTCGTGACAGGCATTGCTTTCTCGGGGGCCGGGTGGAAAGTAAGACATCTCTTTCTTTATATCTCCCCCATTCACAGATTTTTTCAATCTGAATTACACGTGAATTTATTTGGATCAGTGTTGACATATGGTTACAGTACTACTTCCTCTTCATCTTCTGGGACATCTTCGAATTCGTCTTCATCTACTTCTTCTACGTCGAAACGCGTCGCCGCACCTTAGAAGAACTCTCCGAGATCTTCAGGAGCCGCACACCCGTCAAAACAAGTCTCAACAAGACCCAAATTGTCATGCACGGCAGCGAAGGTGTCACCGAGGTCTTGGAAAAAGAGACCACTGCTTGAAGCAGGTTGGTTTTCTGTTTAGATCTTTGAAATTGAGCGACCGTATACCCTCGTGATAATAATCTCTCATACAAGATTGGCTGGTACAAGGCGGGTGCGTGGGTGGTTCATCATGATGACGAATTGCATAGCGGTTTGGTTTGGTTGTGAGTAGTACCAAGGAGATACGGGCAGCTATCTGCGACATAATCCATCTACCGAACACTGCACTTTGACATCTGTGAAATATGGCCGGGCCCAATCTAAGATAGAGTCTTAGATCTAGTCGACGTTCTTGACTTTAGCGACGGGTTTACTAAATCAAGTTACATACCACAACACGCTCGCATCCTAATTTCATCCTCTTACGGTTTCTTCAGGAGAAGTCTGACTAAATCACTTCTGCCCTGAAGCTACCCTAGTGGCATTGCCAAGGGTCCCTGTTCTTAACTCCAGATCGACAGTTCGTCGTTTCGATGTTCGCAAACAGCCCACTCGACATGAAGCGTAAGGCAACGGAATCCCCCCCAGCGACGAAGCAATCTTAGCTATGTCTGGCATCAAACTTCCTTCGCGTTTCAGCTCGTCTTCTTATCTAACTCAACTGAATCTATTTTCCTCTAATCGTGCTCTAAGTTTAGAAGCCATCCCCAAAACTCCCTTCTTCAGCTCCAAATAGTTAGCCCGCAATCCCAATTGCAGCAACTGGGCTGGTCCTACCTCATCATAATAAATCAAACCAGGTCTCAAGAGACGGCAAAAGTAACGAATAGATGCTCCTTTCAAACAAAGCTGAGGTACAGCTGAAGTGCACACGGTCTTAGCTTTGTTAGGCTGCCACAATGTTATCAAAAGTAGCTAAGCATGCGGGTACTAAAAACAGATAAGCGAGAGGTCTTCGCTCAGGCCCGGAGTAAGCTGCAGATGTATGTAGCAGGTAGATTGATGAGACGAGATTTCAGCTGACGAAGTGATCGGGTCCGTGTTTCGAAGCGATTTCGACTGGAGGATGCGCGTGTTGAAAGTGTTCATCTCGTCTTCATTGATCGATCAATCATGACCCATAAGTCCATGACTCATATATACATATCCTCATAGCACCCATCTTCGTTCCACCCAACGGGGTATTACCATCAATCCACCTCTGAACCATCGAAATATTATGCAGTTGTCCATTACCAGCATGTCGCAACCCGATTCCCCTTAATCGATAGAAGAGTATTACATAGTACATCTGATGATGCTTTGTATCGGCTCGCGCCATTCCATCTGTGTAGTGATGAGTTTCGCCACGCTATGCAAGAAAACGAGAGTAGGGATGATAGAAAATGAATAAGGAGCATGAAACGCTTGAACGCAGCAGATCCCACCAGAGACTTGTAAAGAAATTCGGAAAACCAGATTATAAAAGGTATATGTTTCCAAAGTAGCCTCCAGGACTTAAGGAGCGCAGCTCGTTGGGTAGAAAATGTACAGTGAGAACTTCTTAGACGCTCACGGTGCGTCGAACACCCACTTCGGGCTTTTGTGCGTACCCAATTAGTAGTCGAAAACTAGTGCCTCGCTTCTCGCACTCTTTGATCAGGCTCTCGTCTCTCCAGATGCTACTCTCAAGTAGAGTGCCGGAGTTGGCAGCATCTGGTTCACCGGCTTCGGGGAGGACCAGTGATTCGTAGCAACGGGAGTACCACCAGCGACCAACACGCGCTACCATCTCGGTGATGCTATCGTCGATAGAGGAGTCAGAGGATGACCTTGTAGTAAGTAGATCGGAAAAAGACACTTCTGCTTTGGGTGCTTTTGCGGCCTGAGTTGGAGTACCCTTTGGACCATGGATGATGCTAGATGTGCTGCCTTTCCTCTTCTTGCTGGATGAGGCCTCGCTCTCGTCAGGGCTGGGCAGTCTCCCAGCAACGGGCACACCGACGAAGCATCTGTTGCATTCCGTAAACCCTCTTCGTCCAAGACCAGCCATGATTTCGTCGCTGATATTGCGGAGCGAGATGTGCTCGTCTGCGACCTGCATTTTAACTTTCAAGCTGCGTACTGCGCGTCGAGCTCGATTGCCCATGTTTACAAGGTCGAGATCGAGGACACTCATTTCGAGAAAGCCACCAGGCCGCAACACGCGCTTGCATTCTGAGAGAATGGAGCGATGTACTGACGAAGGAAGTGCGGGGGGGAAGCGAAGGACAGCGCAAGCAAAGAAGCCACTTGGGAATGGGAAGGGTGAAGCAAGAGACTCGTGAGAAATGTGGCGATGATTACGGAGAGTCGACCATGGCTCGGCCGGACCACCGCTCGATGTGGTAGATGAGGGTCCACCTCCGAGGTTGTAGATAGTCGCTTCTGGATAGGTAAGTGCACAGTAATATGACCAGTCCTTGCCGAGACCATCAATAACGAGGACGCGGTCTTCGCTTGGGTCTTTGAGTTCGAAATGGACGGGGCTGAAGAGTACTCGGCCAAAGCTGAGCCACTTGCTAGTCATTAGGGCGCCGAATCGAAGATTAGCCATGGATACAACCCCATCCGTTTGACTCTCAGCAATTTCCATCAACCGCGTATCCCTGTACCGGTTTGCCGTGCTACTCTCCCGATCTTTGTCGGAATTCGATTTAAGTGTGGCCTTAGATTGGCGTGCGCTCACGGTTTTGAGAGACGCAGGCAAGCTGGAGCGCGTTGAACCTGAGCGTTTTTGGGGTGCCGATCCAGTTGACATGCGGGCAGTCGACGGAAAGCTGAGGCGGCCTGTTACGGGATCGATAACACTCAAGTTTCTCTCTCCATAACCTTGAAGGAAATCGGATAGGGAACAGGGAGATGTGGGTGTTTGAGCAGAGTGAAGAACGGAGAGAAGGCGAGACCGGCGAAGATGAAGCGAAGGATTTGATGCGCCAGATTGAGTGGACGCATGTGAAGCCTTAGTCTTTAAAGGTAGTGGCTCGAGGGATGGTCGTCGATCGACAGCCTGGTCCTGACCTTCGTGAGGCCCCGAAGCAGGTGGGTTCAGGAGCTCAACAGGGGAGAGCACCTCGTCGATGAGATCATCGTATTCCTTCCAGACTTCATCCTCAGACTGGGGAACACTGGGGCCAGGAATCACGGCGGTGCCAGAAGTTGGAGGGAAACTCCAGATACCCGAGCTACTCGAGTAGGACACCTCCGAGTCTTTGCGAGGGGGAAACTTGAAGAACTCGCTTTGCCTATTCGACTCTTCGGCGCTCGGGCTCATGGTAGCAATTGCTGATGAATGGGAAAGAGCATCGAGACCGTGAAGCACCGGATAAGATTCAACTAGACTAGCCGTAGCGAGCAAAGGAGTGGCTGAGTCGAACGAGGTGCGAGGAGGCACATGCGGGCGAGGTTGGTCCGAGACAAAGGGACGGGAAAAAGACTGCGATGGAGGCCGCCGTTCCTGGTTCCGCCTGGTAGAGATGACTTGAGGAATGCGACCCACTTGTAGAAGCCGGCTCGGCCGGGGAGGAGGAATTGTTGGCGGTCCATGAAATACGGGGGGAGGTTGGGGAACATATGCTCCTGCAGCTTCGACAGGTGACAGCGGCCTGAAGGGCGATGAGGATGGAGAGAGATCGGTGACCGGGGTGAGATCTGGCTGCGAAGGCGGTACGGGTGGGTGAGAAGAGGACTGTAGATTTGTATCGAGGGTGAGGTTGTGCTGCCACTGCCGCTCGGGCCGTAGGAAGACTTTCGGGGACGCGGGACGGGCCGGTGCCGCAAAGTCAGCCGAGAAGACAGGCAACGGGGGTAGGAGCATTGACTGCAGTCGCTCTTTCCCGTCCGACGTGGCGACGGGGGCTGTGATTTCCTCGGGTGGAGTGGGGTCCTCGGGAGCGCTATCTGCTTCCTGCATGAGCTGTTCTATATCTTCAAGATCGATAGCTGACTGAGAGTCCATGAGAGCATAGTGTGCTACGGATCGTGAAGCAGGCACTCTCGAAGCGCTGGTGGACACTTCGACAACTGGGTTTGGGCGCGGAGACTGGATTCGTGGCGTAGCGTGCGCTCGCTGGAAGAAGTTCCATTTTCGGGCTGGCTTTACAGTGACCTTATCCGACTTATCCAACTTGTCCACTTTTCCCGTCCTTTTTGATTTAAGCCATTTGCTTTCTCTGCCATCCGATGCATACTCGTCCTGGACTGAGCCCTTTCGTGCCTTTCCTGTAGTGCTGCTAGACGACGACACCTTGGATAATGGCGCTCCTTCTATCATCTTTGATGCACGAGAAGCCCGCCTGGTTGCAAGAGACGGTAGGAAGGACCTCTTCGCATCACTATCGCTGTCTGATGGCCGCCGTGATCGCATCGCTTTCTTCGTCGGAGATAAAGCACGTACAGGATCGGACATGGCAGAAGGCAGAAGTGTTGGTCGATTTTGCTCCAGGCCAGAGCGCATTGCATTGCTTGCATTTTTTTTTAGCACGGGTGGCGGGTTGCCTAGATCAAGACCGCTGCCACTGTGCACCGGCTCTGGGCTCCTTGAGAGTTCGGTGCTACTTCCAGTTCCACGGATTACCACAGGTGTGAGCCTGTCAAGGAAGAAATCGTCCATTTCTGCACTGGTTGTGCTGGTCATGCTGCTTTTCCGGCTGGACGGCGTGCGGTTTAGACTTTCGGTGGTAGTGCCAGCACTCGCAGACCGACCAATACTGCCTGCACTTACTGTGCTTCCGCTCCTGCCCCTCACCGAATATTTGCCATATCCCTCATGGCCGGTTCCAGCAACCGGACCTCGCCTGTGCAGCTTCTTTTCGGCATTTAGGTCTGATGGAGTTGGTTCTGTCTTCGAACGTCGAGTGAAGAAACCGAAGCGAGAGGACTTGCTTGGACTGGGTGTAGGGTTTGGAAGCGTCTTTGAGCGTTTCTTCTCGACATCACTCTGAACGTCTGGGGTAGGCCCGCGAGTAGGTAACCGAGATACTGGGATGAACCCTGATCCAAGACTAGGGTTCGGTGAGGGATTTCGGGAGGAACTCTTTGTCGGAATTCCAAACCGAGTTTTGCCGGGCAGCATACTTGAGTTCGACTCTGTTGAGCTTGTTCGTCTGTGGGAGGGGGGGAAGCTTGTCATGTTACTTTGAATGACAGGAGATGGCCCCCGAAGTCCAGCAATTTCAGATGTCCCTTCTCTGCTAGGTCGAATCGGTCTTCTGGGATCTGGCGACGATGTCGCTGTGTGATCGGCGAGATGGGCTAGCTCAGGAGGCGCTTGGACGTGAGGCTTTCGTTGTGCTGGCAGGGTTGGTCGATGTCCATTCGGCAGATTTGGGCGAGATTTTTCTACTTGTGGGAGAGATGGCGCCGAGCGCATTGGAGATGGTTTGGGTGGCGGACTTGGTGGGGGTGCAGGCAGGCGGACTGGTGGTAGTTTCTCTCGCTGTCTTGCTCCCTCTGCGAGAATTGTGGAGGCTGATGATGAAGATGTCGATGATTCCCGGACTGAAGAAAGAGCATGTTGTTGTCGGATGCTCGGCTCGTCTTGCGGTCTGTTCCTTGTTACAGGGGGCCGGCTCTGCAGCGGGCTTGCTTGCCGGATTCGAGTAGAAGTCTTCGATAATGCGACACCTGGAGAATATGAAGACATAGATGTAGGAGTTGAAGAAACACTGAAGGGTCCTGGGGATTCCGAATACCGAGTAGAAGGAGTGGTAGAAAGCGCATACTGCGGTGTTGGAAGTGGCAAAATATCTGGAGGAGCCACATCATATTCGTAATACCGGTGCTCTGGAACCTCGATTTCATCCTCGGCTCGAGCGAGAATATTTGAAGATGGCGGAAGAGATATCCCCAGCACCGTCTCAGAGAATGGGTCCCTGTATCCACCTGGTATAGCCTTCACCGGCTGCCCTTCTTCTTGCGACGACATCGATCCACCCCTTGTTCCCGAATGTTGTCCTCCAACTGCAACGCCGATGCTCGAAGGTTTTCTTCTTAGGAGGTTCGACCGTGGGCTATCAATGGTTGACACGGACGACCCTGATACGAGTGAAGGGGTGCGTGTACTTCCAGCGACTTCTAGTTTAGGTAGACGGGATGATGAAACCTGTCGTGTTGTCTTAGGGGCTGCTATGTTTGGGGATAAATGGGATGTAGGTACAGGAGGAGTGTTGCCTCCTTGGCGCGGCTTCACGGCCACCGATGTCTTCGACACAGGCACTCGTTGAGTAGTAATCCCTTTGCCCGACTGCGCCTGCTCATCTCGGGTCGGCTTCCTCTTCTGTAATTTCGAGTGGGCCGGCGCGGGCAATTGTGAAGTGCCGGTCGAGGTTGGAGTGACAGATCTCTGCGGTAATCGAGTTGTGGGAGCGCGGTGGGCGTACAGCGTCTGTTCCTCCACCCTCCTTGGAGAGCTGAAATGTGATTTATAGGAAGCCATCTCGGGTAGTCGCGTTGTGCAACCCTGTTGAATACAACGGGAGACGGCTGACCAAGGCTTGTACTACAGAGATTGTTGTGCGCTGGGTAACTCATGAAGGCATATGGCCGCCGTTGTGTGCAACCTGAGCTTGTGCGTCAGCGCAAGAAGACCACAGATGCAACCAATGCCAGGGAAAGCGCACTCTCGGGTGCTGTCAGCAAGACTCAGCTCGGGCAGATTCCGTCAGATGTTCGTGGTGGGGGTGAGTTGAGATGAGGGTCCAGATATGTGGCGCCTGGGGGTGGCAAATATGATTATAGTTCAGGTACATGGAATTGGGAGGCCGCAATATAAGTCTTTGGCCAAAAAGTACGCAATTCTCAAGTCTCTCTTCAGGAAATCGATGCGGTGTGGGATTTGGAGCCTCTCGCCGCGTTGCGCCACCGGGCGTGCCGACTAGCGAATGGGTGTGGGCGAAAGTGTGGCTCAGCTCTACGCGGTCTGCTGCACGTTAGACTGGGGTGCTGCAATGTAGCGGGCGGCAAGGCGGACACGTACGATGAGGGATAATGGTGAATGATATACAGATAGAGGCTCGCAGATCAGACTTTCACCTCGAGGGTCCTGAGTCCTGGTGGTCCGAGACGTGGGGAAGGGCAAGATGCCGGTCGCCGCAGTGGGATGGTCCGCGACTTTCCGTTCTAAGCGGAGAAGGCCAGTCCAAAGGCTTCTTCAAGGGAGTCAAGGATCAGGGACAGACGAGGAGCTGGCCTTGGGCTGCTGTTGTTGGATGAGGGCAACATGGCGCGCTGACTTCTGGCGTGAGACGGAGGGGTTGGGCCCAGCAGTCTTGATATGTTTTCCGCGAAAAATGGTCCAACACGACGAGACGCACAGGTTTTTCCAACCATGCCGGCGCCGTCGATTCTGGCAGGAGCTGGGCTGACCCGAGGGAGGCATCATTTTTCCGCTCCAAGAAGACCGGCGTTGGCGCCAGACGAGGAGCAGGAGGAGGAGGCCGGCGACCAGTGAAGCGCTTGGGATGCAATGGAGGAAGACGATTCGCAGACAGAGGGCGTCGAGCAGCACAACACCCATGCACGCCGCACAAGGGAGCTCCCGCCCAGTCACGGCTGGGCTGGAGTGGGATGGCCCAGCCCAGGCATGGATGCGGTTGGCTCGGAGACCTTCGCTAGCCGCATGTTTCGCCCACAAAGTTTATGTCTTTTTGGACTATCAGAGATCTCTGCAAGGCCTCACGTCCAACTTCTGGCATCGTCAATGTCTCAATCCGACAGGGCTGCAGCTCTGCGCAGCTGAGGTAAGAACTTAGGCGAGCGACCATCATGCAGTGGATGAAGATTCAGCACTTCGACCTCCTCATTCAGCTTCAAAATGGCCCAGAGCCGATATCCCGCCGCAGAGGATCACGACTCACTCACACGATGGTGTCTGAAGAGACCGAGCCAGATAGCTCGTTGTAGGCCGTCAGCAGCTCTCTTCAAAAGGAGGCAGACTTGGTTGGGAGCCGTCGTCTTGAATGAGAGTCTTCGGCATGTTCGACTACTCAATCAGGAAGTGCAATATGAATAGTGACCAATGATTCCCACACCTGAGGAGTCATTTACTTTTGGTGCGCGTTTTCCGCTTCTGTCGCCCCAAGTGACCCCTCGTACGCACCAACTTTCTCGTGACTATTGCGAACCTGACGAGCCTGGAGGATTCGACATCAATGCACAATTCTGGTCGCGAGATGCCACAACCGTCGAGCCGGAATGCCTGTCCCAGGCAGCTGAGAGTGTGGCTAGGTACGTCAGGGAGCCGTTTAGCTGCATGAGATTGAGGCTGAGCGCGATCAACACTCGCCACACTGACAACACATTAACGAGACTTTCGCCCTCACCGACAAGTTTTGACTCTCAGGTAAATCCGCGAAAATAATGCCGTTGAAAGTTGGTGAGGGAGTCCCTCTCAGCCTGCTCAACAGTTTCAGGCGGGCTCTCGGGGGGAAGGAGGCATCTTCCATGTCCCTCCCACGACCCAGGTTGCACACAAGCCACTCGAGTCCGCTGACCCCTCTTCTGCACTATCATTCGTTCACTGGGGCGTGCTCTCGCTGGCCCTGGCCGCGTTGGAATTCAGTCACGTTACCAATCTATACCGGAAGAGGCATGCTCAGATGTTCTCAACCTCCAATGAGCGGCTGACTTTGGACTTTGACAAGATCACTCGCTGATGCTCGATGCAGGGGGTACGCCTGGAAATTCTCGCCGTTGCAGATGACAGTAAGCTTGAAGCCTTCGCATTCCCCTGTGAGACATTCTTCTCTCCGACAAACGGGCTGCATCTGGGGTAAAACGTTGGCTGGTCATGATAGGAAGGATGGATAAAGATTAGGGGTTGCACGTTCCTCCACTCTTTGTACGACTGTGACTGCCGTACATCAGCCTCCGCACGCCATATTGAGCAATCGGCTGGCTGAGATAGCGATCTCCACAAACAGTTACGTTCATGTCACGAAGTGATCCGTGAGGTTCTGAACCCGCCGCATGTGCTTATGCTTTTCACGATTGACGACCGGGAATCCGAGATCCGGAGACTGTCGATGAACTAAAATTTAGTCTGCTGCAAGCACTGCCCAGTTTGCACTCGAGCCGTTTGCGGGTGGGACGGAGGAGAGTGCGGCACGGCACGGATTGCTGGAGTGTGACCGCGAATCACCAATGATGTATATAGCCACTATGGAGACTGGACCGTCGCTCACCAGCCTGCCAGGTGAAACGTGCTAGACTACTGAGATTAGCCATCCACGATAAGCCGTCGAGGTTGTTGAGGTTGCTGTAGTTGATGTTCTTGAGAATGAGGCGAAGTTAAAAGAAGGCCATCATGGCTCAGATACACAGATCGATGCAGCCACAGTTTTTTATCACCACCATGGATGTTCGGGAATGATATTAGTTATTGACTTAACGGAGATGTTGTCTGTTTTGGGATTGCTGTGCAGACAGGGACGCGGTGACTGGCGCTTAACTGTGACTGCTTGGCACGACCTGTTATAAAGTCCCTTCTAGTAATAACGTTTGGTGACAAAGGACTTTAGAAATCGCAATATGTAATGAGACTCGATTTTATCGCATGGGGGGGTGTTTCAAAGATCCAGATTGATAAAGAAATGGGAGTAAGGAAGAGACAGCCTCCCATCCATCTCCGGCTGACAAGCAGAGCTCTGGGGTCTGCTCTGGTATTCGTTCAGGTGTGAACATGTCTCCAAGAGCGTGACTCGATTGCTTGCTCTGATAGAAGTGCCGCAGGACTACTCCGGCCTGTTATATGCTCGCTCCCAGCTCAATGAGAGATGGAATGGCTGGACGTCACTGCCAGTTATAAACATCCGGTTTCCTTCACCAACGGAAGTGTTTGGGCCATAGTAGGCTGTAGGAGGAGTAAGCAATAAATTCACAAACAAGTCAGAGACCTGCTTTGATGGCTCAAGAGCGTGGTGTGGCCTGTGTGATTTCCATGTGACTCAGCGAGTGAATTGCGGTGGCTGGTGCTCGCTTGCACTCCGGCGTTTGGAAACGCTTGGCAAAGGTGGCTCAGGCCAGCGCCATCTATCTCTTGATGAACTTGTCTTCACGGCACGGCTTCCTTGTCAGCGCAACTCCTACCTATCTCATTCCAACCTGCCACTTCCTACGCCCAACTCACCCTGTGTGCACGCAACTAGCTGGACATATTTCATCAGCCTAGGAAGCCATATCCACGTCCGGCTCATCCTCCGCGCCCCCTTTGTTTGCGCGCATCCCTGCCGACATCGCGCTCTCACGCAACTCGTGCTCTCCATCTCACCACGCCCGACCGACCTCAAAATGTCCGAATACTCGAAGATGAAGAACGCCGATCTTGAGGCGCTGCTCAAGACGCGTGGCTTGCCCACTGGGGGCAAGAAAGCGGACATGGTGGACCGTCTAACCAAGGATGACGAGAGCAAGAAGGCTGCAGAGGCTAAGGCTGGAAAAGAAGCTCCGGCCACTTCAGCCAAGGTTGCTGTTCTACACCCTGAGGACGAAATTGATTGGGATGATGACGCTTCTGATACGGCAGCCGAATCTGCGAAGCCTGTCAAGCCCACCATCGCACCGGCCGAGGCAGTAATTAAAGCTAGCGGCGAAGACCAAGTTCCTAACCCTCAAGCTGTCCCCAGCCAGAAGGCCGACATCGACCCGTCCAAGACCTCAGATCTGTCTGTGAAGCTTCCGACAGAAGAGCAGAAGGATGGGAGTGCTGCACCCGAGGAGAAGGAGAAGGCGCCAGTTGACTATTCCAAGGGTCTTGCCGCTTCCACTATCGACGATGAAATCGAGAAGCGCAAGGCTCGCGCGAAGCGTTTTGGCATCAACACCGAGAATGATGAGAGCCTCAAGAAGCTGGAGCGGCAGAAGAAGGGGGGGGATTTCGGACCTCCCAAAGGATTGGACGATAGCCTCCCCGAGCGAACCCGCAAGCGTGGACGAGACGACAATGATGAAGATGGAAGGAACAAGCGTCGTGGAGGAGGACGGCTTACCGCTCGCCGAGGGCGTGGTAACAGGGATGGTGGTAACAGGGACGGTGATCGGAGGCGGGACAACCGCAATGAAGACAGGGGCAAACCAAGCATCGATGGCGCAAACTGGATGAGGGATGAAGACCGGGCCAAGATGGAAGCAAGGAAGAAGAGGTTTGCTGCAGCATCGACTTGAAGCCTGGCCGGGGCTCTTCCTAGGGGACTGAACACGGCCAACAAGATATCACGGGAACTTTTCATCATTGATACTGGGAACGGGAAGGCGGCGTGCGGGCGTTGGGACGAAACCAGCGAGTCATTGTACAACAGCTTTTATCGATCGATTGCAGCCGAAACTGCCATTTGGGTTCAGGACGTCCTTTCCTTAAGTTCTCGAGGAATACATTAATTGAGCGCTTATTGAGCGCTTAGCGAGTTCTATTTTCTTGCCAACCTTGTACACGAACGTCCTCCGCTTTGACTACTTCCGATCTACGTTAAAAGTTTGTGTCTTAAATGGCGGAGGCTTTTTGGTGCGCATTCCCATCTCATTCGGGGCCGAGAAAATTTCAAGGCCACACATCTGGCTTTCACGCATCTGCATCTTGCCTAAACCCGCAGTTGCATGGTTATGTGTGGAACTACAGCTTGCGGGCGTTCAATATCTCAGTCCCAAACGTGATTGGATGGGAGAATTATGACAGATTGGTGAGCGAACCTGCGTTTACCTGGTATGTCTTGAAGGACAGAGCCGGTTTGATTTTTAAAGCTCACTTTGGCCAAGGAATCCGGATTTAAAACCCCACACATTGCCTCCACACATGAGTCAAATTCACTTTTTCACGTAGGCTGACAATAGTCCCTCATCTTATCATCAACTTCTCGTGCAACTTGAGATTAATGAGCCCCAACATGACTCTTTAACCAGGTGTCGTTGGATACATTGACGTCTGCACACTTCGCGATACCCCTTTTTTACTAGCGCCCTGAATCCCAACCTCGGTTTCACCCCCGCAGTCTCTCCACGAGATCCCTTCGACAGGCACAGCTTAGAAATCGGCATGAACTCGGCACCACAATCCGTATTTGTGCATGATTTTCCTCCAAGTATAAAAGCCTCAAAGCCCAATAATGTCTGTTTGCTCTTGCCCTCGTCCTCGTCCCAAGGATGCTATGCGGACATCGCTCTTTCATAGATACTGGTTCCGAGCAAGTTGGTCCCCTGTAATCTCCCAATTTTCGTCGATTGGAGGCAGAATTTTCCTCCCCGGAAGCTTCTATTGAGTTCCCGGTTACTCCTCCCGCCGCGCTACCCCTTTCAGAAAGGTTCCCGTATCCGCTCACCTTTACGAACTGAGTGAAGGCCACCAACCATCAAAGTAAAAGCATTCCAATACCACGAATCGGATGCTTACGAAACAATTCGAGGCGTCAGATGTCAATGTCCTTAGATTTTAAAGAAAAAGCGTTCGAAGGTATCACTGCAGAGAAACCGCCATCCACACGAAGGCTGTCAACCCGACTGTCACACAATGTCAAGGCTGCCACTGGACCTACTATAGAACCAGCCCTTGAACCGAAACTCCCGACACCACCTGACGGAGGTCTCCATGCGTGGCTAAAAGTGGTTGGTGGGTTTTTGATCTACATCAATATCTGGTGCGTTCTTTTAGTGGCCTACCTCAAGCTATCTGACTGTGCGTAGGGGGTTCACCCTCACCTTTGGAGCATTCCAAACATACTACAAGCACGACTTCCTCTCGGACTCCAATGCCTCAGCCATCAGTTGGATAGGCACAGTGCAGGCCTGGCTGCTCATCTCAGTTGGCGTCCTTACTGGCCCACTATTTGATCTAGGATACTTCCGTTCCATGCTTTACCTTGGTAATTTTTTAGTAGTGTTCGGCATCATGATGCTCTCTTTGTGTAAAGAGTACTGGCAAGTTTTTCTCGCACAAGGTGTTTGTATGGGATTAGGAGCTGGATTGCTGTATATCCCCAGTTTAGCGTTGGTTGGTATTTGGTTCCAGCGAAAGCGTGCACTCGCTATGGGATTTGTGATGAGTGGAATTGCTGTTGGTAAGACATTCGCACACTTCTTTCTTTCGCAGAGGAAGGCAGTCTTTTCACAAGCTAATTGTTTCTAGGTGGAATAATTTACATATTAATGTTCGACCGCCTCACCAAATCCACCGGTTTCCCCTGGGCTATCCGAGCAATGGGCTTCATAGCGCTCTTCGCTGCCCTCCTCTCCTTTCCTGCACTGCTCTCCGGCTCTAGCATCCTCGCTCGACCCCGGAAAGCACGCCGTCTTTTCGATAAAACAGCCCTCAAGGACAAACTCTTCATCATTTTTACTTTCTCGACCTTCTTCACTTTCCTCGGCTACATTGTCCCGTATTTCTACATCCCAAGCTACGCGCAAGACAAACTTGGTACGTCGGGTAGCACTGCGCTATACTCGCTAGTAGTCAGCGTTGCAGGGTCTTTCTTCGGTCGATTGGGGTCTGGGGTACTTGCTCATTACCTTGGGAGTACTGTTACGTGGATTTTGTGCTCGCTCGCTAGTGGAATTTTGTCATTCTCCTGGATTAGCATCGACAAAGAGAGTACTTTCATAGTGTTCAGTGTTCTATGGGGTACGTTCACCAAACTCCCCAAACCCATCATTAAACCTCTCGCCTCCCTCCTTCAATCACGGGCAATTAATTGACACATTTGCCACAGGATTCTTCTCAGCAGGCCTCGTCACTCTCCCCTCCGCCGCCTTTGCAAACATCTGCCCCGATCTCTCGCTTCTCGGAACTCGCCTCGGTATGTCCTGGGGTGTGTCGTCTATTGCCTCTCTCATCGGAGCACCTATCGCGGGTGCTTTGATCAAGACAAAGAATGGTCATACGGATTTCATTGGAGTGCAGGTTTGGAGTGGGACGTGCCTACTTCTTGGGACTTGTTGGTTATTTGTATTGTGGGTTAGTACAGTTAGGGTGCAGAAATCGGGATGGTGGATATGAGGACTGAAAGATTTGCTGTTGAAAAAATTCTTTGAGTTGAAGAAATTTTAGTGGACACATGCGATTGGGAGATGTCACCGAATTTCCGACCAGCCGAATTTTTCTTCACCTAACAACAGCTATATTTAGGTCCTTTGAGATCTAACATCGAGCATCAGTTGTCCTAAACCTGAGCACATCGATGACCAATCCCGCCTCGCACATTCTCTCCCGACTTGTACTGCAAGATATATCTTGCTCACGAATACAAGAAAAATATACTTCCACTTGCCCCAAGGCGGAGAAACAAGTGTCGCGCAGATGTGCCGGGATGGTATCTCTGAGTCCTGATTCCTTAAGTCGGGCGATGAGCCGCGGTACTCGCCACTTGAGGGTGCATAGAGCAGCTAGCGTCTATTACAAAAATGATAATACAGCGACGGCAATTAGGTAATATACTTTTTTGAAGTCATCGAAGTACCTAGCCGAGCTGACAGACTACAAAATTACCCCATCCTATAACATACAACTACCAACCCGTACAAGGTATCCACTGAACCACATTCGCCCTATTGGGCTTGACCATCTTTTCAATATCACATCATGTCGTTGGCCCGGCCGGCGCTGGCAGTACCCCAGTGGCTGCGCCTCCACGTGCTATGGCGGTGTCGGAATTAGCTCTCAATGAGCGCATTATTCATAATGAATTGTGTGGGTCATGTATACCCATCTGGAAGTCTGTTGCTGGGCATGGGAGCTTCCTAGGATTTTAGTTAGATTCAATTCAGAATTGCCCAGGTACTTACGGAAGCCGCCCATCGGCATAGGACCGCCGAGACTTCTCTTGTTTTAGAATATACACTTGATAATCCAGTCGAGATTATGGGTGCCCAGAGCTGCACAGTATTAGTATCCTAGCGGGGAGAAGCAGATTATGTCCAAATATGCGTTACTTACAGCCTCTGGAGAGCATTAGTGGGACTGGTGCGAGTCTAATACACGAGACCATTTCGCAAAGAGCCCATAAAAATAACTTGCAGTCGCCATCTATGACAAAGCTGATATATTAACTAGTTATTTTGAAGATGCGAGAAGATTTCCCTGGCATAAACCCGCTAGGGGCTTGCACAATTATAGTGGAGTCAGAGATGTGGTTGTGCCTCGAAGTTCCCTACAATCACGACCTACTACAGCATGAGCGAATCGTGGGTACATGGATGTGGGAGACTTACTCGGCATTGGTCCCCCTGGAACTTCTACATTGTCACCACGCTTAATGAAAGAGTTGCCATGCCTAGACTGTTTACAGCCACCTGTGGGTATTGGCAGCATCCCAGAGGACATTGGCCGGGAAACCGGTGGGCATAGGCGACATCCCGGTTGGCACAGGTGGAGTGCCTTAACGCTTAACAAGGGGCGCGGCAATCGCACTAAGGTGCCAATTGTCGGGATCAATGCGATATGAAGGGAAGTACATTACCTAGCCGTCATGAAAGCTAGGAATAACAACTTAATAGCAGTGGGTGGATACATAGCGAATAAGGAAGGAAGAATTTCATCTGAAAAAGATGAGATGAAGAGGCAGTTCTCCTAATGGCTTGGCTCCGTCGTATGGAAGTTGGTTCACAAGATATTGTTCTTTTATGCTCGACCTCCCCTTGAGATATCACCCGATGACTTCGTCGATGAGGAGGTGCATGCAGACTTGCTCATGCCTACATCAACAACAGTTACACTGCAAACATATTAGCTAACCTTTCTCCAATTCCCGACTCGGCTCCCGTCATGGGTAATTTGATGTCCCCGAAAGCAATGTTGCTGATCAAGAGACACCGATGAGGTTCTCAATATCGAACCTTAACCCATAAGGAGGCTATCATTTGCCGATGTGTAAACACAAGCATTGGAGTAATTTCCCATCAATAGCAAATATTCGGTATGCAATTTTTGGAGAACCATCAGGACAGGCGGGTATACTAAATTAGAAAGGTAAATCAATGCGAAACACCATCGGATACCTCATCGAAAAGTTTTTCGTTCGATCCTGTATGAAATTGTGACCTGATAGAGGGATATCTTATAAATACTTCAATTTACTTCATTAAGCAGAATGATTGTAAGTTTCCGCCGACTTGGGTGCGATGATGTTACCATAATATCATCCCTCTCTTTGTGTATCGACCATAGAAAAGAGTATATTTCGATACCTGGATTGACGTCAAGAAGCGGAGATTAGGCAGGTTTAGATTGTGGAGGAATTGCAGCTGACAAGGACCGTAGACACTTTCAGTCCTGGTATGGGATTAGAAAGTAGGTGATTTGGAGTTCTTAGTTGATTGTGAGAGTCTGAACAAAGATCTTTCAAATTAAGATTTTATGAAGACTGAGGTAGGAAACAGTTGAAATTTTCTCGAGGTAGGTGACTTCTGTAAGGACAATATGCCTAAACAATGTTAACGCTGGTCTCTTGTATTGGTGAATGTGCTGTTGATAACTGAGTGATACCGAATCTGAGGATTGCCTTTGAAGATGGCCTGTTTCATAGAATCCCTAGCGAATGAGAAAGGCGGAAGTGTCATTTCTTTATTTGTAGCCTAAAATGCGTAGGTGTCAGAATGACCTCCTTAAGCATCAGGTATTAGATACACCTACGATAGCTAGTCGACGCTGAGCTTCCGCGTGGTAATATAATAGTTTTGCGCTGACCCTTATCCGACGCCTGTTTCTGAAGTGGGTAGGACAGGGCACGTAGACTCTGACAGATTGTTGAATTAAGAGAAATTTAAGGTAGATGTAAGCTTCCTTGAAGGAACGAGACTAAGGAGTATAGTCTTTCGCCAGTGCGTGTAGGGTCACTCGTCAGTTTCGAATTCCCTGTTAACCCTGAACAATTCTCTACAAACATGCAGATCGCAAATGGGGGTGTAGATCGATTACAACATATCCTTGAGAACTAAGAAAAATTCCTTTTCCAGGCTGCATGTTCCAGATAGGAGTGTCAGTTCCACGCTGAGATGTTGCATGACCCAAAAGCCTTTTTGTCATAAGCAAAGTGAGATTACAGAGGTATTTCGAGCGGGACCACTGATAAGAAGTAAGCCCAGACCGAATGCAGGATTGGCTACTAGTAGGTCAAACTGACTAAAGCGCTTCGTATGTAATGAAAATGCCTGACCACTAGACAAGTTCAGAGAGTCCGAGGAATTCCGCAAGATCATCGCCCGACTTCTAGACTCAACAATGGGGGGCAGCTTATGCCTCCAGTAAAATATATATCATGCGATGATGTCGGCTTGACAAGTCTATATTGACTTATTGGTGTAACTCGTTCTTCGCAGACGGAATCTTGACCATCCGTCCAGTATCTGCACTAGTACAAAGAAATGAGACATTTGCTAGCGTTCTAGAATCCTACGTTCAGTAATCCTTCGAACCGAATAAGGAAAAGGAGGAAATTGAGTTAAAGTGTGGATCGGTTGCTCGGATCGGACACGGCATCGGCATGCCGAGACAGTGGGTGCCCTCCCCGATGGCGAGGTCTTGGAAGTTGAAGTGGTCTGATGCTCAAGAATCCACGATGGCAGAAGCGCAATCCGGAGGTCGAAATAACCTTTCCAGACCTGCACTTGCCCGTTCGACTGGTCGCGGGCTCTACGGAACGTGTTACGTTTCCCACGCGGGTACAGAGTTCTAGATGACGCCGGTATCCATGTTACACAATGTCGTGCAGCGAGGCTTAAGGTTCCATGCAGTGGAATCCAGTAATATATTTAGTGGGGTGATTCGAGCGCGATGGCTTGCTGGAGTTGAACGTTGGGTGGGCAGCAGGTCATCGCCGATCTGAATCTCGACTTGTCGAACACTCGGGATCTTTTGCGTCAATGACTAGAGATTAGGCAGAAGGGGGAGCCGCAGTGAAAATGTTAGTATGTGCGACCATAAGCAGTGTATTTCATAGAATTCTGTCGACCTCCGACAATGCTCACTAACTTCTCGAAGGTTATTTCCGATGCATATGAGGTCTTGCTCGAGCATCCACGGACAACTTGTCCTGAACGCTGCAGGAAGTCGGACTCCGGAACGCTAGGACATAAGTGATCGCCTAATAATCGAAAGTAGGGATAATCAAAGTGGGCTGGAAAGCATGGGCGGTTTAGGCTAAAGCATTTGTAGGTAGAGGTCGAATGACTAATGAAGTTGGACGTAAGCAAGGGGCCAGGTGGTCCGGAGTCATGTCATTCTTGTGGGGTATCTCTGGTGTATTCGTCGATTGGGGTTCTGATAAATGGGCGTGCGGGTCTCATGTGTCATTGAGATCCCTTGACGCATTACATTGCAATGCTGGTGGTCTGCTAGCGGGTACATTCGAGGGCTGATCTCTGCATAGCATCTTTCGTATGCTTCTCGGCGTTATCGACAACCACTCCTTGTAGAGGAATGTCTCACTTCATCCTTGGCCTCTTAGTGTCGGCACACTCTTCGACAAGGCGTGGGCCTGCACGTACACAAGTGGTAGACGCTAGCGGTCCAGAGGCACCATATTGGCGCTATGCAAATGTGTCACGGATGTAGTGGGAGCTCCGATAGAGGTGCTGGGCTTGCACAATTACCTTTAATTGGGGCAAATCGACCATTTGAACAGGATTTCCACATGCGCGCACTGCTGCTCAGCCTCCTATAGGCTTCTGAGGCTTGGTACCACCCTCGATATATCGTAGGTAATCCTTGATCACCGTTCCTATGCCAGGGGTGCTAAATTTGGCGAGAGTTATGCCGGTAGGGGACCAATGTTGTGTGCGCAGAGTGGAACGCTTGAAGCCAGAATTTGCTGGCCAAGGTGTGAAAGTCACAAGACACATAATTATAAACGGCTCTAGTGAGCGGCTCAGAGGTATCGACCTCAAGCCTTTGGTGGCCCAACTAAAACACCACTTACAACAGCGTCATCGGGGAGAGATCTTGCCATGGTGTTGTTGATCCATGAAGTGTCGAGAAAGAAGTGCGGCTCCCACGGCAAACATCCGACGCTTGCAACAAGCCGAATATGTCCGGCCGGGACGGTAAGGAGAAGTGCTTGCCGTCATAGCCACTACTGCATCTGAATAGGCAGGAGGCTCGGTTGGGAACGTGAATCTAGATGGCTCAGGAACGGGATCTTTGAGGAATTGCCGGGGTTGGTCACGCACGTTCGTTTCTTTTTCAACTACTGCGCGACATCACTGTCTGCCAATGAGGATTCGTCCCGGAGATATGGGACCTAAACAGGGAGAAGAATAAACGCTTGGCGTGAACGTTCCGCGAAGACTTGCCCTATCGTGGTATTGAGGCGTGCATGTGGCGAAAGGACATCGAATGGGAGAAGACGGGGCATCGGGTCAGTCGCTCGAGCGTCCTTTTTCCCACGTCCTTGCACGTGAAGCAACGTTTGAGAGAGTTGCAGCTCGACCAGCACTTGCATGCCAAAACAAAAATGCTGCACGAAGTACCCGAGGTTTACCCTTGCAAATAGAGGAGAACCCAGACCATTGAGAGAAAATAGTTTCAAAGTTTGCATTGTCCGGCGCGCTTCATACACCTTTCAAAGGACAAATGTCTGGGCGTCGTTCGCTTGCAGAGGTGATCATATTAAGCAGTAAAAGAGAATACAAATGATCCTTGCGCTCCAGTTTGCTTCACTTTGTTTGAAGGACCCCTTGAGCCGGGCTCGTACTCGTCATGCACCCCGCCGTGGCTGTCAATTGAGCCTCGTTCAACCCTGCACGTAGGAAGTGTTAGTACTAGATATGATCAACGGCAGTGTCTAGTGATCACTCGGCTTACCCTAGAAGCGGTTGACCCGTTCACGATGACAGGCGACTGGGCCTGTCCTATCACTGTTGTGTTCATGTCTAGACGAGCATTTATCGTCATCCCCATGTGCTGCTTGCCGTTGAGATGTGTCGCGGCGCGATGTGCCTCCTCCTTCGTAGCGAATTTCGCCGTCGCGGCTCCGTTGGGTTGCCCCCTAGAATCCTTGTGGAGTTTGTAATCAGTAGTGCGACCAACTGTGCAGAGAAGATTGAAGAGGTCATTTGGCGTGCACTGATAGCTAAGATTACTGATGAAGATACCGCGAGCCTCCGTCAGCATTGCCCCGTGCCGAACATTCACGGGAATGCCGTTTGTGCTTGCGGAATACGTTGGTACCTGCTGAACTGAAGCTACAGGATTAGAGTAGGTGGGGGCCTGTGCATAGCTTGGGATCTGTGTATATAGCGGGTCCCACGAGTAGGCAGTAGGTACGGGATATTGTGGCACCACAGCACTATACGCTCTAGGTATGGATTGACGGGTAACATCGGCCTGGACTCCAGATCGAGTGGGTGAATGACTTCGCTCAGACATGTCAGGGAAGTATGGCCCGCAATTGCATTTCAAGAGTCGATAATCACCGCTAGTGCGTGAGGTCTTGAAGAGGTGAACCAGCAATCCTCGTGATATGGTATAGTGCTCTATAGTGTTGTTCAGCCTATTTTAGGAGATACATCTGGGACATGATCTTCATACCATAGGCAGCATCCGCGTCGACCCTCTTTTCAAGCCTGACGAACCCTTGCATCTCCCCTTTTCGGGGCCCGGGCATGACTTCTGCCCACCCAGGCTGATGGTCGACAATCCTTCGGATATGGTCTTTGAACTCTTGCCAGCCTGATAAGAAAGGAGCATAGTGGCTTGGTCCTGATGCAATGAGCATGTAATTTTCACCTTCGGATACAGAAGAAGTTGGCATATTCAATATAGCCAGTCATTCATGAGAAGTCAGGAAACGGCCACGTCGATATCGCAGGGTAAAAGAGTATGTAAATGACTTGAAGCGAACAGCCTTAAGGGTTGAAAAACAGAGGATAGTGATAACTTCTGATAGGTAGTCTTAGTAGGATAGGTACCAGGAATGTATCGGTACTAGGAAGCAAGGGAGCGATCACTAGAGAGGAGGAACGTGGAGGGAACCTTTAAAGATATTTATATTTTAGTTCCATGGCGCCTCTAGGGTGTAAGGATATCAGTCTTCAAATCTTGCCGCTTGCACCTAGTAAGATGGCTGAAGGTCAGGATGTGCTCATAGACAGCCCTATGGGCTCTGATGGGTGGTGCATTGGAGGCTAATCCCGATTCCCGCAATTCTAGGCCATAAACACAGGTCTGGAACAAGGGCAAAGCTCAGCATGGTTGGACACTTCCACTTTCCGGAAGTTGCGGGATCTGAAAGCCCACAGCTGCCACTGACAGGGAAACATATGTGCAGCAGTGTTGTGCATATTTGGTCTAACGAGTGGCGGCCAAGTCTGCCTAGGTGGACACGCATCCCCAAGTTACAAGGGGGGCTCATGAACGGGCAGCCCTCCTTCCCTGCTGAACATACAGCGCCCTCTCATAAGTGGGCTTGCGGGCGTGAGCCACCGCACCGACCAAAATTTGTTTGGAAAATGGTAGATTTGGAGGGAAACGCACTGACACGGGCGCCAACAATCCGCCCATGAGAGGGCCGCCCTGTATAAAAAAAAGTTGGTTATGGGCCAATCAAGATTCAGTATTTTTCGAATTTAGACAGGGAGGGGGGCGGCTCGTCCATGTTGCCCCCTTTGTGGAAATCTGTCCCGCGATTTCGGAGACGAGTCTGGCGCAAATCAAGGCTTGCAGCTTGAAGCCTTCAAGTAATCGATAGATCTAGGTTGGCTTCGAACAAGAACCCTGCGTGTCACAAGGGATTAACTAAGGCTTCTACCTTTATTCGGCAGTTAACTTAAGAATTGGGGTCGGGCTCGGGTTTTAAACACTGAAATTGATGCACTGCAATTTTAGGTAGGTCGTTTATGGCGTTTAAACAACTCCAGTTCACGGGAGCGGTCTCCGCATGCTTCTACTAACGCAGATGAAGGTCGTTAATTGAGGTAGCTTGTAAAGCCTGAATAGTCCGGCAGAGACAGTCATCTGTTTTCGGGTGTCGCCGAAGCCATCCCTGGCGTAACCTTTGCTTTTCCTCTGCCAATTGTGGATTACAAAACCAGTGTGGTTGGTTCCCACGTCACATGAGTCTGTTCTGTCCCCATCCGTGAGGAATTGTGATGCCATCCACTCGGTCGGCCTTCGTTATACATCTCTCCACACAATCAGCTTTTGATCAAACCCCCCACTAATGAGCCATTCTTCCGGCCTACTAGTTGACATGTCTGTAGAATCCCCTTTTACGAAACCGGCCCAAAGGCAGCGAATTTTGAATCCAGGAGCATGGCCCTCTAGACTCGTGATAAGTTTTCCCGTACTTGCTTCGAATCCTCGGATGACGCCGTCGTCGGAGCTCACATAAACTCCAGAGCCGTCCGGCCGCCAAGCTAATTTCGGTGTGGAATAGGCTGTTTGTGGAGCCAACGTATTTATGCTTAGAATAATGGCGGCTTCCTCTCGATCCCTCATGATAAGATTTTCTCGGGCTTGTGACGCTTGAACGGTGGAGCTGAGCGTGTTGTGGGAGTCTATAACGGGCTCTAGGGTATTGTGTGAAGCGTAGTGGTCGCTGTCATCTACATTGGAAGCAGAGGGTCCGTTCGGTGGAACAAGGAGTCGCACGAGCAAGAGCTTCATGTGCGGAGTCGTAGATGTCGCGACGGCGACAAGAGATGGGTCTGATGGGCATAACTGGACGTCAGACGGACTAAATGCTACCCACGCGTTGCTTAGAGGTGCTAGATTCTGCTTTCCTAAAAGGGTGATTTCTGAGGTGGCTACACCTAGCGGAGGGACGGAGTAGTAATAGAGGAAGGTAGAATCTCTTCTAGACAGCAAGAGAATTGGAGATGAAACCATAGATGACTCAATGAACAAGATTGTCTCGGGGATGCTTGTTAGGCCTAGTGTTGCCACAGGTTCCCCAATTTTCGCAATACCATCGTCAGTGGCTTCAAGGCGATAAAGGTTCAGCTTTGAGTCCCACCCCGCGCTTGCGACAAGCATCGACAAACCGGTTGACCACTTTGCGATCTTGACGATGTATTTAGAATGATCTCTTCTCTCGTCCAAGATTTGGTCTGCTTCTGTGTTGTATAGAAGCAACCGGCCAGACATGGAAGCAGTTAGGAGGTATTTACAATTCACTACAGTGAAGTCTAAAATTGGCGAGTCTTGAAAATGAGTGTAAGAACGGAGCAAGGAGAAACACGAAGGATCTGGCTTGATTAGGTTTAGCCGTCTGTCTGCAGTCGCGGTGGCGATACATTGCTTCGGGCCTTCAGTCCCAGAATCGTTGAAAGTGACCAGGTCCAATAGGTGAATACTTAAGATGTTGGACGTGGTGGGAAGCGTATCCAATACTACGGGAACGGAGGGTGCTGTTACCGTTAGTGCATTGGTCGTTGACAATCAAAGAACCACAACCTGGCCTTCGCCAGCCATTGCTGAGATTCTCAATTCCCAGCTTTTCGAAATTGAGACTAATATCGAAGGCCTTCTTTTCCTCCATGATTTGCTCAATTGTTACACCAGCGGACGCAACTCCTGCATCTGGCGACAGTCCGGCCTCCTCGATGAAGCTCGCCAATGTCTAGCGAAGCATTAGCTAGGTGCATGCTACGTGAAAGGAGACCTAGGGACATGCCTCGGTGTATCCATTCATCCTCAGAAAGCGAGCAACCAGCTCCGTGGCACGAGGCAACATCTTCCTGGAACCGAGAATACGTTTGTCGAGTAGAAGAGTGAGTGATTGTGGCAATTCTGATGGGGTGAGTCCGGGTGTCAATCCTAACCACGCTAAGTTTTGGCGACCCTTGCCCCACCATTTCGCACAACCTTCTTCCAAAATATTCATCAACCTCACCGTTGCAAACCTCTTCCCCGCCAAAGTTCTTCTATTCTAGGCCAGCTAATCCCGAGAGGGGCGGGGGGCGCTTGCCGCTTCAAAAACTGCGGCACAGCTCTGCTGCCTTTTTTCTCTAGCCTTTCCAACCGAAGCGCGGAATTTGACCAAGACCAAAGGCACGTGATTTCGGGCGACACCAAGGCTGCCTGTTCTTGTAGTTGACTTGCATAGACAGTGGAACTAGAAATGCACAACGTCTTGAGCAGAAAGATTAAAGGGCTCGAAGAGCTTCAAAGGTGTTTACCCGACCAGCCATACAGCATAATCCTGCGGCTGAAGCTCGCGAAAGCATTCAAAGCATTGGGATACCCAGACCTTGCAGTTGGCGATGCGTACAAAGCCCTTCTACTCATTGACGAGGTTCTAGGCGAAGGCGAATACTATGAAGAGGCATTGCGGACGGCCAAGTCTGACTTGGAATCCATACAAGCAAACACTGCCCAAGATGCCTTCGAGGTTGAAGACCAAAATGCCGTCGACTGGGCAAAGACGTCTTGTTCTGAATGCGCGTACGCATCTCTCTCTCTTTTCAATTCTTCAACAAACTACCAGACACAACTTTTATATTCCCTCGTTAGCACTTCTAACCATCTGCGTCTGATTTCCACTAACCAGTTGAGATCAGCTGCTAATGGGAAATAGGTATGAAATCCTTGTAAGCTGTCTCATAGACTGCGGGTGTCTGCGAAGCGCTTTCAAATACAATTCCAGAGCGCTCCGGGAATTTCCCAATACCGACCATTTCAAGTCGTATCGAGAGATCTTAGCATTCAAAGTCAAGTCCTATTTCGAGGCCAATGGAGAGACACTCGATGTAGCAGATATCGAGGAGTATCCAGACAAAGGACTTGTCCGCCGCGAACTTTATCCATGGAACCACCATGAACCTAATAGGTTTTCACCGGAAACCATAAGACTTCTCAACGAGGAGATGAAAAGTGCTGGTCCGAAGCTAGAGGTTAAAGTAACAACCCTTCCTCTCCTAGCATCCTGGAACCCAACTTCGAGGTAAGCCAATTACTAGTCAAAATAGACGCCCCCCTTTTTATTAAGACTCGCTCATATTGATTACAGTCAATCCAGCACTACATGTATCCTGAATGGGAAATTCAGCCAAGTTAAGCAGCTAGGAATTTTTGCCAAGGAGGAAGTATCTCCTGGTGAGCTTATTCTTCGGGAGAAATCATTGTTGACGGCAGTAGCAAGGCTCCACGAGTTTTACTGCGATGCCTGCAGCAAGAAGCTTGACGAAGATGCCGTTACGCTCACTTGCGATGACTGTAATGAAGTCTTCTTTTGCAGTGAAGAGTGCCTGGAACTAGCTCAATCACAATACCACCCGGTTCTCTGCGGAGTCAGTTTCGAAAAGAAAGCCCGCCCCAGCGAAGCGCCGGACGTGTTGTATAGTCTCCTCCTCATCCGCGCTATGGCTTTAGCAGAGGTGCAGGGCGCGCACCCACTCGATCTAAAGGAGGTACGCTATATATGGGGAGACTACCATGGTCTCAACCTCGATCGAATATCTTGTGTGGATAGTGAAGAATACCCCAAAGACCCTTTCCGATCAGTTCCCCAAACGCTACCGTTCTCCTTCAATCTCAATGTCTTAAACCCGCTAAATATCCTCTTGAAGATGGATGTCAACATATTTGAGCAGAGTCATCGATACGACACCTGGATCTTCAACACGCTCTATGCAAAGTTTCGGGGTCAGTAATATAGTTGCTTGTAATCATGCTCGGACTGCTAAAATTTGCGAAGGTACGGCATCTGCAGAACAAGGTCGCGATGGTCGCCCAGAGATCGGAGCTGTTCATCCTCTTTGGTCTTTGGCCAACCATAGCTGCAACCCTAATGTGACCTGGGAATGGCAAGGAAGCATCAAGTTTTTAGTTCGAGATAGTTTAGTGGAATGGAAGGGAGGAGAACCTAAACATCAATCAGGCCTGCTCGCCGGAGAGGAGGTGTTAAGTCATTACTGCGATGTCACACTTCCTGTTAAGGAGAGACGGGAGTGGGCTGCTGGAGCGCTGGGTGGTGAATGTGTATGTGCAAGGTGTTTGTGGGAGGAAGCCGAAGAGAACAAAGACAAAGATGACACTGCGAAACTTCAGCCTCGTGCTTGAGGCACAGTAAAGCTCTTTTCGCGGACTTGCACCCTGCCACTGAGCGGGTATGTACCACCATCCCCGAGCATGTGCGATGACCTCTACAGTCAGAATCCAGAAGCCACTAACTCGGGACCCCATCTCGCCATAGGGACCCCATCTCAGGATAGAGCCTGAATCTCCGCGTCTATACACTCTTGTCAAGGGCCCTGACTTCATCTCAAGACTGTGGCCCGTTTTCAGGTCCTTGGCAGTCCAGAACACGAGTTGGTCACACTTGACCAATTCATATCCTTGCAGTACAAAAACGAATTGCACTTTTCTTGCTTCAGAAATGTCGCACACCTATTTTACAACTCGTTTCCTAGCACCGCCGTTTCCACAGTGGAAGACAGGCGTTGTTTGGCGAGGATATTTCCCCGACCCAATCACCAAGTTTCATGCTATCTTGACGCAGAGACAAAAAGCAACGGGTTTGTTTCTAGACTATTATCGATTCCAACGTGCATCGGAATCCGAGAGGAGGAAGGGCCTCTGAACAATACTTTAATTGCCTCAGGGAACGATTATCGGGACAAAAAGCGGTGAGCCCTCAGCTGGAGGAGTATCACGTATTTCCCAACACTTTCTAGTACCATTGTCGAGACTTGGAGGGATTCATGCGGGCAACGCAGTGACATAGTTGATAAATAGGGGGCGTTGGACTGGCCATGAAGTGTGGAGCTTGCTGCATGGCGTTGTGGGACGAGAGGGGAAGTGAACCGTATAGTCGACCGGGAGAGGATACACACGCGGATTGGATATTTGCAGGTGGCCGGGTTGGGGGAATGCGGGGCGCAGTGGAAAAAGCATTGGGATTGAGTGGAATACCGGTGCTCCGGAAGTTGAAATGTCATGCCTTCGTGTTGGGAACATTGCAACCAGGAGATATCTCGGGAGAAGCTTCCGAACGCAAGCCGTCTGTGTGATGATTGGAAGAACCAGAAAGGAGGGTCTTTCAAGAAGATTAGAGTACCTTTGGAGCAAATATCAACATTTGTACCTTACAAATTCGCGTGAACTGTCCAAGCCTCTCTACTCCAAAATGCAGGATCTTTGTATTAAGCTAGGAGAGAGGTCTGCTTTTGCCCTATTTAACATAAGTCTCCGTTGTTCACCTTAGCCCTCTCACACACGCCGAGGAAACCAATCCGGCATATCTTCAGACTCCCACAGTAGGGGTCGTTAATCCGGGCTCATTCTAACGCCCGAGCTTGATGAACTACTAGCTCTTGGCTATGACTCTATTCTCACCTCCTGCAAAGACCATTCACGAACATTCCTGAGCAGCACTTACTTAATCCTAACGTATTTTGTAATCTAAACAAACGGATAGGAGTTAGTGAAAGGTCGGAAGGATCTAGTCATTGACTTCAAACCCGCCTGCAGTGACCAACTCCCTTGTAGCGTACATTAACACCATATATCAACTTTCCCATCTCCAGAAAACCCTACTCTTCACATAGTATGCATGAATAGGCAGGCCAATAATACTTTAAGACGTGTACTTCGTCTCTATTCTCATTCCCGATTGTCTCTCATAAGCACATTAACTTCGTCGCAATCTCCGAATCATACTAAGCGTCTACCCACTCATCTCATCTAGACATCTATGTGAACACTACTCGTACAGTAATAGTAGCAGCTCGCCATGGAAGGTAAGCCTAGCTAGCCGATGGGAAACTCGTGAACGCCATCGCTAGTGGTAGAAAGAGATCTAATGTCATGACCACCACATAACCATGCCGTGAACCATTAACCGTAAACCATAAAAATCCGGAACCCATATGCTTATGCGCAAACACTGAAAAAAAATATGCATGATAACAACCAAATAAAAGCTTTTTCGAGGAAGCGGAATGATGACAGGAGGGCAGATTAGACAGACCCAGCCCAACTCCTCCGTCTCTGCTCCTCCCAGATAACGAGCTCTCGTCCGCTCCTCTCTCCTCCTCTCCTGACTCTATCGATCCCCAGATGCTCGAGTCCATCTCTGCCAACATGGATGCCAAAGCCGTATTTGATCCTTCCAGGTTCGAGGACGCTATTGCGCTTCTCAGGATCAACCTCGTGATCCCGCTGCCTCTCTTTGCCCTTTCCTTTGCCCTTTTCATTGAGGAGCGTGGGATCGGTTGGGGAGTCACCGCGCAAGTTATCTCGGCTTGGACGGACGAGGGCAGTGAGAGAGCGCGCCCAGGTTCGTTCTAGGTATGCGGATCCCATGAGACGGGTCACAAGCTCTGGTTTCGTTTGTGGGCGAGCGAAGGCGCGATCCGTCAGGATTTGGGATTGATACACCCAAGAGATGACCTCTGCGAGTGTAGAAGATCGATGTGGTAGTGCACCACGACGACGACCAGGGAGCAATGCGAATATCGAAATGGTGTAGAGCGCGAGGAAAAAGCAGAGGGCGTAGTACCCGGGAAGATCAGCAGCTACACGGACGATGTCTGAGTTGGGGTAGTACTGCGTCCAAAAACACCCACCCGCTAAAACAGGCAGAGTAGTTGAGCAGAGAGAGACGAGGGAGAGGAAGGCAGGTTGAAAATGTCTGTTATCGAGCGCAGCGAGGGTTACGGAGATGGGGAGGCGGGATGAATAGTCGACGAGGAGTGAGGCTTCGGCTGTTGCCCCGCCTTTAGAAGAGAGAGCTATATATGGAGAAAGGGACCGGATGGAGTAATCGAATGTAAGAATTACAAGGAAGAAGAAGTGACCGATGAGGCCGGGTATAAAAGAGTACAAAAAGTTGGAAGCGGAGAAGCCAGCAGAGTTTGTGCGAGCGTAAACTTGAGGCAAGAAACCAAGTCGAACAGCGCTGTTGACGAAGCTGACCACGAGATATGCGATAAGGAGTACGGTCGCCGTAACGATCCAGGCAATGACGGAGGTGTCACGGAGGTACCAGGGAAGGTATTTTAGGCGAACGCCAGGGCTACGGATATCCATTCGGATTGAGAAGTCACCAGGGCGCTGTGTCCCTGGGAGCGGCGGTTCCGGGTAGGTTCTCTCAGGGCCTTTCTCTCGGATGCGGCCTTGTTCGATGGAATATCTCCTGGTTGCCCCGCCTTCCTCCCCAATGCCGTAGAAGACATCATTGGGTCGCTTTGTGGTGCTCCAATAGCCTAGTCGGTCCGTTCGACCCCCCAGGCGTTGCTTGAACTCGTTCTTTTCGAAGGTTTCGGAACCGTTGTAGTCGTTCATAATATTTGAGCGCTCGAGAAGTGCGATAATGTCGGCCAGAGATCGCGGATCCCACTTTAATCCCGTCCGTTTCCGAATGAGGAAGACGTTTAAAGCAATGAGTGCTAGGATTAAAAGTATGTAGAGAACAATAACGGTCCAGATTACGCCTTGCACGGCAATCCATCTCCAGACGCGATCATTCAGATCATACCGGACATTGAATGAACATGCAAGAAGTGGGATGGTCCAGGCAAAAAGCCAGAAGACTACAAAGCACGCTCCAATCAATGGCTGGCTGCCCTTGAAATATTCAAGTTTTGGAAGGAGAAACTGCATTGGGTATAATTGCAGAAAAACCGCTTCCGAGCGCTGGTTGGGAGATTCTGAAGCCATAGATATGAACGGGACAATCCTTTGAAGGGCGATCTGGACCTGGAAGAGCCACATTAACATTACCATGCCGAGCATGGTGGGCAAGTATTCGAAGACAAAGTAGCGGTTGTCACCGAAGGATATGTAATTCCAGAGGCCAGTGCCATTGTTGCGATTCGAGTAGATGGCGGTAAAGATCAGGCAGGCAAGCATTAGGAGGCAGAGGAAGAGGTATACGCCGAGCCATAGAGGTCGAAGGATAGCGGGGAGGAAGCGGAGGGGTGCATGCGTGAGAGACTCAGACGTAGGCTGGAAAGGGACGAAGATGTCTTTTTGGACTAGCGAAGTCAGCTTGTTACGCCAGTCAGAGGAATAGTGTAGCGCACCTGATGAGTCTCCCCTGCGACTAGACGCGTGTTTGGGAGGCTTTGGGGGCGGTTGTCGGGACATCCTCCGCTCCAGAGCCCGCTCTTGGTCCATGTACCCTAGCCCGTCGTCTGAGACGATGCGTTCCACGGGGTACTCTTCATCATGGGGAGAGGGGATCCGCGGGTACATGCGGGAGCCGCGCACCTCTTCGTCGCGGGTGAGTTGGTCGATAGCGAAGCGTATATACGGCGTGTCATCCATGCCCGGGGTAGTGGCAAGTGACTCCGAGTCCATGTCAAGCCGAATTTTCGAGCGCTTGCTTTCCTGCGTCTCAGGCCTCTCCTCGACGATGGTGGATACCGAGGGCGATAAGAGATCTGAAGCTTGGAGGTGATGTCTGGGAATGCCAATTCCCTTCAAGGATGTCACTGGAGCTTCAATTTGTTGGAGCGAAAGCTCATTGCTTTGTGCGGGGGAGCGGTTGCGAGAAGGCGGCGTGTGGTAGCGGCCTGGTGTCGGCTTCGACTTATCATCACTCTCGCTCGAGGCGTGGTCGGACAGTGAGTAGTAGCCCTCGGAGGCGGTGATGCTCTGTTTTGAACCCGAGTGCGACAACTGCGGGCGGCTGACTACTCAGAGGAAATCAGTTTCTGCAAATGCCAGCACACACTCATGGCGTCTGTCGAGGGAAGAAGGCTTACCGTTTGTGTGCTTGAGCTGGAATGGAGTCTCAAGGCTCATGTCGCTCGTCCAAGGCGCTAAAGGATTGTCGCGGTGGTGGGGATAACATGTCTAGACTATAGGCCGGCTGCAGGGCCAGTTTTGTACGTGGTGGTTGGCTTCCACATGAGGCTGGTTGAGGTGGTTGGGAGCTAGCCACAAGGGGTCGACTGGTCACAGAATCAGGCCTACTTGAGACACGTGCGGGGGAGCAGGCACAATGAGGAGCCGGGGCAAACTAGATTTCATATTTCTCGTCTTTTTAGCCATATTATTGGACCATCTTTGGGCAGGGCGTGGTGTTGAATGTCGCCCACGATGCTGTCGTGATGCATGACGAAGGGGCTCGCTTAGCTTGCCGAGGTAGCGCACAGGCCATTCCGATTTGCTTCCTCAACACCAAACATCTATCATCACCATCACTGGCCGCCCTTCCATCTCTCTCCCCTTGATTCCGTGGTAGACCGCTTATGATTTGGGTTGCATATCCTCATATGTCTTTCTGATTGCTATGCTAGTGCTCGCTACTCCAAACATCCCACGCCATCTCGGCTCCAGATCGCTGCATATGTTGCATATTGATTGCAATATCTAAAGATGAACACGAAGTTCAATTAACACCACGCGGTTGAGCACGCCGGACTCTATACTTTCCAGGAATGCGTCATCGCTCCATGTGCTCCCGCAAAATCTTTGTCCACCCTGGTTCCACTCATTCGGCATTTAATCATCTGCATCTCGAATAGTCTGCATCTCGAATAGTCTGCACCAAAGTGGACACGCGTCTCTCTAGGAATCATATTTGCCAACTTTCAGACAGTATTACCCTACACATGGCTTATACATTATCTACTACCTATTACGACACGCATTAACTGGGTTGAACAGCACCGTACCGGTGATAATAGTATATCTGCCTGAAGACGTACATGTTTGTGGTGGGGTTATTACGTCTCCAAGGCCGCGACACGATCGATGTTCGGGTGAAAAGGGTTTGTCTTGAACCTGACATCAGTCCCCTATTTCTTCGTGTCCCAGCTATCCATGGAGGATGTCTCAACAATCTTTTGTGCTGATTGAAACTCTACATCACATCATATAATGGGCCGAGTAACTTTGTTTTATCCACCCTTCACCATACAGGTCATGTATGGTGTGTTCTATATTCTCCATACTCAAATTGCACGACCACTGCTTTTTTCCGAAGAACTCACCAGGCCGAGTTACCTTTTTTACCAGGCTTTACCATTCTAGGACAAGAGCACTTCATGGGGCCTATGTGGCATTCCACATTGTGTCCAATAATGCACCATCTTCACTGCTCCGCAGGAGGCCTTGAATTTTAATGCCTTGATCCTAGCCACCTGTCTTCGTCTTCCACAGGAAGGACTCCCATATTTGGAAAGAAGTCTTGACCGGCTCTATTCTGAATCAAAATTGCCTCGTCGATTGCTTTTCCTGGTAACTCTACCTCCCCATATCTAATCAAGGATGGTGTGGATATGTTGAGTTCCACGTTTGCAGAAAGGCGACACGTATGCCGGAATCTCGCGGCCCGGTCACGTCCTAACACTCCATGCAGTCATCATTTGTTGGCAATCTGCCACTAAATTCGCTCTCGCTGGAGTATTATAATATGCCGAACGTCTAGGATACGAGACCCAGGCTCGGACTTCAAGCTAGACCGACTCCACCAAAACGACAGTTCTGACTCTTCCGCAGAGGCATGCATTTCTCAGCGAAAATTCGAGAAGTATCACTTAGTTCGAGCCTAACGTAACTACGCGACTCCATGATGAGTTTTTCGTCACCGCCCCCCGAATGTAACTGAAAGGTGAAGTATACGAATGTTGTCTTCCATCTTTTTTTTTTTTTGGGCAACGTCTAACCGCCCTTTTCTGCATTCGAACTCACTATTCTGCTGAATAATTCAAGATTTGCATTAGTTTAACCTATCACAAACCTCCGCATATGTTAACGTTATGTCGCGAAGTTAGGGATTACTCAACCCTGCAGGAGATTTAAGTTCTTCATAATCGAAGGCGCATTTAGTCATCACCAACACGTGAAAGGCAACAGAGTGCCATCAACATAGGCCAGCCACGCCAAGGCTTCAGCCTTTTACCTGCGAATCGTCAAGGATAACAGTCCGTAAAGTCCGCTCTCATTCGGCGTTCAGAGTAATCACAAAGTACCTCGACCGCATGAGACACCGCTCGTGCTGCATGCTGTACTCTTGCACAGCCAATCAGAGTAAACGCGTCAGATTATCGCATCGCATATGCTTGAAGATGGTGGCGCTTTGTCATATCTCCTCTTCAGGAAGTATTTCAAAGGTCACTGAGGACATTCTTTAAAGCAACGAAGAATCTCCTTGGTTTGCGCTTCATTGTTTTTTGTTCCAAATCTACAACCCCTGTTTTCTGTGCCGATTATCATCTCAACGGGGCCGTTAAACCGCAGGAAACAACAAGACCAAAGGGAAACCGCTCGGTGGAAACCCCTAATCACATCAGTCTGCGCCAACACTTCATCACTTTTGATGACGATGTTGGACCTTGTGCGTGACGCGCCATTCGGTCAGCTTCTGCGGTATCTCACTGGTGACCGTGTCTTCAAATATTGCGAAGAAAAACCAGACTTCCAGTGTCCCATATACTATTCTGAACAGCAAAAGCCCGGCACCCCACACGAGCCGAAAACTGGAGAGGATATAGCGGATGGCCTTGAGAAACCGGAGTTGCCTTTTGAAAACGAACTCAACCAGCCACCCGTCACTCTTGAAGAATCGGAAGAGATTACTACAGATGATACGATTGACCTTGAAAAAGCGGAGACCGCTTCATCCGAGGCTGAATCGAAACCCTCCAGCATGCAACGGATAGCTTCCGCAGCCTCGAATCTCCAGCGCACGAGAACCCTTCCTTATACGGCGGAGAGACTGGCTGCGGAAGAAACTATGGAGTTGGAGAGATCACAATCTATCCCGATCAAACCTGTGAAAACTGCTGATGGAATTACATTGGTGGACTGGTCAGTAGCGATAGTTCTTGTCATGGCTCGGATGTTAATTGAAGAATAGGTATCGTACTGACGATCCAGAGAACCCTCAGGTATGATAATTTTCAAGTCCTTGAAACATTAATTCTGACTCTTCTGAAGAATTGGTCTTGGAAAAAGAAGGCATGGACAGCCTTCCTAATCGATATTTACACCTTTGTCGTATACGCATCATCCTCAATCTACATTTCGAGTGAACTACTAATTATGGAGAGATTTCATGTCGGGGAGACGAAGGCCGCACTTGGCCTTGCTCTCTATGTGTTAGGTATGACCTTTTCACTTCAAGTTTTTCATTTACTAACCCAAGGGTAGGATATGGAATTGGACCACTTGTGTTTGCACCTCTATCTGAAGGTAAGGCGGAGAAGAAGGCTCTAATAGCTAAGCACGTAGTCCATATTATGCTCACTTTACCATCTAGTTCCTATTTTCGGGAGAAATGTACCGTACATCACCACTTTCGCCTTGTTTGTCCTCTTGTCCATACCTACGGCCCTCGTCGATAACCTTGGGGGTCTCTTAGTTTTGAGGTTCCTCCTTGGTCTATTCGGAAGTCCCTGCCTTGCGAATGGAGGCGCAAGTATGGGAGACATGTATTCTCTTCTTTATCTCCCATACAGTGTGGCCTGTTGGGTGTCTTTTGCTTTTGCAGCGCCAGCAATTGGACCACTGCTCTCAGGCTTCGCGGTTTACGCAGAGAAGTACGACATACTTACACTCTGAGGGGTTGAGAGTCTAGCTAACTGTGCAATAGCTGGCGCTGGAGTCAATGGGAAATTATTTGGATGGCTGGCCCGGTCTTTCTTCTGTTCTTCTTTTTCCTACCTGAGACTCAACCTTCAACTATATTGCTACACCGCGCTGCCCGACTGAGGAAGGTGTCCGGTAATGAGAAGATTAGATCTCAAACCGAGATTGATCGACGCGGTATTAGTCTCGGGAGTATCGTTATTGAGGCGATTGTGAAACCAATTGAGATTACGATCAAGGATCCCGCGGTACGTCAATTCACCTTCCCTATAGGAAGATTTCTCGTTGCTAATTAGATCTCAGGTTTTCTTCGTGAAGTATGCATCTACATTCTCTTCATTACCCTTTTAACCTTCTGACATGCGTTTAGCGTATACACAGCCCTTACTTACGGTATCTACTACTCCTTTTTTGAGGTCAGTTTCCAGCACTTTAATATTCGCAGCCACTCACCATAAATAGGTCTTCCCTCTCGTCTATCCCGTAATGTACGGATTCAATGTTGGCGAGACAGGAATAGTATTCGTCTGCATTATTGTCGGATGTTTCATTGCCATGGCTATTTATTTCTCATACCTTCACTTCTATGTGATTCCAAGTATTTTGAAGAGTGGTCTTGGCCCCCAGGAATTCTGGTTACGGCCTTCACTGCTTGCATCCATCGGCCCCACTGTTGGACTCTTCATCTTCGGTAAGTTGCGTCTACCTTCACCTAGAGCTGTGGGAAAGATAATCTGTGATGTACTGACAAGGCTTAGGTTGGACTGCCAGGGCATCCATCCATTGGATTGTTAGCGTAATTGGTATCACCATATATGCCACATCCGTATATATTATTATGCAGTGTATCTTTAGTATGACCCCTATCCCACCGCCCGGTACCGAGTATTAATGCAAAACAGCGTATGTTCCAATGTCGTACCCTCAGTATGCAGCGAGCTTGTTCGCCGGAAATGATTTCTGTCGATCGTTGTTTGCATTTGGGGCCGTCTTATTCTCTCGTCCGATGTATATCAACCTCGGAGTCGGGAAGGGTATTAGTTTACTTGGTGGGCTAAGTGTTATGGGCATCGTGAGTTTAGACAAATGTGAAGGGGTGATTACGTGCTGACTGAGTGTAGATCGGAATGTGGCTGTTATACTTCTACGGCTCAAGGCTGAGAGCGAGATCGAAGTTCGCTGTCTAAAGCTGACGTGCGTGCACGACTTCTCGGCACGTCTATGAGCTTGTATACAAATACCACAACACGTCGCAGAACTAGTCGCACAATCGCATGGCAAGGTGTGCGCAGGTCTCGGAAGGAAAATGATGCTAGCCAGTAAACATCAGTGGCTATGGGACTAAGATTAAAGTGAACGATAGTAATCATATTCCCTCGAAAGTATAATTTGTAATGATAGTTTGATCTTCTCCTCCCAAAGCGTTCTTCGCACAGTCTTACCACTATCGTTGTACCGCTCAACGCAGTGCGACCATGTCCGACCGTTATATGTTATTATCTTAATCCTGGAATCGCCCGCGGACTTTCTTTTATCCTTGTCGTTAACATATGTGATATATGTGGGTGATCTGCGGGTAAGTACATCTCGGAACGCACCGCTGGGCCGTTAGGAAGTTGAATGTCACGTTACGCCTCAAATTTGACCGGGTTAAGGGTCGGATATACACGTGAACGCTGGTTTGCATCTGTTGTAGCTCACAATAGGCCTGCCGATATGGCTGGCGGTCCAACTTATGCCTGTGCAACACAACGGGGGCGTTGAGTGGTAGGGAAAGTAGGTTGTATAACAACACTCTGAGCACAGCAGTGCCACGTAGACCAATCCTTGGCCTCGTGGTAGCTCTGCTAGCTGAAAGAACTAAATTACATCATCCTCAGTTCATATTATGAAAGGAATTCTCTTTTACTTCATGTTTTCCCTTGTAGATTGTTCTACAACCTTTTCGAAGATGGAATGCTAACCTGCCTATTCACACAACCTGAAATAACTTCCCATGGCCTCTTCTGGTTGGAGCCCTTTAGGCTTCTGGTGATTGCACACCGATCACGTTCCTCGACACCTGCATGCATCCATGATCAGCCACCAACCCCCTATTATCTAACGAATGGAATCAGAAGGACGTTTCCCTGGAAGATGGTAACAGTCTCACACCGAGAGACATCCTTTGTCTGTTTCTTCTGTAAAAACTATGGATAGTCTAGAACTTAATGTTACCTAGAGCATATCCCAACCAACTGGTTTGCCTTGGAGGTTGAAATTTTTCGTGAATCCAATATATGCACTGCGATGCAATGCACTGAAGGGAAACCAAGCTCGGACTAAATACGCAGCTAGTACATCTCCATCACCAAGAAACCCGTTCAAGCACCGCCTCCATCCCACCGTCTTTCTAAACTCACGCACTCTCAAAACCATCAAATCATCCAGCTGGACTAACCAATCCAAGCAACCCCTCCTCACTCTTCCATTGATATATAAATAATCCCAACCCACACCTTCAAATCAGTCCGTCTCAAAGACCCCAAAGAAATGCACCAAGATTTCGGGATTTTGTGCGAACATCGGCCCGCTAGCTCCATAGCGGCCCCATCTCACTTGGCCTGACAACCAGTGACAACCAGTGATACGTCCGGACATCTCAGCTTACTCACATGCCTAGATCCAACGCTAAGACATGACTGGACCCATGTTATTCTTATCCCAGCACCGGTTTTCAACGAATGAGTGCATCAATGCCCCGCTTCATGTCACGTTTGCCCCGCGTGATCGAGGACTAGTATGCTAGAGTTTTAGCTACAGAGATATTGTAGGGGCTCCAGAGAGTCCGGTTGGAGTTGCCTACTGCTGGGGTGAGGCGGGGCTGGGGGCAGGTTAGAGTGGGATGAAAACGGAGCAACGTGCGCTCGGTTTAGAGATGGGAGGTTTTGGATCTTTGGCAAATACTCGGGAATGCTAAATGTGTGTTGCGCACGTTTTCTACATGCATTGGAGCAGCTGAGAAATCACATTCAGCAATAAAACTACATCGTCTCTATCTCTGCTGTCCCCATCCAGCAAATCGCGCACAAAATTGGAAACCAGGTTAACAAAAAAGTAAAGAAAGAAATGGTAGTGTAAGGTCCGGTTCCCCGATCACTCTACTCCAAACCGCCCCAAACCGCCCCCCCCCCCAAAAAAAAAATAGTGCCATAGGGCTGATGATCGTCAAGAATGCATTCCCTTCCCTTTTCCCATCCGAGATATGAAAGCGGCACTTGCGGACTGGCATCCTAGGAGACTTCTGGCGTTACCCATGGGAAGCTTGGCAGAACAGTGCTCCCAAGACAGACCATAGATTGCGTCAGGTCACTGAATACGAGTGTTCAAGCCGAAATACTATTAGATTAAATACTACGGAATATAAGGAGTGGATATCCATGTTCTCTAGCTTAAACGATCGAAACGGCAGCAGGAGAAAACGACAGTCCTCCGCGTAGTAATAGATCAACAGCAGTAAAAGGAGTGTCTCCATACCCGATATCCAAACGCAATTATCCTAGCCTAAGTCATGTCCTTGCTAAGATTTTGAAGCAAAATGGCATTTCCATGCCATATGTGATGCGATGCCTAGTTACCGCTTACCAGCCTTGGCCATAGCCACCAGAGCAAGCAGTCTTGGTCTCGACACAAGTGGTCGTGTAAGGCACGGTCTTCGTTTCGGTGCAGACGGAGCTCTCGGTCTTGCTTGTGACATAAGTTTCCGGGCAGGTACTGACGTCAGTTTTGTAGGAGGTGATGACGAGGCTGGGTGCAAGTTAGATACTGGAGGGGTTCTAACAGAAGGGAGGGTAACTCACGTGTATGGGGAGGTCTCGCATGTTGTCTTTGACTCCACTTCCGTCTCGTATTTGGTGGTGTAAGTGACAGTGGTGACTGGGTAGGTCTTGGTTTTGACGGTTGTGTAGTATTTGGTGACGGTCTATGCTTGTTAGCCGGTTGTCAGGAATGTTTTGGGTCTGCCATACCTTGGTAGAATAGCCAACGCTGGTGACTGGGTAAGGGTTGACAGTCGTCTTAACCTTTGAAGTCACGGTGGTGATTGGAACCACTATAGTCTTCGTGGAAAGATATGTGGTTGTATGTTCCCCAGTGGTAGTCTTGGTGACATATACAGCGGAGCAGGTCGACTTCTCTCCATAGCCTGGGAAGGCAGCGGCCGCAGCGAAGGATGCCGAGGCAAGAAGAGTAACAAGGGTGTTTTGGAAGAGCATCTTGAAGATGTTGGGGAGACTTGGGATGTACTTGGGAAGGAGTCGTAGCGATTGATGGGCTGGGAGTAGTTACGTTGGCAGCGAATGTATGAAGCGAGGGTTGGAGACTTCTCGATGCTGTTGATATTCCCATTTACCTCGAGAAAAGTTCCAGCTTTATACATGTCTCGAGCGGGAGAAGCTGCCATGGATATTCGTCTCTGCCTCGCCTGACCCGGCACTTCCTCAATTGAGTCAATTCACGCCATGTGCCGCTGGCACGAGCTCGAACTGATCCAGATCCAACCGGTGATCATGCCACATAAAGTGTTGCATCTGGTGTGCTCCTTCGCGAGCTGAAGAGGCATCATTGTCACTGCAAAGCTAAGTTAGGCGTCGGGATGGTAAGACTGGCTTCCATTGGATGGCTGCCAATGTAGACTAAGATCATACCGCCATTCCGGGGGATACAACGAAGCAGATGGCACAGCAGGTGGAAGTAGCTCAAGGCAAGGAGAAAGCCTTAGGTAACGAATAGGAAGTAATGCATGCACTAAGCCAAGGGATATCCTCGATTAAGCTCTGCAAAGCAGTGAATGAGGCTGAAATACACAAGGAGCTAGGCCGAGCCTTATTATAGCAACATAAACAGATCTTGAAAACGATGGAGATCATCCAAACTCTCCCATTCGAAGTACTAAGTGCATAACAGGGAGCTAGAGAATGCTAACAACGCTCAGAATAGATCCTTCGAACAGTGGAAAGCTTCGACGAAGCCCTGGAAGCCGTAGTTCGATACACCGAGCTCTTGCCGGCGGAGATCTGCTGCGGGGTAAATAAAAGTGCATGCACGTTGCTCGTATTCCGCCAGCTCTCAAAGTAGTGCTTTTTGCCTAGGTCCGACAAGGCGGAGAGGACAGGGAAGGAGCGTGACGTCTGCAGGATAGTCGGGGGGGGGGGGGGGGGACCGGCTCTCTTCCTACTTTCAGAATGTTGAATTGAGTAACTGGAGGCGTCGCTGAGTGGGACTCGGGACAGAAATCGGAATATCCCCAATCAATTGGGGGAGAGGGTAACACAATGAATGCGGCTTAGGATGAGGAGGCGGGCGAGTGCAAGCATGGGTTCGGGTATCAAGGCCAGAAAGCTGTAATGCAGGAGGCAGACGCCGCAACCATCTGATGGGTACACTTGGTGTGCAGCACAGGATGCATGGTAAGCTTGAGCGATGAAGTCAGCGAGGAGAGGACGTCGGAGTTTACAAGCCGGCTGCGGGTCTTAGTCAGCAGTCGGGATCGGAACACACCAAGCCACGGAGAATCCGGCCAAAACTTCTTCAATCGCCGCGCTCCCTTCGCGTCCACAGCTTTCGGACTCGCGCTTCGCTGCAAGGTAGTATCTCTCGCTGCCTGAGCTGGGCTTCACTTCAATTCGACTGCGCGCGGATATTTGTGTGACAATTGAGCCTGCCAGCCCACCGGCAGTAACTAGTGGAGCTTGCCACCACGGCCGACGCCCCAGCATGCGAAGCTGATGCTGCAATCGCCCGACGTGTCCCTTGAAGCCACAGGCACTTCGGCCCCGCCCTCTGGTGGAAATTCTCCAGAAAATCCCGCTCTATCGTACCATGTCCAGATCCTCTGCAGCTTCGGTCACTCCTTCCCCGCAGCCTTCTCTACAGAGAGATCCCGAGCCTGCCTGGGAAAGCACCCCCATCACGTCGGCCCGGTCGCTCAGGCAGCTTTCCATATTCTTCCTCGGAGCAACTTGTCTCGCGGTTTCAACAATAATAACACGCCGAGCCATTCACCGGCGACTCCTCAGAATTACACCAAAGTTTTACGAACCCAATACAAACCCGCATGAGCACTTCAGCCCAGCCATGGATGCCATGCAGGCGTTGAATCTGGCTACCCTGAATGTGTTCAGCGTTGGCATTATGGTAACTGGGGGGACGCTGTGGGCGTTCGATATATCGAGCTTAGGGGAGATGCAAGCAGCACTTAGAGGGCGTCTAGGCTACGAAAACTTCGACAAACATGATCAAGATGTTACTGAAGCGCCAAGTTCGCTCGAAGAATCAATCTTACACAAAAGAAAAGAGGAGGCGAGAAGCAATGGTCCAAAAACGCCGTGATAAGATTGGCACGACGTGTATGATTATGGATGGTTGTAAGAATAGTGTACGTTTTTAGACGGGCTGCTTTTTTGGCACCGTTCTCGACCTCATATCCGGCAAGGCTTGTCATATGTTCTTCTTGATTCCGACACTCGCCTCGCGATTCTCATGCATCAGTTTTTCATCAAGAGCGTAGCCAGAGACGTCCATGACTATTTATGGAGTTTGATACTCCAGCTCTTCACGGTTTATTCACTGTTTGAGCCACTGTTGGACCCTTTATCGATCACCACGTGTTTGTCACTTCACTAATTGAATGGCTGACTGAATGTAGGTACCACTGAATAAAGTAAATACCATTTCGGTGGTCGCCGAATGCCAATAGTCGAATTCGGCTTGATGGCCTCCATGGATCAGGGGTTCGTGTTGCAATTACCGACTGGGCTTGGTCGTGTATCAGGCACTGTTCATCCAAGGCACGGGATTTGCCCGCTAGATCATTTGTGCACGACGCTGACCGACCGTGGCTCATATCCAACGAGACCCCGAAGAATCGTGCAACTCTCATCCCTCAGCCCCCTCCCGCCTCTCCTCTCCCCCCAAGTCTCAGCCTTCTCCACCCCACCATAGCCACGTTCTGATGTTATGCTTATGAGGCGTGAAAACCCTGAAATGCAAGACAAAGCTCCGCCTTCTCTCCGGCTAATCGCGTTCATTTTCTTTCTATCTTATTTCCGGCTGAACATGGACCATTGCCGCTACACAGACCCTTCCAGTGTCCGCGAGGCTGTCGTTAGTCTCTATCAGGTCCTCTGGTTCTGGTTCTTGGAGCTAGCCTACCTGTTGTGCTTCAGGATCTCTCACCGTCGGTTTGAATAGGAGCTACAGAATCAATAGTTCGTCGAAATTAAGGTGCGTTCTCTTGGTTGACGGTATTCCAGGCACTAGTCGAGGACCCATCACCCAGCTACCACAGGTTTCGGTTTGGGCAGTGCTAACGGTTATCTTAACCTTCGGCGTAACAGCAATCTGTACGACCTTCTCGGCTTGCATATCTTCTTCCTTATTTTACCATCTACTAAGCCCCAACTATACGAGCTGTTGTGCAGCAACTAAGAATTTGGGGCGCTCTAACGGCTATTTTGACTTCATCGTAACATTTATTTGTATGACCTTCTTTACTCTACCATCTCGTATAACTGCTCTGCCTGCTTCCTAGACTCCATCGCCGCCTAAGCATCACCACTGCTGTGGGAGCTTAACACGATGGTGTGCACAATAGTGCACGATAGCACCGTCATTTTTCTGCTCGCCCAGCAACCTGTTCATGGACTATCCGCCTCCATGGAAGCCGAAGTAGCCCAACCAGCACCCTCGTTTCGTCCTTCGCCTTCACCAACTGCTAAACTCACACGCTACCTTCCCCACCTCAACTCACACACCTTCCTCCTTCACCCCTTCACCCCCCGACCGGCATCCTGACCGGTCTCCTCACCACTCCCCTGCATTCCCTCTCCTTCTCCAACTCTAACCCCCATAACCCCATCCCTATTCGCCCTCCACACCCCCTCTCCACCCACAAACTTCTCCAGTTTCCAAATCTCTGCTCTCCTCTTCGTTTCCTCCAGCGCCTCTTCTCCCGCCTTCCAAGCCGCTTGTCGATGCGGCGCACTCACCGCAATCACAATACTCTCCTCGCCAATTGGCACGTCACCCAGTCGATGGACAATCGCGATTTTGGTTAGCGCGTGCTTTACAAGCATGGCGTTCGCGATGGATGTTAATGTGGAGATGGCGAGTGGGATGTATGATGTGTATGCGAGCGAGCTGACGGGAAGGTTGTTGAAGGAGTCACGCGTGGTGCCGATGAAGAGGACAGTGGCGCCGGCGGAAGGGGAGCGGACAAATGTGGTAGCGGTTTGGGGGCTGAGGGGGAAGGGGGTGAGGGAGATGTGAGTTGTGGGGGTTTCGTGGGTTGTGGGTGAGGATGGGATGGCTGCGGTGTACATTGGCGGTGCGGTTATAGACATTGTGAGTCGTTGAGGTAGATGTCGGTGGGAGTGGTGTTGGGAATTTGAATCCGGGTGGAAGAGCAAGGGGCTTTCAAAGGCTGAATCTTGAAGTTCTAGTTGAATGAGATGTGATTACATAGTGGACCTCGTGGAGCTAGACTTCTTATTAGAATAGTGCTTTGATGATAGTATCTTCAAGTTTTGACAAAAAGCAATGATTGACTAGCCAGTTGCGTTTAGTTAGGTGGATACTGTTTATGGATTGAAAGGAGGGAGAAAGAAACTTCAGCGTTGAAGACCTGCTTTGAGTTACGCATGGTATCTGAAGCCCAAATCTATACTATACCCCTGTATGCATCACACAAACTTCCAGACCAAAGAACCAACCAAAACTCCGTGCAACGAAATGTAGACAGCTGAAGCTTGGCATGACGAAATGAGAGAAGCCACCCACATTCCCTGGAGATGTAAATGAAGTCAAAGACCCTCCCTTATTCGAACAGACTTAGATAGTTAATTTTCTGCAATTGTGGAATGGACCTCTAACTTTATGAGCAAAATAAAGATGGCTGAAGCAGGCCGCGGAAGTGTTGATCGTCAATAGCTTGGTATGACTAATCATTGGACATCTCGCCTCACGCCGCTGCGTGGATGGGGTTTGATTGGTTGGGGTTTCGGGATGTCGAGAATATTCATTGAGAAGGCAATTGGGCAACGAATACGGGAATAGTGATCTTCAGTATAATACCAACATGGCATCAAGATGTATGTGAATGCTACAAGTCTTTCGGTCATACAAGCAAGCAGATGAGACAAGGAGATCCATGACCAGCTTTTAGACATCATATGCCAACGCCCAAGCTCACACCCACGCCAAAGCCCATGCAGAAAATATCGACTCGACAACGGCTCAATACCTGCGCCTATGCTTGGGCGACTGCCAGTCCGACTGCATAGGCCGGCTCATCATAGCGAGTCTACTAGGATGAATTCCGGCATGCTCAGTACTAGCTTCCGACGTGTCTGCGGCTCCATCGAGAGGAAGCGCCGCAGCAGCGTTTTCTTTCTTGCTGAATTTGCCAGCCTTCCTCTGTCTCTCTTCTTTCTTTGACTGGCGTTCCTGTTGTTTTGCTTCGAGTTCTTCGCGCTTTTCACGTTCACGCTGCCGCTCGCTGTGCAGTTTCTCGTTTTTGGCTGCGATCTTGGCTTTGCGGTCTTCGTTGTTGCCACCGCCCCCGGCGCTATGAGAAGATTAGCTTAGGAATGAGGCTTGGTGGGGATGCGAAATGCATTAGAAGGAAGGGATACGTACGTCAACTCGACATTTATCTTCCTGCCTTTCTTACCGTCTGGAAAGACGGAATGATGATACCGCTTTATGCACGTTTCCATCCTGTCATAACGATCGAATTCGAGGAACGCAAAGCCTCGAGGTTTGCCGGTGTCTTTGTCGGTCATGAGGCGGACGGCTTGGGGCGAGACTTTCTCGAAATACTTTTGGAGTTCTTCCTTTGTGACTTTGAAGGGGAGGTTTCCTAGGGGCAGAGTTAGAATGGCGAGCTGGATTGGATTAAGGGGGAGTGGCCTTACCAATGAAGACTAAGAAACGATCTTTCTTCTTTCCTGGCTCGGCTTCTTCGGCTTCGTCTCCAATAGCCTCCACATGCACGCCGTTTTTCTCAGCAGTTAAGGCGTCTTTCGCTTCTGGTTGCTCTTCCCTCTTCAAGGACTTGCGATCTTTCTTTGGCTTCTTGCTGCCCTTTTTGGAGATGGTGCCATTGGTGTCGACATTCTGTGTGGTATCATGAGCAGCGTCTTCAGCGGCTTCGTCAGCCTCAGAGTCCTCTTTAGCCTTCTCAGACCTCTTCTTCCCGTCACCGCTCAGAACCTGCGCAGCCAATTCCTCTTCAGCTTGAGCACCCTTACGCGTCTTCGATTTCTTGTCATTTTTGTCTCTTTTGCTATTTTGGCCGTTTTTATCGTTTTCTCTCTCCTCCTTCACTACAACCATATCTTCAGCAGCCACGACATCTCGCTCCTTTGTCTTCTTCGTCTTCTTTGCTGGCTGTGCGTCCTCGCCAGCCCCACCTTCTAGCTTCCTCTTCTTGGCCGTCTTCTTCTCCTTGGTGGGCACAACTTCCTCAGCTGGAGACTCGATAGCGGCGGCAGCTTCTTTTGCGAGTCTTTTTCTCTCTTTTCGAGCAGCTTTCTCCACTTTCCGAGCAGCTTTCTCTTGTTTTGCCTCCAAAGTCATCGACATGGCGGTGTGATGAACTGGAGAGAAAAGCCTGAGTTGAGTGAAAAGTAGCGTGGGGAATATCCGGCACGAAACTTCAACAATCCAAACTTTTTCTGCCCCAATTCGTTCGGGCGGTGAGTGGTCGATCTCTCTTGGCATCAGCCCTGCACCAGACATCCAACGCTCCCATTCCCCCATCCACTCTTTCCAGCAATCTATGATGCGGCCTTCACACTCCTCAATTCCCCGAATATATCCCGCCCGACGAATCCTACATCCCCCTAATACGCGCTGCTCCAAGCCGTCTATACCCCGCCAATTCTCCCACAAATCCCCGCGCTTGCTGGGAGTCTTGCATGCTGCTCCTCGTCCACAGCTCCCGTTTCTCTATCCTACGTCGCGTGGTTTGAATGGGCAGATCTTTCGCTTCTTCACCATTTCTTCAAATCATAAAAAATTTATCAAGGAGACTGCGCGCTTGACTGTGAAGTTTACCTTCGTGTTCTGGCTTATATCCACCTGCTTTACTATCGCATCGCTGGGCATCTTGAGTGAGCGGCAAGAGCGCGCGTTTCCGAGCCCCCCTGAATGGAGTCTTTGGACTAGGTTTCGGTTTCGGAGGGGCAAATGGTGGGAGATACCCGAGAACAATGAGGACGAGGGGTTTCCAAATTGGGCAAGGCTGTACGCAGAGTATGAGCATGCGCTGAAGAGATTAGAGGATCCGAGCAAGGATGGATCAGACGTCGTGGAACAACAAGAAGGGGGGTTGCTTGTGCCTGGCGTTGGGAAGGCGGGGTTTGATCTCACAGCGAAGAGCGAGCAGTGGAGACAGGGATACTATGAGGTGTTAATGGGTATGGCGAGGGCGGCAGAGAGGATGGAGGGGTGGGTTACTGATAAGAAGAGGAACAACGCTTGGGCTCCTGAGTTCATTGCCTCGCCCTCGAACCCGAGACCGAAAGCTACTCCACCGGGGATGCCGGTACCACCAGAAGAAGACGAGCAGCTCACTATCACCGATCCCCCAGAGTCCTTCTATCTCAAAGTCCTCACGTCGAAAGGCTTCACATCCCACCAACGCCTAACAGCAGCACTCAGCTACGCAGACTGGCTCAGCTTCAAAAAACTCCCGGACTCCGCCGAAGAAATGTACCGCTGGGCGCTTGACATCGCCATCTCTGGTCTCCCCACCCCGGACCCTTCCACCATCATCAACCCCACAACTGCCATCCTCTCCTCCACCGCACCCAAAGAGCTCATAACCCCAAACCTCATCCACGCCGCCACAACCCTCGCAACCCACTACGCCTCAACTGGAAACATTGCCTCCGCACTCCCAATCTACGTCTCCGTCCTCCGTGCCCGACTACACGCTTCACCTGCCCCACCTTCCCCCCCCCCTCCCCCAAAGGACTCCAGTCTAACCGGCACCCTTGTCGGCCTGTTTCACGCACCACCCTACCCCTCTCTCCCCTCCACAGGCGACGAACCGCTTCTCCGCCGCCCAGAAGACGAATGCGAAGAAGCCGCGCTCAAAAACTACATTGGCGAGATCCTCTTCGCCACCGCCGGCACATCCTCCCAACGTCGCCAAGGCCTAAACTGGGTCCGCGAAGGCGTGTCGACCGCCAAATCAGCCCAGACCCTCGATTCCATAACGGCAGACCCTGAGCGTCGGAAAAAGTGCCAGTTGTGTGAGGAAGTCGGGCTGGAGTCTTGGGGGAAAATTATGACGTATTTGGCGGCTGAGGCACGGGAGAAGCGGGATCAGGCTACGGCTGGTGGGATTAAGGGATTGGGGTCGAGGTTGTGGGGGAGGGGGAAGCTGGATGAGGAGGTTGAAGAGTTGGAGGGTGAGGAGGAAGGTGTGGTAATGAGGCTGGCGAAGCTAAGGCAGAGGATGAGGAAGGAGGAATATGAGGATATGGATCGGAAGTATGCTAGGACTTTTGTGTTTTAGTTGGTAATATGTGTATGATAAGGGAATGAAACTGAGCGTCTTGTATCATATAGTCTTACGTTTAGGAATTCAACCTGTGTGGTTATCTTCAAATGCCTCTAATATCGACGCAATCCCTTTCACTTTTCACCCCACAACATCACATAGTCAATTCCTCTCAACGCTTCCCAAATAGCTTACCACGCACACCTAAATAAAGACAACCACTCGAGAGAAATCATGAGATTTTGAATTATAGACAGAGCTGCCTAAACACCCATTTGTTTCCGAATCAGTCCAACCATCAGGTCGCACGTCAAATCAAACCAACCCATCGACTTAGGAAATTTTGGTTGAAATCCTTCAAATGAACAAACCATTGTCGCCGATAGTACCAGTGAGCCAGCGTTCCGAATCCAATGACCTAAATATCGACAGACTGGACTCGTTTCCTCCGCCTGAGACTGAAAGTCCTATCACAGGGGAGGACAAATGGATGCTACGTAGAAGCGAGGTAGGAAATATTTTGGGGTAGTGAGAAGCCGGCAGGACTACGTGTGGGCTCCTGTGATGAGACAAGAGACACACTTGACGATTGCGAGTGAGGCTTTTCCAGCGATGTGCCTTCAGAGATCGGAGCCAAAGTCAGTGCATCTACCAAGAAGCTATCTTCTTGTCATTGTCGGCATCCGCGTTGAAGCCAGTGTCAGCTTGGAAGCCTCCCTCGCCAGCCTGGAAACCGCCGGTAGTAGCGTCAGTGTCGAAACCTCCGCCGAAACCTCCGCTATTAAAATCGTCACCGCCACCGAAGTCTCCAGAAACGGCCTCGTCATCAGTTCCATCATTCCACTCAACTTTCTCGGGTACCTTGTCCGCAAGGAAATCTGGTACCTCCTGCTTGGACTCGACTAGAATCTTCACCAGGTCTTCAGAGATATCCTCGTTACGGTCATTGTAGAACGAAGTCGCCTTGCCTTCATTGCCGATACGAGCAGTACGGCCAATACGATGAATATACTCAGTGATTCCCTCGTGTTGGCTAGATGGCAGGTCATAGTTGATGACATGCTTGATATTAGAGATATCAAGGCCACGGGCTGAGACACCAGTCGCGACCATGATTGGGCACTTGGCAGTACGGAACGCACGCCTATCAAGTTAACACTGAAGAGTGTGAGCAAACAAGGCTTGAAACTTACAAAGCGTCCTCACGCTCTCGCTGAGTACGGTCAGAGTGAATGGATGTGGTCGGAAGGCCTTTGTTGTACAAAAAGTCGTCGACTGCATCTGCCTTAAACTTGGAGTTGACGAAGATGAGAGTTCTCTGTGGCCCATCTGAAAAGATCAAGTCGAACAAGGCCTGGTTCTTCTCTGACTCGTTGACAAAGATGATTTGCTGCTTGATATTCTCATGGGTGCTGCCGACGCGACCAACTTTGATACGAACATAGTCTTGGTCCATGTAGTCGCGGGCAAGTCTACGTGCCACCTTAGGGAAGGTAGCGGAGAACATGAGGTAGGTGTGGTCGGCATCCTCATTGGTATCTGTGTGGATCGTTAGCAACAGCCATGCTAGTTAGAAGAGCGACAACGAACCAGAGCCCCGGAAAATCTTTTCCATAGCCTCCTCCCAACCTCCAGAGAGCAACTCATCAGCCTCATCGATAACGGTGAACCTAAAGAAAAGTCAGTCATACGTCTCCAGCAAAGGTACAGAATGAGGACTCACTTAAGACGGGAGAAAGATAAGAGGTTGAGGTTTGCCATAAAGTCCGTCAAGCGACCTGGAGTAGCAATGAGAATGTCGCAACCCATCTCCAATTGCTCGCGCTGGTTTTTGGTAGGAGCTCCACCGTAGATGACGCAAGGCCGGAGCATGGTACGGTAGCACAAGCGACGAGCTTCGTCAAAGATCTGACAGGCTAATTCACGGGTAGGACAGACAACTAGGACCAACGGCTCCGCACGGACTCGATCAGTCGAAGGATTGTATCGAGTAGGATTTGGACGCGGCGCGGCGAGCATACGGGCCTTTCCCATGAGTTTGGAAAGGATGGGAATGAGGTAGGCAGCCGTCTTGCCTGAGCCTGTATGACCATGTCAATTGCTGTCGCCATATCTCACAGCAGTCAACGTACCAGTCTGGGCGCATGCGACAACGTCATGACCAGTGAGAACTGCCGGAATGCAGTAGCTCTGGATGGGAGTCGGGTGGCCGTACTGGCACAAGCGAACGTTGTCTCGCATCTGAGGGTGTAGACCAGCATCATCAAACTGATGATGTTATAGCAACCACCGAATGGCCAAAGCAACGGATTGAACATACCTCACGCACTGGGAAAATCGGGGTCGAGCCTTCCACCGTCACCTCGAAAGAAAGGGCCTTAATCGCACCACCCGCCCGAGTCAAGTGGTCGCCATGGAATAACTGTCGCTCAAGAGCAGGGTTGGCAGGACCGACGTCGCCAAAGTCGTCATCCCACGCATAGATGACGGCGTCAGAGAGCCACTTGGCGTCCTCACGACCCTCCTCAGGGGCTTCGATACCACCTTGAACAGTCTCGTAGTTAAACGGGATCGGGTTAGTCCATCCTGCCTCACGCACACGAGTCAAAGCCTCGGCTTGCTCCTGCGCCTTGCGGGCAGCAGCGTCCTCAGCTTCACCATTGGCAGTTGGCTCAACATTGCCGAAGCCCGACATGTTGTGGGGGAGAAGGTGAAACACACGATTGGAGAGGCGTTGCAGGAGTGGACAGTTGAAAGATGACCCTAGGTAGGGAGAGAAATGAAGTTGGGTGGGGAGGGCGAAAGAGGTCGGTGGAAGAATTCGAGGGTCTTATAAGGCCTGATGAAGAGAGCAGGCTAGTGACGGAAGAAGACTAGCGCGGCGTGTTTTGGCAGCGACGAGAAGAGGTGGGGCGGCTGCGAGAAGGATATGGTGTTGTCGTGGCAATCGGCAGAGCTAGGGAGAGAGCAGGTGAAAGAAGATCGAGGTGCTGAGGCCGATATGGAACGAAGTTACAACGCCAACGAGAGTGCGTGCACACAACAGGCAACAGGTAATCCACCTAGATATACAGGTCCGGTGCAGATGGACGACAGCCCCTCGCATAGAATGTAATTGACTCTGAGGAAGTCGGCCTCGCTAATGTATATGGTACGCCCTGAAGGTAGAACGTATGTTCGCCGCGAGGAAAGTGGTAAATCCGTAGCACCTCCGGTATAAACTATGGAGACCGCGCAAGTGTCTGGATACTTGAGGGGGTCCGATTAAAAGATTTGGAGGGAACTAGGAGAGGCCTTGGCCAAAAACGGGATATACTATTTTGATGCCTGAGCTGAAGATTACCAATGTGCAAGGGGCATCTTAATTTCTGAGCGACAAAGGCGTGTCAACCGTTTTAAGGCATAGCGTGATACGTCCGACGGCCAAAAGGAGATTAGATCCAGAAGTCCTTCGTAGCGGTATATGTATCGCGTTCAAGCTTGGTGGCGTGCGCATTCCACTAGTACGATTATCCTATTGTAATTATGTTTCTAGCATAGTCCTCGTATAAGAATGTATGGGAGGCCAGAATGCAATGGTATGGTCGGGGGATACGGCCAATGGCTTTGGAGGTAAGGTTCCAGGAACGGTCCCGGTGAGTGTCTTTAAGAGGACCAAAGGGGTATTCTGCTAAGCCACGGTTGTACAACATCTCATACCTAGAAGTTAAAACTTACAGTATGCTGGCTTGCAAACACCTCTGTCTTTTGGTAGGCATATTGCACAGCAAAAGGTCATAATTGCCACGTAGCAGTTTTGAGCAATGACCTCACGAGCATATCAATGCATATGTAATGAGTAAACAAAAGCTTGAAGGAAATTTGATACAAGAGCAATCATGGGAACTAGCCAGAGAATGTGCATAGGTGAAATGGAGTGTGGCTGCCTTTTCAGCCGCACAACGCCAGCAGACATACCAGATAGCATTCTCAACATATGAGGCACAACATCCTCTAATGTGATTGTGCTCTGTCGTGCCTTTGAGTCAGTTAGGGTCGGCGGTGCATAGCATCGGTTCCATTGGGCTGGTGCTGAGAGAGCCAGGGGTGACTATTCCTTCGCTCTCAACCCTAGATAAGCGTTGTCTTAAAACTGGTTACCTCTTATGCCTGATCCAGAATCCGTAGATATCCTCCGGTTGTCGTTCCGTGGTGTCTTGGCCCCAAATAGTTGTCAGCTTGTATGTTGGTTGTTCTCCTTGCCTAAAAGCGGTCTATGCAGTGCCTTCCAGCTCGCCGTCGTGCCAAAAAGAGAGCAAAAAGAACGCACTCTTCTATAGGTCGAACACGAGGCGTTGGTGAGAACCAAAACATGGTTGCTTCTTTGATTGAGCGCGTCATAATTAGTGCAATGCCCATGCTAATCTTCTCTGTATTGAGTAAATTGACTAGATGCCGGAAGGTAAAGGGGATTGCAATTGAACCGCATATATACGTAAAAGAAGTGAGGTTGACAAAAGGGAAAGGTGGGGAGAGTTTTGGAAGACTCACAGTGACTGGCAACATGACGCCCAAGACACACTAGCATCAAGCGACAGACGCTCCACCGTCCAGACTTCTCGAAGGAAACTTGAAGAAAACATATCCATGCTCAACAGACACGTCTGTCTCTCTCTCAAGTACAGCCGGATATGATATGTTGTTCCTGCGTATGCCAACATGCTAGTGCGGAAGCATACAGCATGCTTCCTAACTCGACAGACAACGATGCTTGCTCAAGAGGAGGCTCTCTGCATGATAGCTTCTGACTACAAGACGTGCATGGTGCTTTGCAGAAATGCGGTGGGCCTTGAGTTGAGAAAGGAGATACAGATGATGAGCTTGCACGAGGGTTTGGAAGAACTTGCAGTTGACTTAAGACTTCCTGTCCCACTAGCCTAAAACTAATGGAGTTTGGAATGACATCCATGCTCGATGCTTACTGGCTCCCGGCTCGTAACGGCGGAGACGGTTTGGCATTGCGTATCAATTTCCACCGCACATCAACTTCACTACGCCTGGAGTGCAAGTTCAGATGCGTGCAAACTCTCGAGTCTTCTACTATGCCCTTTATCGCATCGCATGGGGAGGCTTTGGATACCCTCTTTGCTCCTTGCAGAGCTGGTGTTGCTCATAGGGCTAACCGTGGATTGATTTATCCAGGCCAAGGGCTGGCTGACAGGCGAAATTCCCAACTCCAGCCCCCACCCTTTTCTCCCCACCACCGGCAACATGACGATGCCCACGTCCCGTAATTCGACAGCAGAGAAGTCCGACGAACCCTTTGGGATGCTGGGTGTACCTGCCGATAGTTCTTTGGCTGCAGGAGTCGAGCAGGCCTTCCCCTAGTTCTTCGCCCCGCGAAGGTCAAGCTGTACCACATCGCCATGCAACGCCAACGAACCATCTTGACACGGTCTACACGATTATTGAGATCTTAAGCGCTTCTCCTTGTTCGACGACACCCTCGCGATAGAATAGCCGTGATGGAACACGTCTTGTCGCAGGATATCGCTCTTCTGTTGCAGAATTAGGGCGACGCCACCTAGGCATGACCTCGTTGCCTGAGACGAGAGCGGCGACCGCAACTCGACATGTGCATGAGAGAGACGCTCGCACAGAGGTGAGAGCGCGCGTAGTATCTCAAAGCGTCTCGCATGCTCATAGTTCGATGGTCATAGGGCATAATTGATTGTCTCCTCTTCGTCGCCGCACATATCGACCATCTCCCGTCCGTACATCGATCGAACTTCCGTATCCGGCGCATTTCTTCCCCTCGCCACTAGCAAGGTGTACTAAAAGGAGAAGGCGCAAGCGTCTGAGATCCATTCTCCTTTCCTCGTGTTACTCTTTGCATGCAGCAATGGCGGGCACCACATCTGTGGGGAAGGAGGGGCTTTCTGACATCCATGCGACTCGCAATAAAGCCAATTTGAACGTATCTCATTATTATAAGACACGATGGGGGACCATTTATCGATGCCCTGGTCCGAAAGAGATCGTTCCTCGGCGTACGATGCTCCTTGTATCCTCTAGAAACAGGAACATTTCCGGGCATTGAATTCTGCAAGCTCGCCGGAAGCGGCTGTACTCCCGAGGAAGCATGAAGAACATACTAAAACACGGTGCTAGATACAATCTGGCATGTTTCTCAGTGGCATTCTTTTCAGCGGGCGTTATCAGTGCTCAATTCATGCGAGGCTATGCCCACCTGTTGAATATAAATACTTCCACCTTCTTGTGATCCATCTTGGACCACGGAGAACAGTCGTCGGTTGGACTCAAAAGGCAATATTCACGGGCCAATTGGTTTGGGCGAATCTGGAGCATGACATCCCTGGACTTGAAAGGCCAGTGCCAGTATGTCGGATAGACGACCCTGAAACCAGAAGAATAATTGGGAAAGCTCTTCTCTTGGGGGAGGGCTTCGGCTTGTACAACACATCTGAGATTCATACCAGGCCGTGGTTAAGTGCTGAAGGCGGGTACGAAGACAGCCAAGGTTGAAAGAGCAAGGGAGTGAAACGACAATAAGGGATCCGATTGCCGTATCCATTGGAAAGTGTACGTCTATGAGGGTGTCCAACCGGATACCGCCCAGAGAACTTCGGATGATGAAGTCTACCTCATCTTCTACAAGATACCTGCTGTGAACTGTGGACGCACAAAACGCCTGATGGCATCTCATATACATTTCCCCACAATGGCCGCTACCCCAAGGCGCCTCTCGTTCAAGCTTGAGAAACAGCCATACCCGGTCCTTGGGCATGATATCAGCGTCCAGCTTGGACCCATCTCTTCATTGATTCCTCCAGGAATTGATTCGCCCTCTTGGAAGCGTTCAACAATCGATCCGAGATAGTCAACCCAGTTCTCGGAAAAGAGCCCATTGTCGAAAGTGGCATTGACGATCCGGTCAGACATATCATGATGAGTCTCCCAAGGTTCAAAAGCCAGATTTCGAGGCTGTGTCAGCTTCCATACGTCGGTTTCATCAGTGTGACCACCAAATTGTGATCATGCCGAGTCCTAAGATCCAGAAACTCGACCGTGCCATTAGACCTCAATAGTCGTGACGGATCTTCGTTCCATGAGATTAGTGTTGGATGTTCCTCCAGACTGGAAGCTTGGGCTTTCACAAGTTGCAACAGCCATTGCTGACGGGCCTCGATTTCGATGCTTGGCTAGTAGATCGTCCACCACCAAGACGAATCAGGAATAGATGACTCAGGACTCAAGGTCGGACTCTGGCCAGCTCTCACCCACTCCACACCCCAAGTGTATCTCATGGTACCAAATACTTTGTGTAAGATGCTGTTTTGTGCCCCAGTATTGCCACATTCACGAGGCTTCTGCTGTATTGGTGCAGGTCCTTAGGCATACCTCTCTCAGCCTTCATCCAGGACGACTCCTTGGATTCTTTAAAGCCCTCTTAGATGCGTATGGAGATCTGTAAATGATCCATGGCTAGCTTATGAAACAACGACTCTTCCGTAGCCGCTTAGAACCAACCGCAGTTGGCTCTGTGCGAGGGGCACACCGATCGATTCCAGTTGTTTAGTCCCAAGAAAGATTTGCCGACAAGCTGCCCTTATACCCGCTGCAGTCACGACCCTTTCCGCCCTTCTTCACAGCCCCCCTTTATCCGGTCTGGCTCTCGTACACGAGAGTGGTAAGTCGACTGGAGAGTTTGGCAGGGCGATACAGTCATTAAAAACGGCCACTGGGATACGTAGAAGCCCTGGTTGCTTATTGTTCCGGGTCGTAGGAAAATAACAACGAGGATGTCGAGTACCACAGAGCTATTCCAAGGGATCAAGAGCCAGCGAAGAACCCCTACACTTGTGTGTACAATGTTGTCAACGAGCGGATCGCCTAACCTGCAAATCCTTATTTCACCCTTGGCCCTTGGGTGTCCTTGGGCCTCAACCTGGCCATTGTATTGTGTGTTCACACCAAAGGAGTGTCCACAAGCTGCGGTTTGCTTAACATGATACTCTCCTACTATGCCAGATACCCGCTTCACTCGTCTCTTCGATGTGGTTGCGGCTTACGCGGAACCCCTCCTTTGTGCCTGGTGACGCCAGGCGCCGATCGTATACCTAACCGACTCCGTTGGTAAGGACCTGGAGTTCAAGAGCTCGAGATCGCAATATCTCGGGCATGCTGCAGTCGCACAATTGGATGGAATTGCCCGATAGATTCGATTGCCGTCCCTAGGAGTAATATTCTTTGTATTTATCTTCTTTCTCCGCCCTTCGAACTAGGGGCATGTCGAACTCGTCGCCCTCCTGTCGGCGGACCCTTAATTATGCGGCGCGCCTTAATTCCCACAGAGCGCTTGCCTCAGATGGTGGCTAAGGTTTATGTCCCGCTGAGTCTGTTTGGTGGGGAAATGGAGCTCGTCGAACGTGATGTCTGCCTATGCGCCAAGGCATACGGAGCCTTTAGGTCGCTGGGTCCACTTTTGCTCAGTGACCTTTATATACTGAACATTCTGGTGATCTCTGGAGGTGTCATAGGTCTTGAGAACCGACATTAATATCGAGTTGGGCGCTGCGCACCTACGTGAAAGGTGGCTGCGGCTTAGGCTAATCGGATGTTTCTTCTCCCTGGGAATAAGAACGGGTTTATCTGGTTATCTCATACTTCTACGCCTGGATACTTGGTCTTTTTGCAGAGGGCTGCTGTTGGGGGCGGGCAAGGAAGTGTCAAGTCGAGTTCGTTTCGCAAGTCGTTGTCCCTGCAGCTCCACTCCAGCAGGTTGAAACACAAGGACAGGGCGACCCATCCACTTCAGCTCTTTGTATTGCCGACAAAGATTCCGCTGAAGCTGTTATGGTGCTGGAAAAGATGTTATGGGCCCGTCTTGGTGATCGGGGTGGCAGGTGTGGTGGAGGTCGTTCGTGGCCGCCCGCCAACGCCGCGACAACCAGTCAAAAATCGAGGTTACATGCAATATTCACGAAATCAGCTGGCCTAACAACACTGCAAGAGCATAATGGGGTCTAAAATTTTCACCTAACTACTGCATTTGCGGTACACAGTGCCGAGACCCTCCCTGAAACCCCTTGAGAGCTTGCAAGGCGTCCCGGTCCTGCCTACCGGTTTAGAGTCAAAAAGAAGCACGACATTTACCGGGATCGAACACAGCAATGAGAAAAAAACGCCAAAAAGGGAACCGGCGCAAGACATGGAATGTCTAGTCCGTAAACCCTCAAACACCACTAAACTACAATGCAAGACATAATAAAAGATGTTGACGTACCTGCTCAGTCCCGAAGGACGGAGTAACTCAAAGATATTATGTATATATAGACAACAAAAGTCGAGCCAAGAACTCAGTTTTAATTGCTGAGACAGTTGTCGGAATAAGGAACCTGGAGTTGATGCACGTGGGCCCCCTCCCTAGCCTCCCCTCGAGTCGGCTCTCCAGGGTGTCTTCACTCTGTACTGGCACTCCGCACTACTTCGATACCACTTGCAAGCACGCCATGCCTTGTAAGCCTGGTATCTTCTACCTCTATACCTCGAGGACTTAGTACCCGACACTGTGCATCTACATGTACCTCCCTGGTGGCCTTCCCTCTCCTGAACTCCCGAGAACGCGTGCAGCGTGCTCTTCTTAGCATCGTCCAGCTACATGGCTACCCAGGTATCTCTTCCCAGGGGCACTGAGGATGCTCTCGCCCCCTCTTACACGCTAAAGAACGCATGCTGCGGGCCGCTCTTAGCATCGCCCAGCTGCAGCGCTGCTTCCTTTCTCACAGCAACCCGGATGCCCTCTGCCCAAATGTCCGGTTGGACATCTTGCATTCAAAGTAGCCGGGGCAGGCGGGGCGCTGGCGCACCTGTGGGACTCTATTGCAGCAGCGCCCATGCCTACAACATTCCACCTATTCGTGTGCCCATCGGTGGCAATTAGCATCCATAGCCAGGTACTATGACTCCGCGGTCCCTCTAGCCCATTAGAACAACTTGAGTTATCCAAGGCAACTAGCCACCAACCGTACACCCGCGACCTGAAGACGCCCTTGAATGATCTAGGGTGCTCCAAGTCACAGCACAATGCACTCCCACCACAACTGACTGTGTTGTTCGAGTTGTACTCAGTTGGATAATTATCTGTCTAACTGAATGTACCCAGACATGTCTTACAACTTAGGAAAGCACCTTAGGCAACTCCTTTTGGTGCATTTGTCCTTGCACTAACGACTAGGGATCGAGTCAGGCGCATCCACCATTCTATATCCCAATACACCCCGATTTTCGGGCCTGCAAAGCATCTCCATCGTTCATGTGTTTAATTGTGATCAGATGAGGTCGAGGCAAAGCATCGCCAAGCAGCCTCTAGTGATCCACAAAGGAGTTTGGCGGCAGACGCACAGTGGGCGCATTGTGGACTTAGCGAACCTGGCCAGGCCGGGGGATCTTGGAAGGATCACCTGGTAGCTCAAGCCGCATGCCGTCATGCCTCGCATCACAGTCTCTAGTTTGTTCACGCGGCGCACCCAACACTCGCCGCGCCCATTCTTGTTCCTTGATTTCCTGCCTCGTGTCCCGTTGATAAGTCTCGCCTTTAACCCTGTCCCTCCCTTCTTACTCCACTTTTGACCTTCTCTCAATCCAACCCCACCCTCAGCCACCATGAATGACCCCGGACTCGACGGGCCGGCGCAGGAGGCTGCCCAAGATGTCGAGCATAATATCTACGAGGAAGATCGCGAAAAGGCAAGGAAAGAGGAACAGGACTTCCTGGATCCAAGTTAAGCCAAGCTTGCGATCTGCCCCCCAATGCCTTTCATCTAACAATACTTAGTCGCTGGTGGTTTGCCTCTACCGCATGTCCGCTTATCGCAGGCACGTTCGGTCCAATGGCGAATGCATTCTCTATTTGTGCACTGGTAGAGAATTGGAGGGTGTACATACCTCCGGGGCTGGACGAAGGGCATGGCAACGCCATTGAAGACCCGAAATGGTAACACGGCTCTGATCTCCCCAGCGGGGCTTACCCTTCAAAATATTAACACTATCCCGCAGGCTGATCGCTATTAATTCCATATCCCTCGCGTTCGCCATAATTGCCAACATTGCTCTTCTCCTGAATATGGCCCAGCGGCTGTCATTCGCGATCGCACAGCCCATCACCATTGTTGGCTGGTTCATATCCTCGGCCCTCCTTATCGTCCTCGTGGCCCTAGCTTCATCATCCATCTTCCGCATACCGCCCATGCAAGAACATGCCTTGACCCAAGCCTTTTATTATGGGATTATTGCGGCTGGCCTATATTGCATCATTGCCTCGTTGATGGTTGTAACCGTGGTTGGTGCATACAGGGGTCATTACCCCAAGGAATTCCGGCTTACTCCAAGCCAAAGAACCTTGATGTTGCAGACGATTAGCTTCATGGTCTATCTCCTTTTAGGGGCTTTAGTCTACTCAGCCATCGAGGGCTGGGAGTTCCTCGATGCCGTGTTTTGGGCGAACTTTACTTTGCTGACAATTGGCATTGGAGGTGAATTCGTCCCCAAGACTCATACCGGCCGTTCTTTACTATTTCCTTACGCAATCGGCGGGATAGTGATGATCGGTTTAGTCATCGGCTCTATTCGATCGCTGGTCCTCGAAAGAGGGAAAGCAAAAATGTCTGCCAGATTCATGGAGACCAAGAGACAAAAGGTTCTCTCATCCCTGGATTCAGAGGAACGCACAATTCGCTTAGGGTGGTTTGAGAAGATCAATTTTTCTGAGAAGGGACTCTCTGAATCCCAAAGGAGAGAGCAAGAATTCAGGGTCATGAGACGGGTTCAAGAGAAAGCGGAAAGGAATAGGAGATACTATGCTCTGGCCATTTCTTCCACGGCAGCCCTTCTACTGTGGTTCATTGGAGCCCTTGTATTCATGCATTCCGAGAAACCACAGGGCTGGAGTTATTTCGTATCTCTATATTTTGCGTACACGTCTCTCATAACCATCGGCTACGGCGACTACACCCCCGCAAGTAATTCTGGAAAAGTATTCTTTGTATTCTGGTCTCTACTCGCTGTCCCGACCCTGACAATCCTCATCAGCAACATGGGCGATACGGTCATCAAAGCCTTCAGAGATCTGACTATCTGGGTTGGGTCTTTGACTGTACTTCCTGACGAAAATGATCTCTATACTACGATTAAAATTGGGATTCAGAGAGTGCGGGTTGGGAAGTTGTACAAGGGCAAAGACAAGTCGGAGTCCACCCCTGACGCCGTTAGCCAAAGTATTCTTGATCGATTGGCTGAACATATCGAAGGGCAAGAGCTTGGAGAAGCAGTAGAAGCTGGTGAGCACGGTGATGCACTGGAGCGAGATATTCATTTCTACCATTTTGTTTTGGCTACGGAGATCCGCCAGCTCATGAAGGATGTTGATGCTTCACCGCCCAAACAGTATACGTATCAGGAATGGTCATACTATCTCCGACTGATCGGCCAAGATGAAGGCGACGCTTCTCGTCATAGAAAACCTAGGATTCAGCATGACAGCAACAAACACCAATCCCCAGATCTTGGGGTCGCAGGCAGCGAAGACGAGAATGGAGATGCGTATACCTGGAGCTGGCTTGGCATTCGGAGTCCCTTGATGGGCAATAAAAATGAGGCACAGTGGCTGCTGCAAAGATTAACTGTCGTGCTTGAACGCGAGATGCGGGAAATGAGGTCGTCTGACATGAGGCTAAGAAAAGAGCCTCCGCCTATTTCAATGGAAGAGCTGAGGAAGAACCCTTCGAATTCTGGGTCTGGGTCAGATCTAGGGCAGCTGTTGGAGAAGGGGCTTGGTCCGGCAGAGGTCCGGAGAAGACAACAAAACGACCGCTTAAGCTAGTGAAAGGGCGAGTGTCCTTGAATCAGGTACCCAACCAATAACAGCGACAACCACCACGACGCTGTCTCAACACCTTCCTCACATCCCCTTTCCGCATCTCTTGTCGACCTGAGGAAGCGTCTACTTTGTATCACTAGCTGCTCCCACTCTTCTTATTCGACGCATTTCATCTTTAATCTACTCGAGATTCTCGCGTAGCAATCATTCTGCGAAGATATCAACCGTTTAACCCTTCACATCCGTTCGTCGCTTCTCTCGCACGCATATCATACCCATTTTTCGAGGCAAAAAGGCACATTCACCTATACCTGGCATGTTTCCATTTCCCCACTACGGAAGGTGACAACACTGCGTTTGCCTCTTCACCATCATCCCTTACTTAGGCCATCCAGAGCCCCGATTTTAGACTCCGCGTACCCGCTCTCCTGAAGAGCCTTTTCCTTTTTTATTCCCTCCAGCAAAGCAGATGTTATCTCCTACAGTCTTGTGCGACTTCACAGATCGTAAATACAACACGAAAAAAGAAGTCGGTGGCTTATTTCTCCCGAGCTTATTCGACACTACCTCCAATTTCAATTACTATCACAACCAATACGGCAAATCTAACAAGCCTATTAATGTGATAGTCGGGTTTAGGGCAGAATTCAACGTGCAATACTACAAGTATCATCATTCCTCACACCCCTCCTCCGCTCTTGAGGACCTCAAAACCCCAAGCCCACCGCCACACAGAGTCGCCCACCAGGTCACAGAGCCGTGTTTTTTTACCATAGTGCGGCAACAACTCGATCGAATCCTTCCCAAACATCTCCTGCTGCTTCCGCAACACCATGGCTAATTCTCCCCTCCCAATCTCCAACCAGCCGGCTTTCAACCAAGAATCAGACCCAATCACACCAAAATGGTCACCTATCGCTGCAGCCATCATCTCCACAGTAATACTCTTAACCGTAATTGCCTTTTGCAGTCTATGTGGAAAGCATAAGAAAGGCGGCGTCTTCGGAGACCTCGACTACAAACCCAACGACATTGAATCACAACCCAGAGACGTTACCCAAGAGATGAACACGATTGCTGCAAAACACCGCACAGTCATCCCTCCACCCCTATTGTCTACTTACACCACCACATACAACTCCCACGACCCCTTCTTCGGAAGCCTCATGCCGTCCAACATCGAAGACCGCCTGCCTACCCCCGCCCCCACCCATGTCCCAAGAGTGACCCTAATCTCCCGTCCCTCGCCGCCGGCTCCCCCCCACGAGCCCTCTTTGCACTCGCTGTTTGTGCCGGCACCGCGCACTGAGGTCAGCTGGGATGAGGGGATAAGACCTGGCGCTCGGAGGCTGGATTTAGGGCCTCAATATGAGCCCAGCTTCATCGTACCGAGTATCCAGGACACGTCGATCCCGGAGGATGGTTGGAGTGAGTATAATTAGAGATGCAGGAGCTGGGGTTGGAGTGTAGGATTAGAGGTGTTATTTTAGATATCTGGAATGGAGCGTATATTTTGTGCGTCAGAGTCCAGCGATGACCCCTATGAATTATGACTAGGGTTGGTTTCCGTTTAGCTGCGCATTTTGGAATACAAAGGAGGTTGGTGAGAGCTGATGTACGTGCACGACCCGTTGTGATCCATCACGCTCCCTTGGGATTTCTAGTAAATAGTTCCCAAGATGCCCGCCTTATTCCATGGTGCTTCCAGCCTGTATCACATGACTGGAGGAGATTACGTCGTTAAGCCGAGGAATTCTCCGATACTTCTCCTCCTGCATCCATCTTCACCTTTCGCTCTCCCACTCTTGCAACGCGCCCTAGACACGGATATCAGCACCGCGTTAGAGTAGGTCATTATTCGCGCTCTAACCCGAATCCACATCTGTCTCGAACGTCTTGGTAGTCGTTACCCTATCAAGGTTAGGGGATTTGTTATCGCTAGGAAGAGCTCTTCGCTCATCCCAAACCTCCAACTTTGCATCCGCTTCTCTACGAATTTATTGTGCCAATCTTCCTCATTCCTACTGCCATAGTTCGAGTTCGCGGTTTTCTTCAAGACGTCTAGGGGTTCTGGGGTCGAAGAACTTCAAAGCTCATTATCAGTCCAATACGCCAAATACGTATCCACCGTCTATGTCAGGCCCTGGAACCCCTATTGACAGGCAAGAGACATCATAGAGATAAGTTTACACCGAACAGGCATTGAAGAATTTCTGCTGGTATTCTGATGATCATGCACATTGAAGGAGTTGGAAACCTTCCACCTCTGTCATCTCTACACCTAATTTACTTCTCTAATGGTCTCGGGAAGCTGTCGTTTCCCACCATTGCGCATGGGGTCGAATACCAAATAGTGGCGCCATGATCAGGTTGCGAGAATCGGATATTCATTGCCCAGAAGTCATTGAAAATGGCAGATTCAATAGGTCACTTCCTGACCCAAGTATGGCCTCTCCATATTCTTGCCTGTGCATTTTTTGATAGCACAGGCGCTAGATGTGGACTTGTTCTTAGGTTTAGATTAGCGTTCACCGCGGGCATGTATTGTAAACAAGTGTGCTCTTCTACACAGGCATATATACGCACTCCTAACTATTTCCAGGACTCTGAAATGTTCACGACAGTGAAGCTCTCCATCCACACTGGACTTGTTGCCTCAGCTGTTGCATCCTCCTGGACCATCGCAGCAACACTACTGACCTTGACCACCTGGACGTATCTTTACGGTATTTCCGGAGCTTACTTCTATGATTCAGGCCCAACGGTGCAGATCTTCGTGTTTGCGATTGCACCAATCGAGCAAGAGCGCCGGGTGCGCATACATTCCTCGAAGTCGCGAAGATCAGATATGGAACCACCGTGCATTTAGTATTCATTCTCTATTCGATGGTCTATGCGATTATCAATTGTGTGAATATCTTAGTTGATTGGAGCGCAGTCTTCGCAGCTTTGACAGGAATGAATGTTATCGCTGGGATATGGCTCTTACCCATCAAGGTGGTCATATATATCTTGGCGGATGGTATCAAAGCCTCAATTCTCATGGGTTGTAGATGAGGGGTTTAAATGCAGCTCCTAGGAGAGTAAATGCTAACAAATCCTAGCCATACCATCATAGTCGAGGGAACAGTGGTAGTCGGCAGTTTCCACTCAAAAAAAAAATCAGAGGAAGGGCAGAGGATCCGTGTTAGTATCTATATTTTCCTTGACGAGATCCTTAGGATCGTTTTGTTAGTGTGAAATGTGATATCCGCCTCAAATATTCCGAACTTGGTACGGCTACATTTTCTCTGGGGAAATGGTTGGATGGAACTATAGATTCGTTGAGGCAATTCCCAGAAAAACGAGCTCTGAGTATGTGTGCGCCTAAGCTGCTAACACTAATTATTATCACACTGCCTTATTGAAATTCAGACTCGCCTTCGACATGTAAAATTATCTCCTGTTTCGTGAACTGCGCATTTCTTTGCGTAAGTATTCATGTTCCCTCAAACGATCCAAGTATCCACCTATCTGAATATCTTTTGAACATTTTTCCATTCTTCGGCTTTTGACCCCCCGGCCTGGACACAAGCTTGGAAGAACTTGTGTAACATGCGGCTCCAAATATTCACATCCCTTGCCGTCCATTTTGAACAATCCAATCCAGATCGGGGTTTACCTGGTTCATCAGGATTACCTAAGACTCTGGAATTGGGCAGATAAGAGGGAATACCAATCCTTGGCATGGGAGAAGGAAGGTCAAGATACTTCCATAAAGAGAAATGAAGAGAGAGATAAGACAGCGGAAGAAATCGATCGGAAATTGCAAAGGTCGGACTTGGACGACGAAAAGAGGAATTGGTTAAGGGGAGCACGACAAATCGAAAAGGAGCTAGAGGACGTATGGACACTGTACTTAGCCCCTTCCCAATCGGAGTTATCGAATCGAAGTTCGAAATCTCTTCTGACCAACCTCAACATCAAGCTACATGCTATTCCTGGAAATGCTTCCCGCCCCGATACGTATGCGAACGGGATAAAATGTCAAACAAAGCGGGACATATGGCTTTGCCTGGATCGGCGAAGCGAAGAGGACTGGAATCGCGTAAGAGATGAGTGTCTGCATAATGAAGGTGTCGATTGTCAGATGATGGATGGCTTGGGAACTTTTCGAGTGGACGTCAAATTAAGAAGATTAGACGAAGACAAAGAGACACGGGACGAAAGAAAAGAGACATTTTTCTTCAAGAAGTTGATATTTCCGAGCATAAGCGTACTCATAGGGGGAAAACAAAAGAAGTCGGAGAAAGGAGTTGAGTTGTGGGACCGACAGATTGGTACAGCCCTCAAAACACATCAGCTATCAACAACAGCGATGCCGATGGGGAGGTTGGAGAAGAGATGTGGGAAATTTTTTGCCCGATGGCACAGAATGACAAGACAGCATTTCATTATGCAAAAGCTACATTGGAAAAGGCAGTGATGAGGTCCAGTGCCAACTTCACAGCAACGAAGTCAGGATTGAGCCCGACAACGAACTCGAAAATGGACTCTGCACACGACCCAGGGGCCTTTACGCCGAACAATTGAATGACCGTATATATACTAGGTCATATCTTTAGACTTTGTAATCTGTAGACAGACATGATTGAATGTTGGGTGGAAAGTTTGTGAAATATAAATTTGTCCGCATACCGCGCTAGCCTCATTGGGACTAATACTGGTAATTAGCACGTGATGTCGATCACCTCATCTTTATATCGTATTTGTGGGCCTAGGGTTGCAGCTGCTCTTCAACATGACATGTGCGAAGGGTGCAACCGTTGTTAAGTTTCCCCGTCTTACTAAAGTTTGCGCAACCTGCCAGCTTTTCTCCCAGCCGCAGTGCTCGTGTCAGGCGCATCTAGATCGCCAATGGTAGCGGAAATTTCGTCCACGATGCGCCACAGCTGAACTCAAGCGAACAAACACAGCCCCTCTGTCTCTCAGCCGAATTTGCAGACCACCAAGAGACACCAGAGATCTGGGGTTGCTGTCCATGGGTGAGTCTTCTTCTCTAGCTAGGCCATTGGGGCTTCAGCCGCAGAGGGCTGGGGACTCCATCCTGCTCATTGAACAGGTGTTGATGAACACAGTGGCGACAAGAATCTCACCATATCCAGAAAACTCCGGCGTTTTCTTTGCCTAGCTCAACGTCCTTTATTTTGGGCTTTGAGCACTTCGACGTGGCTGCTCAAGGATTGACAAGAGATCCAGAGGCTGCAGGAGAATATCCACCATGTGTCCTCCCCAGCCACTTGTTGTGGCTTCCAGAAAGTACTGGCGTCCATCCGCGAAGAATGTGTCCAATCAAGATTGTACCCACACGCCACATTCTGCTTTTGCCCAGAGGCACCAAAGTGCGCCCCCGAGCTGCTGCTGGTGATACGAATACCTATGGCTTGCCCAAGCCTCTTTGTCTCGCACCGATTCCCAGATGCTCCCGACCACGCTACTTCTGTCCTTCTTCGGTTGGCAGAGAGGCCACATCGGCTAGATCATTGGTCCCTATTTCGAGACGTGGTTCTGAAACTTTCTTTTGCATCTGCCTATGAGCAAGATGCCACCAGAGATAAAGAGATGCCCTTGCACTCCGGAAAAAAGATCAGCCTTTTCAATCTTCTTTCTCCATCTTACTTTCGTTTGGTTGAGGATTGCCGGTGATAGCAATGAGTTCGCTCACTGAAGCCAAAGGGCTCTTCTCCAACTGCGGCCCAGGGATCGACACTTTTGAGCTCTCATACACCTGCAAAGGACCCAGCTGCTCGAGTATAACAAATTTCCAGAACGTTAAATGCAACTCGAACGGCGGCGGAGGAAGCTCCGTTTCTTGCTCGAACGACATTAAATGTCCACCTGGGATATCATCATATCGATCGAATTTCACGTTCTCACAGAATGCCCCAGATCCCAAAATTCCTGCCCCCAATCAGCCAGACAACCTGATCAAGCAACAGCAAGACGTTTTGATCCCGGATTGTCGCAAATTCTCAGTCAAGAGCGACGGAACAAAGCAGGGTACTAGCACAGACGCAGGCACCGACGTTGATTGCGGTGTGAAAGTACAGTCAACACCAACGCCATCTGCGGGTGCGAAGGCAGCAACGAGCACCATTGCTGGGTTCAAACCGAGCTCAACATCGAGCCCCCAGCAGTTTACTGGAAAGTCCCCGAGCCGCCATCCTTCCAAGAATGTCCTGTTCTTCACCTTCCTATTCGGTCTGATGCTGTTCTTGCCTGGCGTCCAAGCTTACAAGCCGAACAAAATCCAAGAACGCCATGCTGAACTTCGTGCACGAGCCGAATTGAGAGTGAGGGCTTTATCGGACAAGGTGCGGGCTTTCGCTACCCAGTTTGACACCGACCTGGCAGCAAAGGCAAATGCGGAAGGAAACAACGGAAACAGCTTTGCACACAACCTCGTCGCCGACGTGGTTACGTCTGTGTGTGGAGGCTACTTCAAGGGCGAAAGTGTGGCAAGCTTCACGCCTAACGTTGTTGGAGACTGCGTTAAATCAATCTATGGCGGAGAGAGTTTACCTCAGCCAGGGGTCCAATTCTACGCCGTATTCGGCGCAAGTCTTCTCTGCGACTATGTTGTCTCCGAGGCATTCCCTGTAGCGAAGGAATTCGCGGCTGATGGTTGCAAGGGGCTAGAAGATTTGGCGAAGAAGATAGGTCCAAGTGGTACCGTTGCACCCTCAAGTCCTCCCACAGCTCCACCAGCGAGTAATCCTCCTGCGTCCAACCCTCCTGCGTCCAACCCTCCTGCGTCCAACCCTCCTGCGTCCAACCCTCCTGCGTCCAACCCTCCTGCGTCCAACCCTCC